GGTTTCTTGGTTCGGCTTAGCAATCGTTCTTCTTAATGTAACAGTAGATTCAAGGAGATGAACACTTAAAACGGATTCTTACGTAAACTTTTATAAATTTACAAAAGGCAGCGCAGAAAGGTACATTTCTTTTTATTTTTGAAATTCCGAGGTATCACAAACACAAAGCAACGACTTCTAAAGAACGCAACGAACTCTTTTGGTGTTCAGTTATTTTGATCTGTATACAAATCGTCACATAAGACTACAAAGCAGTTGATAAAAAAAAATTGGACACTGAAATAAAGAGATTAGAATATTGGAACTACTTTGATGTTTTAATCTGACTATTGTGGTGTGGACAATAATAAACATGTATTGAGACCCAATGTAAACCGATTATTTTATAGGATATTTTAAGAAACAGCTATTAAAAATCCAGAAAAGAGGGTCTGTTTGAAAATTTAACTTGTTTTCAGAGGATTCTAATTAACTGGCAACGGACCGAGATGAGGATATTTCTGAAGTAGGTTAGAATCAGCTTTTAATGAACTCGATTTGGTTAAATTAATATTGTTACAGCAAATGCCCTCAGACACCTTTCATATATATAGAAGGTGTCTGAAGGAAATATAATAATATTCTACCATATTCACACAACGCCATCTAGTCCCAAACTAATCAGAGCTTGTACTATGGCTGCTAGACATCTGATATAAATACATATATACTTTTTTTTTTGTAAATACATACTTATATATAGAACACCCAGACCATATCAAACATTAAATTTTCATGGACACAAGTGCATGTCTTGAGCAAGAATCGAAACCGCGACCTTTGGAATAGCAGTCCGTTACACAAACCACTACGCCATCCGGCTAGACTTCTTTACATAGTATAAAATAGTCTTCTGGTAGTATAGTATTAGTTACCTCCTCCTAAACCATGCAACATACTGATGTAGTTTTCACTTTTACTTAGACGTTTTTTATATTAAAGGAAGGTTTTTTTAAAAGCAATATTTTGCAAAAACATATATTGAATGATTTACGGAACCCTAAATTATACCCTGTGCCAAGTCTGGGCGGGTCACTAGCAAGATATAATCACAAATCATGGTGATTCACATGCCTTATGGCTAAAATTATAATGAAAAAAGAGGATTAATATTACGCAATTTTTGAACCATATTGCCAGACTCAACTCGTCTGTGTATCAATGGTACTGACACCCTATGATTGCAACAGGAACGAGTGTAATGAAAATGACAGGTCACACTCCATTGAGCTCGATATGTGAAAGAATAACCACAAAACATGTTATTGTGTAACAAATTGTATATATTTTGTATATTTAAAAAAAAAAAGACAACTCCCGCATTAGGAATAAATCCTGTGTCGCGGGGGACTTTACAAACATACATGAAACGGACACAAAGAACACCCAGACTCAGAACAACAATTTGTGGATCACACAAAGTGTCGTCCCATGTGGGGTTTGAACCCACAACACTCGGCGTAGTAGGAAGCGGCGTGGTGACCGCTTAAACCACTACGCCATCCGTGCAGTCATAATAATGTAACATTCTGGTAAAACTTTTAAAATTTACATTTGACTATTACAAAATAAGTGAGACACAGCGACTTTAAGAATCACATGTAGAGTTGACAGATATTGCTGTTGTTGCTTTGCCTATTAAAATATTATGCACAACAGGTTATGAGTGTTATACAAACATGCGACCAGGCGAACAACAACCGGCCAGGTGAAGTGATCATGCCTGACTTACCGCGGACCAGCTGTTCATGTTGGGAAGTTCTATATTCTATACCGGGCGCCACCGGTGACTAGACACAGGGCGCAGAAACAACCAAACCAGCGTAAAACAATTTTCTAAAATAATTTCGATTAATGCAATTACTGAAGCTCACACCGGGCGCATAACGACGCTGAATGAAAGATACAAACGACTATTACTTGTGTATCTTGTGTTTTAGTTTTTTTATTTACTAGAAAAGCGAAATAAACTGTTTGAGTCTTTAAGTTATTCATAAATAATTAGTACTTGTGTGAGAGTAGCTTCTATGTTTGCTAAAATCCATACTAATATTATAAATGAGAAAGTGTGTCTGCCTGTCATCTGTCTGTCTGTTACCTCTTTAAGCTTAAAACGCTTTATATTTTTAATAAGTAGAAATAGAACAATTTCACGCAAAATGAATATTCCATCAAAATTCTTTTTGTACAATAAAGTACTTATTATACCTTTACAATAAATAAAAAATAGACGTTTTGCAAAACATTACATATCTTTTCATTGCTTTTCGTTTAAAATACCGAACTGGATTGATAAAAAAATTAGTACAACACAACATTAAACACTAAGTATATTTAATTTTTTTTCTGCCTTATCCCAATTTTATTTGGGCTCAGCGCAGTATGTAGGACTCCTCCATTCTACTCTATCATTCATCATTTTACTGTTTACTCCCTTCCTAGCTATATCCTCACTCGCACAGTCCATCTACCTTTTCTTTGGTCTTCCTCTTCTCTTGTACCCTTCAACTCCCATACCTACACTTTCTTCGTCACATTTTCCTCATCCCTCCGCATGACAGGTCCATACCAAGATAACCTATTACTTCTTAACTTTTCATCTAGTGGCGCTACTTTTAGACTCCATCGTATATACGACAATACGGATGGACAAGATCAGGAATTACTATATACTCATTCCTGACCGTGTCAGCATTCGCATTTGAAAATACAGGAAAACACAAAAAAAAGTTATGTGTAATAAGTACATTTTAAATGTTTTTAAATAAAGATATATATCGTGTCAAAATTTGCCAGCCAATCTTTTATAACTGAAATTGTTGTGTACTTCTTAAGGTGACAAATTCACAGTAAACTAACGCAAATGTTACTTTTACACTAAACATTGCAGAGACTAACTTGTTTATGTACTTATTCTTAATAAATAAACAAATGTTAGACCTCATTTAAATTGCTTTAAATTAGAAGGAAAGTACTAAGATACGAAATGTCTATTAAAACTTTAGTAGAATTTATCTCGTCTTCCCTACTAATCTCAAATTATGTAAACACAATGGTAAAATGTTATACGGAGGTGACAAAAGCATAATAGAAATTAAAAGGAAAAACTAGCAAATGAATATTACAATGAAAGCTTTGTCCAAGTTTTATGAGTTTTATTATCCAACGCTAACCAAATAAATTTTCAATGTGGTGATGGACTAAGAATACGGAGTGTCACCACCCCCTGTAAATCCCGTGGGTGTCGTAAGAGCCGACTCAGGGAACTAACTACGCAGGACAACAGCACTGCAAAGAGAAGGAAATCTTGAAACAAACCCTATACCAACCCGTCTCGCCAGGGTGGTATAGTAGGCCGAAAACTCTTTTCTAAAGAGAGGCCTTTGTCCAGCAGTGGATTATTAAAGGCAGTTAATGTGATGATGACGTGATATGAACAAAATAATTCTTAAAGAATAAAGAGCATGATAATATCTTTACCCTTGATAAAAATGCATATCAGCCTTCTTCATTAAATAAAGAACTCCTAAAAGTTGTAGCTTCATACATATTCATTAGTTCAGTAGCTCGTAGGTAGTGCTTGCATAATTTTTAACTTACAAAAGAAATGGAACGGGCATAATGAGAAACAGTTTTACTCGTACTTGACAAGTCTAATTTGACGTAAAGATAGATTGAACTACATATAGTTTAATGAAACTTTCTAACATAAATTATTTTTATTGAATCGGCTCAAAGGAGTATTGAAGTTAAACCACATCACGGCGAGGTAACATTTAGCTCCAGGGACATAAACTTATAGATAGACCGCTTAATTAAGTTCTCGCTTGCCGGGTACGCCGGGTACAGGGGCGCGTAGGTAAGACCAGAAAGCGTATTCTTGTAACGGTACGAGCGCCCGTTACCCACACCTCTCCCGGTCCCCATTCTAGTCCTTTTACTATTATTTTGCAACTTATAATACTCAGGGCTGAAATAAATGTCTAACAATTTAAAGATTTTTGAACCGACTTCAAAGAGGAAGAGGTTCTCAATTCGACTGAGAATTGACTTTTTATTGTATGTTACCATCTTCATCATTAGTGCATCGATTTCTATTATTATCGTTGCACTTATTGCTTTAAAATTTGAATAACCTCAACCTCGCTTTTATCTATTTAAAAACCGAAGTTGAAGTTATTTCAAATTTACAACATTTACAATTTATTTATTTTATAAAATCACCTATAGAGTATCGTCTCCTGCGATTAATTAAAAAACCATGGACTAACAGTAAAATGAAAGACTCAAATAGTAAAAGGATAACTTTCTTTTACCGTTTTTACTCAGTTGAGGTAACACCCGTCCCTCGTCAACTTGCTATCGTAGGGTGTATAAACTTCGGGGTCAAACTGTATTAAAAAATGCAGCTGATGGTAATACATATATGTTGCTTGTGTAAGCGCCAGTTTCACTTCGCATGTGCTGGTATAACTAAGATTGGATTCCAAAAGCTAGGAAATCGCAAAAACCGCAGTAACATCTGCAGGAAAAAGAGCAATAGGATCGTGCCAACAATGTGGAGACTAAAGGTATTCAGCTTACAAAGTCTGAGAATGAGGTGATGAGCACAATCATTTATTGAGTCTGGGTGTATTCTATCTGTAATATGAATGTATTGTACCTAGAAATACATAAGTACATTATCATTATAGCAGCCTATGGTATGATATCCAGATCATAGCACATTCTATGCTTAATTTAGGCACAGACAACGGTGTATCAGATGCGAATGAATCAACGATCGAATAAATAAAGGAATGACGTAATGTGTCTATACTAGTAAAGTATATACATTTTCTGTACTCATTGCACGTAATGTAATATTATCGCAAAATCTTTGAATATTTTAACAATTTAATTGAGATGGACGAATAATTTTTATAACGTATTTCCGACTTCTGGCTTCAAATGTATGAAAACTAGTCCGGTGGTATTAAACCCTCTGCGATCATCCTTTGCCGTTTAGCTTCTTCTCTCGCACGCTTTTCTGCTGCCTTCTTCTCTTCTGCTTCCTTCTCCTCCTGAGCCTTCTGCATTGCCATCGCAGCTAAAGTCTTCTGATCTAACTTAAAGTAGTTAATTGGCTCTGGGAAGAATCTTCTATCCCTCATATTCATATTCTCTATGAACTTTATATAGCGAAATGTTCCATCTTCGATGTTATAAGTTTTGTCTTTCATACAAAGTTTGATCCAGTCCATAAACTCTATATCAACGAGGGGTTCACCCCACGTCATCAATTCTTCTCGAAACTTCTCAAAGTCTACGAGACCTGTTTCTTCATCGTCATGACCTAAATCTCGCATAGCATTGACTATAACTACCTCAAAATCATCTCCCATAGCCATTTTAGCTTCTATCATAAACAAAAATTCGTGAAACTCCACTTGATCTACTAGATCATCTTCAAGAATCTTCGCGAATAATTCCTGGAGTTCTGCAGTTTTGGGGTTAAAACCAATTCTCCTCAGCATTATCCCAATGTCATCAATCGGCACCTGAATAACAAAAGTAAGAGTTAAAACGGACCGATTTGTTCAATGCTAGTAGTGCAAAATCTAAGAGCATATTTTTTATTTATCTGCGTTAAAATATAACGTAAGAGAAATTTAACTAGAGGAGTAAAATCGTGCCTACGACTACTGGTGGCTCGATGGTATCGAAGACGAAGATTTCTGTTTATCTAGTAGCACAACACAGTGACTTATCTTATATATAACGTGATTTTCCTCTATTCGTATGGGGTATCCTAGTCCAAATTTAAAGCACGTTATAAAATCAGTCAAAAAAGAATTGTCGTTTTTTTTATTGGTACAGAACTACGACATAATTTTATCTGAATCTGTTTTACTACTTAATCAACACGTCAGTGTTATACCACACTGAATAAAACTAATTTCCCAGACTATAAGAATACTGATATCTAAGTTTCTCTATTTTTATTTACCTTGTCGATATTTTCCTCATCGTGTAACTTAAATACTTCCTTGAACCTCGCAATGTCTTCGGGTTTAAAGCATGCTGGAGGTGGTGGGATTTTCTTCGGCTTTGGTGGAGGTCCGGATACCTTCACCGCCTCTTTGCCTGGTTTCTTAGCTGGTTCTTTACCACCTTTCTTTGGGGCCATTGTGCTGTATAGTTAAATAATTGGAAGGACCTATTAAGCAAATGAGACCGCGACTACAGAAATTATAATAATCAAGTTATTATTACAGTCATAAATTTTGGTATTATCGTCGTCAGGAATTATCATTGTAGGGATACAAAAATAATATGGATTTTGGTAAATATGAATATGGATTGATCAAATTGCACTGTCAAACATCATTGTGACATTTATAGTCAACATTTTTTTAACTAGAGTATGGAATACAGGTTAGAAGACTGAACCATCTCTGTTAATAAAAAGTGTCAAAAAGCGTCAAATTATGATAGCGCCACGGCAGCAACTTGTTAGGTTTTGATAGTAAATTAAGTTGCTTTAGTTAGTTATATGAAACACTTATGAAAATAAATATTCATAATAAATAAATAAAATAATTAGGTACTTTAAGTCAGCAAACTCTACGATAGCTGTTATGTTTATAGAGATATAACCTAGGGGGAACAAGATCCCCAATCTTGTAATATAGGCAATGAGAGAGATGGATAGTAGTTGGTCCCCTCCATCTCTTTCTAGTCGAGCTCTGTGGTTGGCTAGGGAATATGAAGGGTTAATACACACACACACAGCGTAGCTAAACAGAGACAAAGGGAAATATCTGGAATCCATCTCTCTCGTTGCCTGTTTCACTTCCACTTACAGGCAGCTATACCCCATGTTCTCTCTATGGTTATATCTCTATGGTTATGCCCGCGGGTCATTTGGCTACATTAGCGCCATTCTGGTCGGTTTCAGAACTATTATTTGCTGTTTTTTACCAATAGTAGCATCTACATTGCACCCATGCTAAGCCGGAGCAGATTGCTAGTAATTATACCGCTCCGTTCCGCCGGCCGTTGCCACCCGGGACGGACGTACGGCTCGACGGTAAACGTGGCGACGGTCACTTTTAAACCTGTAATATCTTCTAAAATATTCATTTTAATGATATGATGCAAAGAGCAATTTTAATTTACATTAAATGCACAACGCATCTAACGTATTTAATTAGATAAGGAATAATAATGTATTCTTTAAAATAGCTTTGTAAATAAGCCATAATTTATTTTGTAAAATTTAAAAGATAAAAATGGCTAATGTGGTTTATCCTTAGGAGATAAACATATACCATGCAGACTTTTTTTGTAGATCTTTTTAAGATATACAATTCCATACTACATTATTTTGTTCTATCTTGTAACAAAAACATGTTTTTATCACAAATCTTTGAAATTCTCTTATTTTCTCTACTATAATGTGCATGTATTACACATATAAACCTTCCTCTTAAATCCCTCGCTCTATTGGTGACCGACCGGTGACTCTATTGGAACCGCATTAAAATCCATTGCGTATTTTAAAAGTTCTTAGCAAGTGCGTGCGTACTATAGCTAAACGTGTCAGAAAAAAGTCTTATTACACATTTTTCGGTCTAGACCCCATCCGATCAGAGCATGTAACGAGCGACAAGGAACTTCATTCCAAAAAAAAATTAGATTATAGATTAGTAATTGTAAAAACCATGTGTATTTTTTTCTAAAAAAAACAAATGTGTTGTTTGAAGATAAAACTATTTTTCAACCTATCTAGTGATTCATAAATGCTGTTATAATATGTATGCTGCATATTTCTAACGCGACATAGGTAGGTATAGAGTTGGCCGTTTTTTGGACATTTAGCTTAACAACAATGTCAGATCCCTAGACAAGAATATAATCTGATTAAGATCGTAGGATCAAATCGCCAACGTGAATAGAAATGAAACAAAAAAAGAGGAGGCCTTTTATTTTCTAAATGTTATATTATCTGTATTATGTAACTTTGAATCAAAAAGTAATCAAAAACAGTTCTCAAATAGGAAACATAGACACATAAAAAAGAAAAAAAAAACAACAACGAAAACCTCTTTTTAGAAGTAGGTAATAAAGACAAGAAGGTTTCACGTCTCTTGACATTACTCTATATAGATTTTTATAATGGTTTTCCTGCAATTAGTATTAATGAGAAACTCCGTGAGAGGAAGTTAATTAGTTTAATTAAACGCTAAAATAGACATCTTTGCCAGAGCTTTCCCATGAGACCAGAGGCTAGGGATGTTCAACAAAGGCAAAAAGAAATTTCCACAGAGCCATTAAGACGCGAATTTCGTCCTTAGTTAAAGTAGCCCAGGTTACTCACTGATAATGTAGCTTTCCATTGGTGAAAGAATTTTAAAAGAATTAACAAACAAACTTACTTTCACATTGATAATACAAGTACAGATTACTAAATACTATTAATGATTTGTACTCGTAATGCGTCATATATTATGGCACACAACTATGTAAATTGGAAATGTTCTGTTGGTTCAAAAAAATATAAATGAATAACGCAATGATGCAAAACTTTCTTCGAGAACCAGAAGTTGCGATTTCAAAGGAAAACCCTATACAGGGTACAATTAAGAATATTTAAATAAGGGGAAACCTTTTTCGTAGAACAAACAATTTTTATTCAGAACGTTACCCTTATAACATTACTAGCAATCCGCCCCGGCTTCGCACGGGTGCAATGTAGATACTACTAACGTTGAGTCAGTGTGGAACGTATTTCCTTAATGTACAGAACAAGTTATACATACCTAACCGTTAATATTTCAGAGATATTCCTGTCATGGTCGTGTTGATTACCGTATATCATATTAACTTATTTAATTATTCTTACTACTACTAACAGGCCCATGACAATGTTGTATTATTACATTTAAATAATCTTATTGCTAATTACAAGTCACTGCATATAGATACTCCAAGGAGAACTGTGGACTTAAATTGGATAAAAGTGTAAGCCTAATCAAGGATATACATAACACATAAATAATATACACATAGATATGAATAATAATAATAATAATAACCTCACACACCTCACACACGGCTGTCTGATTCCAAACTAGGCAGAGCCTGTGCTATGGTAACCAGACTGCTGATAAACATACTTATATACTTCTAAATACATACATATTATAGATAAATTACATCCAGACACAGAACAAACGATCGTGCTCATCACACAAATATTTGTTCTGGGTGGGAATCGAACCCACGACCTCCGGTTTAGCAGTCAGGGTCACTAACCGCTAGACCAACAAGCCCGTCAAATACTCATACATAATCATAGATAAATAAAATCATACACAATAAAATGCCGGTAATAACTTTTTTAAAACGAAAGAAAAAAATGAAAGAAACAGAATATTGTAGTTTGAATGTCGATTAAAGATTCAAAAATGATTGAGCTAAGACCCTTATAATCGTGTTTACATTGGTGCAAAATAAGTCTAAATCGCGATTCCGCGAAAGTTGATTAAAACTATTTGCACTTCTTAGAGAATAAACGTTACGCCTATAGTTCGTACATTTAAGAGGGGTCGTTGTCGAAAACTAATTCTATCAGTATTAAGGCATGATAAGAATGTTCCTTTTTTTCTTCTTTTTTATAAGATATATCTACTCAATTAGTTATGTATGTATGTATATGTACCTATGTTTATTGTATATTTGTTGTTCTTGTTACGAGCGTGGTATATAATAAATAAACATTCTCGGTTAATTACTTTTATTGCACTGTATTTACTAACACTCACTATAACAAACAATCACTATATTACTCATTAGTCGCACTAGAAATTCACTTAGATGTTAATTCGCTGTGTCATAAAAGATACTGTATCGTACGGCCAACACGCTCCACTTTTATAACGCTATCGAATTTACTAGAATGATCCCTAGTATTCGATAGTCCGTTCCAAACAAATAAAAATATTCCAGTATCGGTTAAGCGTTATTAGCAGCGCCATCTAGCGCTGTAAAGTATCAGAATTATTAACCACAATCTCAATAGTTGTACTTTACTCGATACTGACTGGCGCTGTCCTCCACATTCCTATCCACCCCATTGCTAAAATTTTTGATTAAAGACATCTTAAATATGGGGCGGTAGTTTTCAATATCGGTTTTTTCCCCTTTTTTAAGATAAGATTGGCATATTTTTGGCACTATCCCTTCTAACAGAGAGTGCTAAAAATAATGCAAAGAGAAACAGTTAAACTATCAGAACAACTGTCTATAAAATCAGGTCCTCCAGACTTAGACAGGTCTAAGAATTTCAGCAGCGTCAACAGACTCACATATGTATTTCAACCATGCCAATTCGCGCTAGGCCATTACTAATGCAATGTTCGCTGCTCATTATATGTGAATGACAGTCACTAGGCGTATGGTATGGCTGTTGAAAAGTGGAATAAAAATATTTGGCGAATAAATTACTGATGTCTTCACCCATGCAAGCTGTTATGTCCTTATATTGCATTGAGTATCTATTGCTTTGGCATTTACTTTTAATTTACGACCAAAAAGACTTAGGTTTATTCATTAAAGAGGGTTTAATTTTCTTCATGTAAGTGTTAAAACAAGATTTTATCAATTCAATTATTCGGCTAAATGAATGATAATCCGATAAATTGCCATATTTTAATGATATTTTTATTTCAATTTTTTAGAGCCATATTGTGCCATGGGGAATAAGATGGGATGTTAAACGGAGTATATGTATCTTTTAGTTCTAATGGCATTTAACCATCTAGGAAAACTACATAAAATGATGTGTGAAAAGGGGGAACGGAGGCTTCAGAAATCTTACGTAATTTCTAATGAATCCTTTGAGTTTCTCAAATTCCATTTTTCTCCCTTTATTTACTATTTATGTAATTAGGGAGATAAATTTTCTATCCGACCAGATACCTTATACCAAAAATATGTATTTTATTTTAGTCATATAACAAAATACATCACATACGTCACATTTACAGCTAAATTATTTGCGCAAATGATGAACATGAAAAAAGATTTTCCTTGGCTTTATAGAAGTTAAGAAAAGTCTGCCGCATTAGTTTATATTGCTGAAGGGTACAATTTACATATTTGACAATTAAACTGACCAGCATAAGTATATAAGAGGCGCGATCAATTTGCACTGTTATATAATAATTATGCTTACGGGAATAACGCGCCATTGCCACCACCATTGCAATCTAGTTGAAACATCGAGCAATTCACTCGTTTGTACTAAATCCGAATGGATTTTCCATCCCCTTACCAAAAACTAAAGTTATACGAGGGGCAACATCTTTTTCTTATATTTTTATTATTATTCTAATTACATATTAAATTTAAAAAATTACCAAATATCACTTTCATTTTCATAAAAGAACGCTGAAATATAGAAACTGCAGTTCCAATCCTGTTTCCCATCCTAGACTATTCGCTTTCCTACCCCAATTTTGCCCAGTTTGTAAATGATCAGGTACATTAACCGACAATAAAATGGCGATAAAAGAAATCAGCCAAAACCCTTTTGCAATATTAGACTAGTAATGCCTTTATCAATCCCAAATAAAATTGGGAAAAGGGTAACAAGACAAAATATTAGTAAGTTAACGACTAGGTTGGTAACCAGTTCCAAATACCTGTAGAAACACAGGTTATAGATATTCGCTTCATAAGAAGGCTTATTTGGGGTTCTATTTATTTTTTTAATTAATATAAGATAAATAATAAAGTCATATTTTACGTAAAATTATGAACGATCAAAATCGTTCACAATTTCAAAATAAGACGCATGGTTTTGAATTACATAATTAAAGACTTTCCTAAGTTTATATTTTTTTTTCAGATAAAAAGCAAGTAGAAATAAATATATACATATATATAAATAAGTTTCTGAGCTGGAATATAATAAAATATCTACATTTTAATTCCAAATAAAATTTGGTTTCAGAACGATTGAGGAACTGACGCTGACGGCCTGACGCCAATTATGACAGTTGACTAATGAGGCCTCGCTATCGTTTACGTTGTAAATTAAAATATAACTGCAAATAATTATAATACTTCGTCAATAGCTGTGTAATTTAATAAAATAAACATGGTGGCTCGTGTGGCTGGAGTTTTTAATGAGCAATTGACGGAAGCCATCGCTAATTCCAAGATTTTGGTCGTTGGGGCCGGCGGCATAGGTTGTGAGATATTGAAGAATCTCGTGCTAACCGGCTTCCCTTCCATTGAAATTGTCAGTTTTATCTCATTTTGTTTTGTTTGTTATGCGCAGTGATCCAAAGTTCTAATAGGCTTGTTTTTTTTTTCAGATCGACCTTGATACTATCGACGTAAGCAATTTAAATCGTCAATTTTTATTTCACAAAGAACATGTTGGAAAGTCGAAAGCTCAAGTGGCAAAGGACAGTGCCCTCAGCTTTAATCCAAACGTTAACATTATTGCACATCACGATAGTGTTATTAGGTTAGTATCACTGTACATAATTTATAGAACACAACCTCTAGTCTTTACATTTTATGCTAAATATAATAATTTAATTACTAATTAAGTGTTATTAGGTTGGTAACTACCACTCAGTACCCTAATAACTTCAATAAAATTAACTAGTTATGAGCCAGACTCGTACACCAAGTGTTCTAAACTAAAATGTATGCAGATATTTTGCCTGACTCTTGAATCAATGTGATAGTTGTTCAACAATTGATCATTTTTTTATGTATACCTACAAGTCCATTATCTACTATATTAATGTTAAGGTCAGTAAAAAGAATCTTATAGGTTTTATTTTAGCATTCCATGGGCACATCAAAACCAATAAGATACTTTAGAATTAAGTTTGTTTCCATAATATAAAATAAAAACAGTTGAGAAACTATTTTATATTATCAAAACAAACAAAATAAATAAAAATAAGGTTCTCCAGATCACAATTTATCAGTTACTTAACATAATTTCTTTAGTAGTGTCAAAAGCCCTTTATAATTACTAAATCTTTTAAATATGATTTTATAAACTCGAAACTACCTTGAGTTCCTGAGAAATTGATCTTGACAGACATAAAGTGATACTATAAACATTTCTTGTCTACTTTTGAAGAACTACTAATACCCTAAAAACGGTTCTCGAGTGTTGAAGACTTGATTAAACACATGTTAATAATACTGTGATATGAAAATGATCATTTGTTCTGTGTCTGGGTGTAATTTATCTAAAATATGTATGTATTTAAAAATATATAAGTTTGTTTATCAGCAGTCTGGTTACCAGAGTACAGGCTCTGCCTAGTGTGGGATAAGACGGCCGTGTGTGAGATATATAGTTATTTAAGCATATCCTTCCTTATTTCCAGCAATGACTATGGAGTCAGTTATTTCAAGCAGTTCAACATTGTGATGAATGCTCTTGACAACCGTGTGGCACGTAACCATGTCAACCGCATGTGTCTCGCTGCAAATGTGCCTCTTATTGAAACTGGCACAGCTGGTTATGCAGGACAGGTAATTTTTTCTATAAATAAAAATCTCCTATTAGTGTTAGACCTTTGATGGTTGGTTAACATAGATGTGAGTTAACACTGTTAAGAAATTGTTGCTATGCTTTGGCTTTGGACAGGCCTGCTGGTCTAGTGGTTAGTGCCCCTGACTGCTAAGCTAGAGATTGTAGGTTTGATTCCCTCCCAGGAGCATTGTGTGATGAGCATGATCATTTGTTCTGTGTCTGGGTGTAATGTATCTATAATATGTATGTATTTTAGAACTATTTAAGTATGTTTTTTTTTTTTTTTTAAGAGATGTGTCAAGTTATTATTATTCTATTAAATATTTATTATTATTCTATTTATTATTATTAATATTGTCTTTTTCAAACAAAAAAAAAGAAAGAAAAAATAATACATGATGTTAGTAACAAACCTTTCCAGGTTATTGGAATTGTCCATAAATGTAATTATTGGTAAAGGCCTCAATTGATGTCATACCACTTCCTTGCAGAAATCTGGTGTTAAACATTTAGGGCCTGTCCGCAAGCTCTATTTCACCGCATGTTTTGTTTCTCAAAACTCTATGACACATTTGATTTATATGTAACTATCCACACTGGCTGAAAATAATTAATGCTAAAAATGATGAAAAATTTGACAAATTGAGTGTGATACAGTGTCAATTTATTTAAATATTTTGTGTGGTATTAAGGAGATGAGGCATTCATAGTGCGTACTAGGTGTATTTCTAGTCACAGAATATAATACGCAAAAATAAAAACCTTATCTTGAAATATCACCCTTATTTTATTGCTTTTAACCTAGTTTATGAGGTTCCTGGGACCCAAACCCTCGCCCGCAATTCTGGGGTGAGGAGCACTTAAACTCACTTTTGCCTCTTAAGTTGCAAATGTGAGTGGAGAGCAATATCACATGCACATTTGCCCCCCTATACCTATAACTTAGTAAATTAGAGAAACCTAATATGAGGAATAGCAAATGAACTTCAGACTAAAATTCCTACATAATTTTATTTTTTGAATGTCATGCATGTATGAATCAGTATAATATTAAAAATTTCCATAATCTTTATTCCACAGGTGGAACTAATAAAAAAAGGGCTAACCCAATGCTATGAATGTCAACCTAAAGCCCCACAGAAGAGCTTCCCTGGCTGTACCATCCGCAACACACCATCTGAACCGATTCACTGCATTGTATGGGCAAAACATCTGTTCAATCAATTATTTGGAGAAGAGGATCCTGATCAAGATGTTAGCCCAGATACAGCTGATCCAGAAGCAGCTGGAGATGCAGGGGCTTCAGCTCTTTCAGCAGAAGGAAACACTGCAGGCAATGTAGAGAGGAAGAGCACTAGATCCTGGGCAGCAGACACAAATTATGATGCTGAAAAGCTATTTACTAAATTATTTGGGGATGATATTCGCTACCTACTTTCTATGGAGAATCTCTGGAAAAAGCGTCGTCCACCTACCCCTTTGGTTTGGGACAATTTACCTGGAAAAGATGATGCACCAATACAACATTCTGGGCTTCCTGATCAACGAGTTTGGTCTGTGCATGAATGTGCTCAAGTAAGTCTGATATAATACAATAAAAAAAACAAAAAAAAAATTATTATAACTGTATATCAGTGACTCATTTAATGGTTTGCCACAATTTTAACGCATGACAAATATTCGGAGAATTAATAAATAAATATGGTGCTATTTGTTTACTATTCCTCCAAGTGTTTCCACCTACTATGATTGCATACACATAGTACATATTTTCGATTCCCAGGTTGGATCAAGTGTTTGTATGATCTGCAAATATTTGTTTCGGAGTTTGGATGTTTTCTATAGAAAACAACCAAACCCCGAAACAAATATTTGTACTATAGTTTGAACTATACATACGTACATAGTTTCAAGCTAGATGGCGTTTGCGTGTCAGATGTCCAAAAAATATTTGAAAGGCAATTCTTACTAAACAACTAAAGTTAGTGAAATAAGATACACGGAAAAATCTGACAACACATCATTAATTTATACTCAATGTTTCTTCCAAAACATCTACAGATATCTATTTGAATATGCAGGTGTTTGCTTCAAGCTGCAGCGCCCTACAAAAAGATCTGAAGAGCCGTCCGGAGGGTGATCACTTGGTGTGGGACAAAGACGAGCGCAGCGCTATGGACTTTGTCACAGCCTGCTCTAACATACGGGCTCATATATTCAACATTCCTCTCAAATCTCGCTTTGAGATTAAATGTAAGTAAAATGTCTGTACTCATATATAAGCCCAAAATCGATCTAAGTGGCGTGCAATGGGAGAGGCCTATGTCCAGCAGTGGACTGCGATAGACTGATGATGATGATAATGTCTGTAGTACCTATATATTTTTTAGAAAAATAGCTTTTTAAATAAGGAGCAATCAACCGTTATATCATGACCAGAGTAAATACCACAGCCTCACAAAAAACTGGTCTTAAGCATTTTTTATTGCTTTTTAACGACTGAGTAATTCTGGGGGGAGACGCAAAGGGCTTAAACACATTCTGTGACTCAAGTGTCCATTTGCGGTACCAGGAACTTACCATGAGGTGACACGTCTGCTCGTTTGCTACCTTAAAAAACCATATAACCAAAAAAAACATGCATGTGATGTCAACCACTCTCAATCTTGTAGATATTCTTTTCTACACATTTAAAAGGCAATTCATTCTGCCTATTACCATCACTGTTGTGTTATTGTTAACATTCAACAACTTTATTGTCCTATAGCAATGGCGGGCAACATAATCCCAGCAATAGCAACAGCCAACGCTATTGTAGCAGGTCTCGCAGTACTCCGCGCTCAATCCATACTGAAAGGCGAAATCGAGAACTGCACCAGCGTCTACTTGCGGCCTAAAGTCAACCACCGCGGACAGCTATTCGTACCTGAGAGAAGTTAGTATATATAATCCTAACTTAATTCAATAGTGTTATAAGTTAATATACCTTACTGGCCTGATGATGTATTCTGTAGTTCCGTGAGCCAGAGCTGAGTAGTAAGGTTCATTTACTACTAGACTAACAAGCGGATTGTGGGTATGATTCCCACCACACACTAGAAATGTCCAAGATTGTTTGTTCTAAGTCCAGTATAATTTATCTATATTATGTATATATTTAGGAATATATAAAGTTCATAATTATTATTTGTCATCATTTTAATTTCACACTTGTAACTTGTCTATTTCTGATTAAACCATCAGGAAAGGAACATAAGTTAATAATTATATGTGTGTTTATTTAAGACTAGTTTTTGCCCGCGGCTTCGCCCGCGTGTATGTTGGTTATCACGGTAACCAGTCTATAGCACTCAAACTCTTACTCTGTCACTAAACTTTCTAACAGTGAAAGAATTTTCAAAATCGGATCAGTAGTACCGGAGATAATGATAAATGGGGCTTTACTCGAGCGTCATGGAGATCTATTGCATTTCAAAGATTAGGTAATAGAATAAATAAAAGTTTCAAAATGTTTCCACTTTCAGCGGTGCGAAAAGCTTCTCCAGGTTTTCAGAAATGTAAGGGGAGGAAATCGAAAAAAAAAAATCGGGTGCATCGGATCTTTTTGGGATATGTTATTTGGACGCCAAACACAAGCTCGTAGCGAATTATCGAAAAGGCAAACTATAAATTTAAAATATCGCCATTTCAAAATACCCGAGCGTGTTTGATTTTATACAGACGGTTCAACTTGACGTTTATGTCATGCTAGCCAAAAATCTGACGATAATTTTGCAGGCTATTTTAAATCGGACGGTTAGGAATATTTTTATTTTTACAAAATGTAACAAATAAAGGCACGAAAAATTATTTAGACATTTATAGAAGATTTCTTGCATTGTTTGCTTCTAAATAAAAAAAAACAAGGTCGTGTGTTTATTAGAACTCTCACTCTCAAATCATTAGAATTTTTTTAAATACACGCATCTGTATATAATTAACCCAACATACCTTAATCTTACACGTACAAGTATTTTTGATCATCGATTTTTTTTTAACTTAAATGATGAGCTGTTTTAGACGATCCCCCCTATATGTAGGGCTCATGTATGGTGGAGGTACTCAACTGGGTGTAAGGTATTCCTCCTTTTTTTTCCGTGCGGAAATCCAAGGTATTCCTCCTATCTTAATCTGACACGCTCGAGTAAATCCCAAAATCCCTTCTAGGGCTCCCCTACTAATTACCCTGAACATACAAACTCACAATCTTTACCTCTTTATAATATTGGTATAGACTACATTACTACAGGAATATTCTGTGTGAGTAAATTAAACAAACAATCTTGTTTAATATAACTGATGAAAAAACTCTTTACGTAAACAGATTATTCTTAGAATGTAGTTTATCATTTGCGGTACTCCTACCCACGAGCACAAATGCAGAGTACAAAAATAATTTACTATTTATCAAAAATAAACGAATGTGTAAACTAATTGACTCTTCATGAGTTAATCATTATTTTTTATCTTATATTTCTTTTGAATTAGTCATGGATTTCAACACGATCACTGAAAAATTTCCGTGATGTGAGATTTGCCTCGTGAAACGATTTTTGCGTAAACAGAGCAGCTGTTGACGAAACTATCTATTGTTTATACGACCTTTTAGTTTTAAAAACACTATTTCAAGGCGCTTTAAAAAAACTTTACTTTTTTACTGGGGTGAAATACGGACATAGGTTTCAAGGATACATAACAATCAAAGTATATGAATAATTATTCACACAAATAAATTGTTGCAATTTTACTTGACCAAGTGATTTCTCAAAAATATGAAATTTTGAAAACTGCTATACGAATTACTGTCTTATTGACAGCACTATATGAATTATTATCCCTCGGAGAGTAGCCATTTATGTGTTTCGAGTCATTCCGAAATCACGAAAGTCACTTAGCTATAAATTTTATAAATCTTTTAAAATTTTTTTTTTCTTTCCAGCACTCACTGCGGCCAACCCGAAATGTTATGTTTGTGCGCCAAAACCAGAAGTAGGTCTCGCTTGCAACTTGAAGGCCCTTACTCTCAAAGATCTCACATCAGCATTCAAAGAAGGTCTTAATATGCAAGCGCCTGACGCGACAGTCGAAGGCAAGGGCCTCGTGGTCTTGTCATCAGAACCTGGAGAAACAGATCATAACAACGATAAAACACTAGAACAGATAGGTTTAAACGACGGATGTGCTTTACTTGTTGATGACTTCTTACAAAATTATGAAGTCAGGGTTAGATTACAGCAAGAGGACGAGGAAAAATCTTGGCGTTTAGTCACGGATGCAGATACTCCAATGCCTGCACCCAAAGAGGAAGAGAAATCGGCAAATGGCTCTAACGGTGGCAGTTCAGGTAATGATCCTAAGCCTGGACCTTCGAGGCCGAAGGAGGATAGTGAAAGTGACATGGAAATTGTTGAGGAAGATGATGACGAACCTACGATGAAACCCCCAAAGCGCAGGCGCACAGCAATGAGTGATGAAGTCGTCGAACTCTGTTAACTTTAGTCATTCTATTTTTTGAAACAAACGCAATAAATATATACAGGACCATTTTCTACCGCCGAAGTTTCGATGTTTTCAATAGTAGTTTTTTTATGAAAATTTACGGTTTATTGCTGTTGTAAGATCAACATTACTTAAATGTGACCAAAACGTTTATATTGGAAATGTGGGCTGCGAGTAAAATATTTAAGTATTTAAGCTCTCCAAGAAGAGTCATAATTATAAGAACAATTCATTATAAGAGTTATATAACTTTTCTAGTACTCTGTCTCATTAATAAATTAATTTAGAATATATTTTTTATATTTTATTTAAAAAATCACCTATAAATTACAAATGAAATCCTTGTTTATGTACGATGCAAGTGCATCAACTGATGAAAAGCGGCAAAGAAATATGAATTACAATTAAGTGTATCACTGACGCGTGTGTATCACTGGGTATCGAAGAATTACTAATATTTTATGTTACTAAATAGTACTGGAAGTGCAACTCCTACAGATAAACCAAACTAAATAAAATAGTGCCGCTTGACCGGTCAAGGAAAGTTTAAAAGGAATTTCCCCAATATATTAGATTAAACCGTAATTGGGAAGACTGAAACAAGAAAATTGTGATCTCGTTACATGTGCTTTTGCTTGACAGTGCCCACCTGAATAGTACACAGACAAATTAGGCAAAATACAGTCACTAATGGCAGATATAACCACTATATTCCTTGATCTATCCTCTAGATGCCAGAATATTTTCACCTGACACCGTACGGAACCCAGAACATATTATTTTTTTATTCTTATAAAGAAGGTCAACATAATTATTTCAAGACCAGCAGCATATCTTAATCTTATCAGTTGTTAAAATATTCATTATTAGACATTCTTTAACAAGCTATCTATTTAGGCAAAATGTTACGACGGAAAATTCGAGAAAACGGTTGATGATAAAAAAAAGTATTTTTTGTCTCCAACTAGAGACGATTGTCCAGCCAGATTAGGTTTAACGGTATGTACCTATAATATATTGTGGTAGTTACTAACCCTATAGATGGTTGTGACTCTTAAGATGGTATAGATAGAGGTATGTATATCGTTTTATTACATATTACATTATCCTAACGATATAGAAATAAAAGCAAAACTGATAGTCTAAGATTTATAAGGAAATTATAAATGGATTAAAACCTGCCAACTAAAAAACTACGATTTACCTTTAATATTTTTATTTAACCTACTTATGCTCTCATATACAGCTATACGCAACGGTAGGCAATTGTATTACGTATGGACCCACATTCCGTCAATTATAATTTTGGTCACGGTACAAGACTAGTGCAGTCAAGCGGGCATATCTCTGTTCTCCAAGCGAGAGAATTGTAAAAAATAAATCATTTTTATAATGCCTCTTAAAATTAACTCTAGAACTAGACGATCTCACAAAGCAATCATAAATTTACGCCATAAGCTTTTTTTATGTTATAGGGGGCAAACGAGCGGGCAGACGGGTTACCTGAGGCCCAAGTGTGTTTCTTTCACATCTATTCGATCGTCACGGTGACAGCGTTTGGCGTTGTGATTGGCCCGCGCTGAAATCTTCACCAATCACACACATATTCGCACTTGAGCCTCTGATGGTAAGTGACTACCGCCATCCACGGACACATGCAACTGCAGAGACACAGTTGCTGCCGTTTAAGGATCCCCTTCTCACAAAATGAGTGGGTGAGGTGGGGTTTGGGCTCCTGAAACCTCTCACTCGGTTCTTCAAAAGGAACAGGGAGCGGACGACCTCCTCAAGTAGCTCTGACTGGAGACACCCTGTCAGCGGCGGGGCCCATGAGCGCATCTTGCCCCCATGCCATACGATAGGGGCGGCCCCACGGATCCCGTTCCAGTGTCTCCAGTAACTCGCGGCGGGCCGCGATCTTGACCCTGAAGGGTCCTTTTGGCAACCCTGTATTCAGCTAACAACTCCGCCTCTCGGGCTGCCGCATCTTCGGGGCGGCGACGCATTCGGCGGAACCTGGACCACCGACGGCGCGTGGTCACGAACAGGGCGTTGCACTGCAAAAACTCGTTTTAGCCTTGGTACATTTTATATTGTAGGTAAACATTACAGAAAGCGGACAGTTTAGTGTGTGTGTGTGTTTGTTTTCATGTACCTAAGGAGAGCAGGTACCGAAAGGAAAATGAAAAATTCTATATTAAAAAAGAAGGTTGATTGATGTTTGTAAGACATACATTCCAAAATAAATCTGTCTTATACATTACACAGTGTAAACACGGTAAATTACAATTAATCACAGTACGCTGTTCCTTCATTTTCCTCAAATACCTAAATATAATGAATGTGTGTTATGCTTGTCTTCAAAAATTAACACATTAAACAATTTTTTCATTGTTCATATAGACTTTATATATTTTTTCATTATGATTATTACATTAGGTACAATACGTTTTCTCAAAGCAAGCGTTTGACCCGTCCGATAATTTGAAAGACAATTTTGAATAACCCAATAATATAATAATAACCCAATAATAATATACGAATAACTTGAGAACATGCATGCTCTCAAATCCTATTAATCTATACCTATATGATATTTTATTCACTTTTTATTATATTTTATTCACAAAATCCAAATGCAGTACCTCCATTGCAATTGGATTTTGTATTTTTCTTTTAGCAGCGTGAATAGGTTTAGGCCTTAGATTATTTAAATAATGTTCGTGAATGACGTGTTCTTGATTGTGAAATTGGTTACACATAAACATCTCTAAACCTTAATAGAGATTGGCCGTCTGTACGTGTGTTATAGCTTGTAAAATAGTTAGTTTTATACCAAGTTGTACCAAGACAACAATGCCTTAACCTTAGATTATTTAAATAATCTTTAAATAATTATTATAATATTTATTATATTATTTATAATTAATCTTTAAAAAATTATTTAAATAATCTAAGGTTAAGGCATTGTTGTCTTGGTACAACTTGGTATAAAACTAACTATTTTACAAGCTATAACACACGTACAGACGGCCAATCTCTATTAAGGTTTAGAGATGTTTATGTGTAACCAATTTCACAATCAAGAACACGTCATTCACGAACAATAAAACAATGGTAAACAAAAGGCTCTAGCTAACATTAATCGCTCACGTGCAGAACTACCTGTTAGTGCCTGTAGGTCGTAATGTTTTACGATATTGATCAAGCAGCCTTCGATAAGCAAACATTTAAATAATAGTAACTTAACTACTTTTAGATTGTGAAACGGATGGTCTAAACTTGGAGGCTACAGCAAATCGATGGTTTTTAGCAGTGAACAAACTTACTTATATCTTAATGGGGGTAAATTGAAGTAAGTGTAAGGAGAAAGTTTGTTAAAGGATCTTAAGAAGTCAGAAACGCGATAAGATTAATCAGACAATCTTAATAACATCACCTAGCCTCTTCTGAATTCAATTCAGAATAAACTCAACAACAATGTGCGTTATAACGGTATCACACGAAAAATAGTAGATATGTATTTTTAGAGCAGGTATGAAAGTTTAATCGTATTGCTTCTAGCCAACTCCCCTCCCCCCACAACAGGCCGATTTAGATAGATTGCTATATCTTTGAAAGTATAAACATATATACATACATATACTTTATAGTTATTGAAAGAGACCCTTTCGTGAAACGACCATACAAAGAGTCAAAGGCCTATGTTAATTATACACATTTTTTATAGCCCTTTGGGCAGTTTATAGACCGTATCGGTACCATAGTAATTTATAGAGTTTTAAAAAGTGCATGGTAATGTTTTTAATATGGGAGTATTTCTTTTTGCTGAGATTAAATCAAAACGGTTATAAGAATACATTCACACACAGTTCAATAACCCCGTGAGAAAATATTTTAAGTAAAGAACAACAAACAACGACAACTATTTTAAGACAGAACGGGACGATTAGAAATGGTAATTTTTGATTATTGTAAACTTCTGATATTTAAAGAAAATGTTAAGTACCGGTAATCGATGTCTTTAAGACTTGCACCAGGAGCGGTATCCTTATTACCCTATTATCTTTGTTCATCAACATCATCTTTCTACCTCTCTCAAAGTTCTGCTTAGGGTGGGCTCAATGTGCATTGTAAAGATTTTTCAATCCTTTTAGGGAAATAAAGATAGTAGGACACGGGAAATACTGTTAGTTTGGGATGGGTAAACGGGACTGGAAAGATGTCCTGCCGTAGCTCGAGAGGCCAGGATCGCCTACTTGTTTGTCCATCCTATGATCGAAGATGTGGGATGTGGTACACAGGATGTTTCAGAGGCCAGAGACAACAACGATTCCTAGCATCTTTGATCTACACAATAAATATCCCATCCAAACGCAAATCTATACATCGTTTAACTGTGTAGTTGTTGTTTTTTACACAGAAGTATATATTTTTAGCTATCTTAGACGCGTCTAGTAAAAACCGTTGAGTTTACGTTACACGGATATTTCTGTCATGTTAAATAAGAAAAAAAATATTTTTAGTATCAATAACTATCAAAGTATGTGGATATTTTTACGTCAACTTTCGGGGCTTGATATATCTCACAATCGTGTTATTACGGTAGTTTGCGTCTAACACAGTCTATTTTAATCCGACTGATCCAATTATAAATGTAAATAAAATTATCTATGACCTATAACCGATATAGTCGACCTATTGTCGCCAACAAGCAAGTTTTTGTGTAACTGAAATGTAGGTCATATAACGTCCTGGTTACCGTAAAAAACAAAATTGAATGTAGTCTAAAGATTTGATTATAAATTAAAATAGAGAGTCTCGTTGTGCCGAAACTGTTGTGTTATTTCTTTAAGACTGCGATGGTGCTGGCTCAAGCACAAAAAAATTAAAATAAATATGTATTGTTATAAGTATTCGGAGACATAGCGCTATCTAGACGCAAACTATTTTTAGATTTTAGAAGGCGGATTTTGAAATACATAATACTACATAACACTACATAAAAGAATACATGGGTGTATATAGACTGGGTGTGCAAATAGACTTATTTAATAGATTCAAGAATAAAAGTACTTCTAAAAAGGTATCGACTCTGCGACTTATGTACATTACAGTCAAACGCTCTAAAATGACATCTATTTATTAATTACCTATGCTTCACTATTACAGTAATAATGATTATTCCATTACTACTACTCAGCCTACTAACGGATTGCCAACTGTGTTTTATCCTCATTGTCGACAGAATAATATGAACAAATAGAAGAAACGGTTATTAATTATGGGAGATCAGGCACATCAGGACTAATTCATCATCAACGCCTTTATCCCATTTTGTTAGAAAGAAGATTATGTATTTTGTAGTGTAATGACTGGCCTGTTGATCTAGTGCAGGGATTCCCAAACTATTTGGGAAAGAGACCCCTTTTCTAAAATGTGTTACGAGTTTCAAATAAGAACTTGTGTTACTTAACTGGGGTCGATTTTAAGACCTCTTCGACCCCCAAAATCAGTTTTTGTTTATGTCGACCCCTGGGAATGCGATCGACTTTGGGATTCCCCGGCTTACTGTTTAGTGATTCTGACATTGGACTCCTGACTTGCCACCTGTTACGTAAATGCGACTACAAGTACAGTCGGCAAAATTTGGTCGGTTGATACACTATACACTGTTTAGTTCTTCTGGGATAAATACCTGAGCGTGATGTATGTATTATGTAATATTTAAACGGTACCATACCATACCACCCCCACAAGGTAGTCCGACGACTTTGTATAGGTCGCGGGAAGCCGTTGGATGCGGGCAGTACAGGACCGGTTGTTGTCTCCTGCGTCTGGCAAGGTTTGCAGGCCTATGTCCAGGAGTGGACGTCTTTCGGCTGAGAGGATGATGATATAACAATGAACAACAATTCTCACTGATATTTGTTTGTATTGTTAGCTATGCTAGTCACTTGTTTACTCCCCGTATCGCAGAACCCGTACCTTTTTGTATATCCGACTCGAAGTCCGGATTTATAGACCACCGGGTAATACGACACCAGAATTATTTTCGCTACATTTAAAAAACGAATACAATCTCAGCAAATTTTAAAGGAAAGGCGTCAAAAACAAGTAAAAAATAAAAATAAAAATCCAATATATACGTAAAATTTACGTTTATTACACACTACTTACACGAGAGGTAATTTAAAGTATTCATTACATAGCACCCGCTAGATGTATTGGTAGGCGGATCCAAAGCTGATGAAAATGCTTCATGAATTCATATAGTACATCTTTATATCATTATAAAAGGGTAAACTAAACCTTATTTGAAATAAAAAGCAATCTATTTAATAAGTACCAATAGAATCATAAAACATACAATGATTATCTTGTTAAAAAAAAATCACCTACTGAAATGCCTCCATCCATAAAGGTGAATTTAAAAAATATTTTTTTAAATCGGTTTATAAATGACGGAGCTCTGAGGCGGAACCTTCTTTTGCAGTCAGTTAATTACTTATTCCGGTTTTTTCAATTTTGACATTTTGTAATATAATTTGATGTAAAATGTAAATTTCACTTAACTACTACTAAACCAGAAATAATCTTGGGTAGATATATGGTAGTTCTGGTACTCGAAATTTGTAAATCCTTGTGATATCAACACGTGCTTGACGTCACTAACATCACTGGAAAGATTACCACTAATTACATATAAAGTTTTGGATGAATAACCGATTACAGGATATTGGACTTTATCCTCTTTTCGCAACAGGTGAGAGATTGAACCGCCAGATTAACTTGCTACTAGGCATACATAATATGTTTAATAACTATGGGTATGCATAATGGCAGAAGATACCGTAAACAGCCTGTAACAACTTCGGTTTTATGAGCTTCTGTCGGAAGGTAATAGCATTTTTGCTGTGGTCTCAAAAAGCCCAGGTTTCAGGGCCTTCCTTACGATAAGACCTCGTGTGGTTTTAAGGTGAGATTCCGTGTGATTTAAGATACACACTTCATATTTGTTATGGGCGACGACTCGTGAGGGACACCTCTCGTCACGGACGCGAAAAAATTAGATTGCGGCAAGTGTGACATTGAACTACAACATTTATATAAATAAAATGTATTTGTATACATATTTTTATAATCAGTAAGCCAGCTCTTGATACATAGTATTTTAAATGAACACTTGACCGGTATAGTTGTAACAAAAACGCAGTAAATCATTTACGTTCATTTAACATTATACATCAAACACTTGCCAATTTTCAATGTATATTAAGACTGAATATTTAAATGTTTAATCAAGTTTAAAGTTTACTAAATACTAAGTTTAAAAAATAACTTGTAATAAGTACTTATTCTTAACTTTAAAATAAATTATAACACTGAAAGCTAAAACACTGAACATTACTAACTAGTAAGGCTTACCAAACTTTAGGGTAACTTTAAGAACCAAATAAAAGGCTATTTAAAAATATACGGTTTTATACCACATTTCAGGGATTACTATTCTCGAGTGTAAAATGACAAAGACGCTTGACACAGGGCCCCAGTTGAGCATTCCCGTGAATAAAACTGTATATCTCTAAATTATATGAACACCAGTCACGAGTTCTTATTCTAATTACTTACTTAACGTTATTGCTAAGATTATTATCAACATATGTATACCTTGCAAATACTGTACTACTTTATGCCATTACACTATAAAATTGGTAGAACAGGTGGGTTTGTATAAAAGGTAACTGTTATACTATACTGTACTTAAGCCAAAGGCAATAAATGCTTCAATTGCATGTAGCAGGGAACACCATGGCCATTAACTTAAGATTATTTTTTAAAGGATTTTATTATTTGAGACGTTATTAGGGTTGCCTCTGTTCTAGGCTTCTAGTAGCCTGAACTTAAAGGGTTTTGGTTTTCAAAAGCTTTTATAGAGAAGTAATCTTTAATTAAGAGTATTGGATCAAAGATTTTCTTACCATATAACAAGACTATTTGATTACAAGGCTTTAATTTTTTTCTAAAGACAAGACAAGTCCAGCAATAGAAATATATCTAGTGTCCAGGAGGACTTTCCTAACATACACAAATGGACACAAAGAACACCCCGACTCCGAATAACAATTTGCACATCACTTAAAGTATTTTCCCATTTGGGGATCTAACCCACAACACTCACTGCACTAGGAAGCGGCAAGGTGGTCTCTTATACCACTGTGTATTGAAATTATTATAATTAAATTTCTGTATGACATAAAAATGTATTGCTCAAACCAAACACATTCATTGTACAATATTTATCAATTAAAATTACAGTGTGCTATTGTGTCATAATTGTTGTGGCTACAACTATTGAGTCATTGCCTCATAGACAATTGACTCAAGCTAACAATAACAAGGTAATGTGCTATTCCTGAATTAAAAAGGTAATTCCAGGTATTTAAGGTAAATATTAACAATGGGGATTTAGCAGACACATAACATGTTAAGAAGAACAGATATTGTATCGGAATAACACCTTGAAATATTTTTTTGAGTACAATTATACCTGCGCAGCAGATTTCTGTTCATCATTTTAATAATTTAGGGGATAAGGGGAGACCGAAATATACATTAATAAAATGAGGGCTTAATAAAAATACTAGAAACATCTAAGGTACGAGCAATTCAATGATGATGATAAGCCTTCATTCAGGCACAACTATATATCTTTGCTATTCATATAGTATTCTTTTGTTCCATTTTTGTGTGTCCGTTTGCCAGGTGGCAAAAGCTTCCTCCAATCTTCTCCATTCTGGCCTTTCTATGGCCACTCTACCCCATGTTATTCCCGTGACTTGTCTAATCTCGTCCTCCTACCTTCTCTGTGGTCTACCTCTCTTTCTTTTTCCATCCCTTGGGTACCACTGTGTGATTTTACTCCACTTATCTTTTCCTGATCATGTGGCCTGCCCATTTCCACTTGTGTCTCCTTATTTTCAAAGGTAATCTTTTAGTTCAGAAGCAAGACTAAGTCTTGGACCTTAGTCTTGCTTCTGATGCTGCTATTCCTTACTTTGTGTTTTCTTATGATCCCTATCATACTCCTTTCCAAGGTACGAGCAATTACTTATGATTAATTAATAATACAACTTTTAAATGTTGTAAAGTATATAATTATGCATATACAGGTATTGATTCCATCCTAAGATGATATAAACACTGGCTTTTGTCACGAGCATAATTAAAATTTTGTTAATTCCTGTATATTTACATAATCATATATCATCATTTATAAGGTAGAATAAAGAACTTATGAAATAATTGTAAACCTTTACCGTTTGACATGAATACAAAAGTGTGTTAGAATGTTATGATAATCATTACTGCATCTTACTATAACACATTATTATAAAAAGAACTGATAAAATCCAGCTATCAAAAAAAGGGGTTTTCCAGTCATTTTAAGATTGAATACTCAATTGTATAACGATAATGGAAATAAAAAAATTGTTTATCACTGTTACTGGTTTCTTATAATGCAATCTTGAGATGTATTAAGAATTAGCAGAAGCTCTTAATAGTAATATTATTTTAAGCTCCACAGATTTTGCACTTTATTTATAAATAAATTATAAGCAACACAACATGTGTAACTACTTTTCAGGTAGCATTCCATATTCTATAAGAAAACGTTCAACGTCAGTAGCAAAGAAGTCATTACCAAGTTCAGTTGCTAACTGCACAAAGTTGCCAATAATCTGACCTCCTTTGTAAACTAATAAAGCAGGCACTCCATCAACACGGAAATGTCGGCTTAAGCCTGCCATATCTGCTGCCATACGACAGAACTTTATTGTGGGGTAGTCCGAAGCTAGGACATTCAAGCAGCCATCCATAGTCTCACAGGCTCTGGTACTACTGTTGTAAATATGTATAATGATTGTTACCTTTGTGTCTTCTTTATCTATGGCATTCAGGAACTCTTCCTGGTTGCTCAGAGTTATCAGTTTGCCGAACTTTGGCACTTTTTGTAACTGTGTCATCAGTTCCTCCATTCGCTGTTTTTGATATTGCAATAAAAACTCTTCGTCCATTAGTTCAGACAATTCATCTTCTAGTTCCTCTTTTTGTTTTTCCTGCGCCACTTCACGTTCTGGTTTAACAGTAAGAGTGAGCTTTTTTGCTAGAGCAATACGTTCTTTGGCTAATTCGGCACGATTTTCTGCCTCAAGTTGCTTAAATCGTCGCCAATCCTCTAAAACACCTTTTGGACCAGTATTACTAGCCTGACCAGTCCAACTGTTAATGGGAGGTGGCTCAGCACTCGGCAATGATTGAGACTGTGGCACATTTCCTTCCTCGTCTCCACTTTTTTCGTCGTCTGATGCACCTTCATCTTCACTACTACTACAGTAAATCTGTAATTTTTCACCCAAAATTTTGTCCTCTAGCGTAGCCATTGCATACACACAGTTTATGTTACTTTGCACTGGTTGATATTTATTATTTAGCAATAAAATTGTAAAAATTGAATAATAAAAAATCTAATTTGAACACAAGCGGTTACTTCACAGTCCAACACCAACTCATAATCATAACTCAACAGTCAACAGAACGAAGTCGAGTTGAGAGAGTCAAACAGGCCATAGATAAAACACTAAAACTATAACAGGCGGACCCAAGCTAGTCTTAGTGAGTGTGCGCACGGGTGACTTTTGTCACTGCCACATCACGTCTCTAAAGTAAAGAACGCGCACGAAAAGTGCTCGACAGTTTAAAACTTTTTCGAAATTAAACGCCCCGTCCGAACATTGGAATTTTCTGCCTGAAAATTAAACTTTTTATGCAATCAGCTGTCAAAAGTTAAGGTCATTCCCCGTAGATATCGCACAAAAGTCTTAACGACATGTTTATTCCTTGCAAATAGTCTACTAACACAAGTTGGCAACCGAAAGGGGGGCTATTGCTTTTCGATTCATTTCATTGCAGTTTTTGACCGTATGCGGTATTTATCAAATTGTTTTTGTTAAAATATTCTGTTAACACCTTGTGATGTCATTTTTAACCAAAAAAATTGGAAAATTATTAAATAAAGGCCCTTAAATTTCAAAAAGTTTCCAAACTTTTTTGTCACCGTGACAAAAGTCACCCATGCGAGCATGCCCTTATCACGGTACAATTATAATACAGTAGTGTAACTCGGCCGCATGATAGAAATAAATGCCTACAGCCGCGCGGTACGTAAACATGCGTTAGGGCTGCCCGTTTCCAGCATTTTAATTATATTTGCCTACTTTATGTTTCTATTTAGATTTGTGATTGTAAATATCCTTTTTATATAAATAAATGAAATACTTTGTATATTGGATAGGAAGTGTTCAATAAAAATGCGTGTTGTTTTTTGATTGGTAGATTTAATTAAAAAAACATGTTTTTGTTTAAAAAACAAATCGGGCTTATAAATTTGCGACCGAAAAATATTTGCGCCTCAATATTTCCTCCATTTTTTCTATATATTCCACAAAATCATCGTTATGTACAATCAAAAAAGTTCGCGAATTAATCTTACTGTAGTCCCGGTACCGTATCATGATACATTCAGAACCGCATATAACTACCTATTTCACTCGTCTCAATAACTTTCCGTTACTCTATTCGCTTTATTTATTAATCCAAACACCTTTTTTTCGTGCGATAAAAGGAAATACTTATCCATTAAAAAGACACACATTATGTACCTACCTACTAGTAAGTAAAATTATTTAATAGTCTTACCTTTCAGAGTTTCCAGGTAATTTAAAAAAACTTATGTCTGGATGCGTTATTGACGAATTTATACAACCAAAAACAGCACAATATTTTCGACTCGTCATATTAACTGTTATTTAGAGAAAAAATCGCGCGGTTATTGTTAAAAAAACTACACAGAGTCCGTTCGACACTGCGGTACAGCCGTGACTGTCTGCGCCCCGAGCGCACCCCGAGATCGATGCGCGTAGGTATAGCTCGTGTTTCGTCCGTTTGTATGAAGTTGGAGTACTGTATTATAATAGTACCGTGCCCTTATTTTCCCGAAAATGACATTAGTAAAATTGACGAGGGTCTCTAATAACTGAAAATAAGATATCGTTTTCTGCAGCATCGAGATAATGTCGCAGACATTCAGTGTCGAAAACCAAAAAGTTCTCTCCTTTGCTTCAATTAAAGGTTTTGAATACAATCTTACTTATCTAATAAATAATAAAATCTATGAAATAAATGATTTACTTATTACTTTGCAAAAAAAAAGCGGTCATCGTCGTTAACATTCTTCGACCACTTGCCTCTTATTATTGGGGAAAAATAATAGTTATTAGAATTCATTAGGAAAAGAATAAGGGTTATTAGAGGTTTATTTTTTAATTTTTCGAAGGGCTGCTTTCAAAAAACTTGTTTTTGAAAAACTTAACAATACCGAAATCCTCTTAGACTTTCAACAAAATAATAAATGGACTTTTGTGTTTTCAATTTTCTATTAAAATTAAGCAAATTACAAAATACAGACAAAAATTGACTACCTTATATATTTTTCATCGATTAGTTTATTCTTCTTTGGATTTTTTTGTTTAATTATATCAAATTAACACATTTTTCTAGTTTTTTTTTTGCAAAATACCATGGGCCAAACAACAAATGGGACACCGACAAACGGGATGGTAAATGTTTGAGTTCCTCCCTTTGAGGGTTGGACACCGTTAACTTCACAAAGCAACGAAAGAATTGCTTAACTTAGTAGTAGTTTATTTGTTACACATATTGCTTAACACCGGTTTCCTGCGAAGACTTACTCCAGTCGAGTCGAGTCACACCATTTCATCTCAAGTATAATTTAGAAAGACAAAACAGAAGAAATACAGAACAAGAAGAATAGACAGTTTTTTTTAATATTAATGTGCTGGGAATGTCTATTGTAAACGGAAACACAGCTTAGGTTGTAACTTGTGACATTTCACGTCCAACATAGACGATCTTCTGTGGAAAGTCTATGTACACAAAAATAGGGATCCACAATAAAATGACATGTGGTAGACTGACAAGTAAATATGTAATAAAACTGTCAATATTCTTAAGAAACGTGGGCTCTATATTTACCTAAAAATTAAGAGAATATAAGATAAAACTAGTCTCATTAGTATAAGTCATCACTAGTTACACTTATGATAAGTACAAAATGAGTGAGTATATAGAGTTTCAAATATTTGCTACTTGCTGACGCAACGAAATGATTTTACCAATTAGTTTCTTATTTTAGGTCGTATACTTGAAAATCTCCGCAATGTGGACCCTAACAACAGTGACGCAGTAAAAGAAACTATAACTGCGTTCTTTCAAAACCTTCCAAAGCATACAGAAGAAAACTGCAACGTATGGTTGCGCGTTTTAGAACATGTTATAACCCGGTAACCTAACCTATTTAATTAAAGTTATCCAGTAAAGATATAATAATAACAATAGTGATTTAACAAATCTTCACACTGCCTCCAGATTTAAAACTAGGCAGAGCCTGTACAATGATAACCTGACTGCTTATAAACATGCTTATATTTTGCTAGATACATGCATATAATAGAATAATACACCTAGATGCAGAACAAATGATCATGTTTATCACACATTGTTTGGCCTGGCCACACAACAGACCATCTTGTATTGATAGGGCTGTAACTTAGTTACTTAGTCAAACTTTTTTTAAATGTTAGACGGGTCAGACGAGCAGAGGGGTCACCTGATGGAAAGTAACCATCGCCGCCCATGAACGTCTGCAACTCAGGAGTCACAAACGAGTTGCAGGCTTTCGGAAGGAGTATACTCTTTCCTTGAAGGTTTGATGGTCGTATCAGTCCGGAAATACCGTAGACGAAAACCCGTTCCACAGATTAGTTGTGTGGGGCAAAAAGTGCAAATATTATCTATTTAGTATCTATTTATTATCTATTAAGTATTAAGTTAATTTAATAACCATATACCTGTTATTTACTAGGTTTCCAAGATACTGCGCACAACACAGGTCAACTATAGAAAATCATATTGCACATTTTCTAGATTGTGCTAATTACTACAATGTTATTGAAGCTGCAAAATGTGCGCATGGACTACAGCAGGTTAGTTCTGTTGTAATCACATTTAAATTCCAATGAGCCAGTAATAATTGTGTGACAAAAAAAAAGTTTAAAAAAACTTAAAAACACGCTTTTATAGAAAACCAAAGTAAAAAATAGAATTAGTAAATTTGAAGAAAAGCGGTTGGTGCCTGTTCTCAATAGTAAAAAGCACCCCACGCTTTTTTTCAAATTTATAAAAAAATATTTTCTATTTTTTAACCAAGCTCCTTCTAGAAGAGCAGTAGCCACCTGGGGCATCCACAGGCATCTAGAAGCGAGTCTGTTATATGCTATAGTAATTAAGGACTACATTGTCGTATTAGGGCAAGCCCGTTACGATAGTGCTGTTGAGAAATAAATAAAGTTATAAAACTAAAAGATAAGTCAGTAAAATCTTAACTCATTTACTTTAATGGTTCAATTAGTACATTAAAGTAGAAAATAAATCATTAAAGCAACTTAATTTCTTTGTTGCAACATCTTAATATTTCAAAATCAATTAATTCACAATCACACCAATTTAATTTACAAGAATAATGAATGGTTAATGAAAATTAACATTTCTCTTTAAAAAACCAAACAGCATTAAAATCGGTCCAGATGTTCTTGAGTTATAAATGGGTAATATTTTTCTATTCAGATTCGACCATCCCAGGATAAAACGGCTACTGCAAAGAACTGCTGGCGGGAACAGATGAGCTTGTTGTGCAATACCGCACATAAACTTATTGAAGCTGTATTCTCTAAAACTGTTAACATTTATAAAGACAGCAGAAATGTTAAGGTAAGTTCAATGAAAATTCATTCAATTACTTTATGCAATACTATTGAGCCTCCACTCAAATCATCTAGCTGAAGTGACATGACATGACATGCAAATGGACAAGTTCAGGAGCTGAGGTTGGAGGAATTTTATATGTGTCAATAGTAAAACCTAATTAAATTTAAATTTAAGTAAAAAACGGAAATTGACTTACAATGACTAAACCTTAAAAAAAATCTTAAATATGAAAAAATATGGTATATATGATGCCTCTATGGTGCAGTGCTGTGCTGAGGTCTCGGGTTCGATTCCCGGGTCGGACAAAATATATGTATGATCTGTAAAAATTTGTTTCTGAGTTTGGGTGTTTTCTATGTATGTATTTACAAAAAAAAGTATATAAGTATTCTATCAGTCAATCTAGCTTTCATAGTACAGAGCTTGGTTTGATACTAAATGGCACTGTATGTCAGATTTACGAAAAAAGCGTAAAATAAAGGTAGAGTTCATGAAAAACAATTACTGTCTTTCCAGATCTTATTAAGGTTTCGGAATAAACTATTCTGTATTGTTTCAGAAACTTCCCACTCAGTTGTTGTCCAACACACCATTGTCCACAGCCCTGTCTCACGTTCTGGATGTAAAGAAAACAACACCAAACACTAATTCTTTGGATAAAGACGTAATACTGTGTAATAAATTAAGAAATATATTTATTTTCATTCAAGCTATGCTTGTGTAAGTATACTTATATTCCTTTTACTACTAGCTTTATAATTTTACTACAAGACTCCTTATAACATGACACTCTGGATAAGTGAGTCTGATTCAAACCCAAACCTTGGTCCCAAAGAAATTGGTATGTACTTTCTATTCGTTTCTTTTGATATACAAAAGAACATTGTTATAAAATAAAAAATGAACGAATTTGACGTTTGCCTCTACTACTGCTGCGAGAACCTTTCAACAAATATCATGATTCTAAGTCAATTGGCACTCAAATAGTTTTTGATTTCCGATTTTGATTCCTGTAAAATCTTATCTTAATATAAATACTTGTTCATATGTGTGCCTGAGAAGCCTCATTATAAAGTCTCAGAGAATTGTTTTCCTACTTGTAAGTAGTTTTCACTAACCTTTAAACTTACAGAGAAGTATATCCAGTGGCAAAACCAATTCAACCCCAGTTAATATTAGAAGTAATAGTGCAAGCATTGAGCGTGTCTAGTAGTGCCAACACTAATGTAACAGAAGCAGCTACGGTCAAAATACAGGCGCACAGGACTTTAGATGCCTTGATATTGTGGTAAGATTATTTTGTCACCTATTTATACATCACATCAACAGCCTTTAATAGTCCACTGCTGGACATAGGCCTCTCCTTAGAAGGGAGGTCTTGGCCTTCTATACCACGCTGGCCAGACGGGTTGGTATAGTTTTTGTGTCAAGTTTTCCTTCTTTTTGCAGTGATGGTGTCCTGCGTTGTTTTGCGCCCTTAGTCGCCTCTTACGACACCCACGGGATGAATAGGGGTAGTGACATTCCGTATTCTTAATCCGTCACTACACGGACAACCTACCTACTCACTACAGGGTCACCTATTAACATACACCCTTTTTCGAAAATTTGATCCCTTTTTTGTACGTATGGAAACCCCCTCGGGCTGACACCCTTCCAGGGTTTTCGACACGGTGTGGCATACTGTGCCTAAAATATTGAATTCTTCAAATATTACACTATTATTATTAGCGTATAGAGCTTACGCCGCGATGCAGTATTTTGCTCCATACTTTAGTGCCGGCCGGCAGAAATACATTCAGTCGCTCAGATAAGCTCTTAATGATCGAATTCCGAAATTGTGACCAACATTGCAATTTAAAAATTCCATCGCACGTGTTAAAAACGTGTAAAAATCAATCGCCTGCAAAATTTAGTTATGGTAACCTTTCATCGGTGAATAAACTAAACATTAAGTAAACTACTTTTGTATCAAGTAAATCAAAACGTAACTTGTACATTTTGTACCCGCCATTTGTGAATGAAAATCATTGATTTTGAAAAATAAACCGTTCAGATTTGACACATAGCATAGGTACTAAATCTTTGTTGAACTATTTACTATGAGAACTTACCTCTCACTAGGCACCGGCGTGTTGGGTGTACCGGCAAAAACTATATAGGTACACGTCAGTCAAGTTTTCTGAACAAATCTGCTATACAACCTTGTGTAAATGTAAGTTACAATACATGAGTAGGAAGTATTTACATCTTTAATTCAACATTATTTTAATGAACTAAGGACCCTTAATCACCGAACACATCTGATACGGTCCGTTATAAACAAAAACACAACAATTTGCTTGCAACATCAAGCTAAAAAAAGTTATTCATCTAAACGGGAATGGTTATATTGTTTAAGGGTAATTAGTTAAACATATTATTTCAAAAATAAGGCCTTTATTTTTTTAAATGAAATCAGGTAGCAGAATAATTAAAATGTTAGGCATCTCCATGCATTACTTTGTTACTTAAGAGAACGTAACACTTCCCCGTTTGGCCTGCGCGTGCCCTGCAGTCATCCAGTTGCGCGCGTTGTATTTTGTTCGAAACAGTTTCTCACATTTGTTTAGTAGGTACATTATAACGCAATGTCTTCGAAAATTGTTTTTAATTTGATCCTAGGGCAACAAAAATCAACCAGAAAATAAACGAAAAATGTTATTTAATCGATAAGTAATAGGAATTAAAACTTCAAACCAATCCAATCGGGCCAATCGCAAGGCCGCGGTCACCGTGAGGGTAAGTGGATGTGAAATAAACTCGTACATTGTCTTAGACATTGATTTAAGATATTGTCGAAGTGCTGTATGTCAGAGCATGCTGCATGTCGGACTAGCATTGTTGTCTAAGAAGAATGTCTTTCAAGCAAATTTCGCCCCCTTTTTTACATGATTTACGTATTTAATAGCCATTAAAGAAACTAAACATATTTGCCAACATTCTTATACCTAATAATAATAATAATTAAAAAAAAAAGCAAAAAAAAAATGTTTAATTACAAAAGAGTTACAGTATTACACGCTTTATATTAGCTTCACTTGTACGTTTGTATGTTTGTTTGTAACCGACTCCTTTGGGCGTGATTTTGCCTGACTTTAAACGGTCAGAATTCGTTCAAACTTTGTAGATATATCGAGGACCGATGACATTACACTAATTGAAAAAGAAAAAAAAAACTTAAAAACACGCTTTCTAAAAAGTGGGGTGCTTTTTACTATTGACAACAGGCACCCAACGCTTTTTCAAATTTATTTTCTATTTTTTAGTTTGGTTTTCTATAGAAAGCGTGTTTTTTAGTTTTTTAAAACTATATTTTTTTTAATACACAGTTGGTGACACAAACTGAGTAAATCAGCTTTATCTTAAGAGACAGTGTTCAGCCTTACAGATTCGTTTTATATTAATTCTGTTCGAGTTGTGTCTTTAGATATATAATATACAGTTATATTCCAGCTTGGGTCCAAACCTCATTCCATTCTCAGCATTAGTGTTCCGATGTGTGATGCAAACACTAAGGTGGAGTTCTGATAATCCTACCGAAGAATCAAGGTAATTATACGATTTCTATTATTATTTATGTATGACTATGCTTTTTGATTGTGTGGGGGGCAACGAGTTGACTAGTCACCTGATGGTAACGGACTAACTCCGCTCGCGCCCATGGACATCTACAACTCATGAAAGTCCCCTTCAGGGCGAAGGGAGGAGGGATGTTGGACCTCGCTGACTCGAGGAAAAGAAACGAAAAAATTAACGCCATGGTATCTTTCCTGTCGAGCTGGCCCACATGTGCCGAATAAAATAAAATCTTTATTATTTAGGTATATAAAAACAGCCTAAAATACATAAATAAGTGATGACATAGCATATTTCGGTATATTATCAATTAATTATATTCATCAGTCATCATCAACAGCCTTTAATAGTCCACTGCTGGACATAGGTATCTCCTTAGAAACTAGGTTTTGACCTACTATACCACGCTGGCTAGACGGGTTGGTATAAGGTTTGTTTCAAGCTTCCCTTCTCTTTGCAGTGCTGTTTTCCTGCGTAATTTGCTCCTTTATTCGACTCTTACGACACCCACGGGATGAATAGGGGTGGTGACATTCGGTATTTTTATTCCGTCACCACACGATTTATTATATTAGGGTATACTGATATAGGCTTACAAATAGTGAGATTGGTGTCCTTTAAACTAGAAATATCCTGTTTCTTGAAGCTTGACTCTGCCACCCCATCAACATAATATTATAAATAACATAAAAATGTGGAGGTCTGATCTACATACAAGACATTGATAGTGTGGATCTAAGATACTTAGTAAGTCAGTTGATGACCCTGTCTTGTAACCCCCTAAGTTACAGTCACGTTTTCCATTCGAGACTTGCGATAACCCTTAACCTAACTCCATCGCCCCATCCTTTTTCTCTAGCTCTCTAGACGTATCCTATTTCTCTACCCCAAATTACCTTTCCATATGTACCGTGCGAAAATTATTACATTCCCATAGAGGGTTGATGTCAGGCGGCCTGCCATATAAAAAACCAGTCAAAACCCTGTACAATGTTACACTTCGACACACAAAAAGGCCCGGGAGGTGATAATTGCGCTGATATCCATACAATCCATTCTGCAGAATAATACAAGCATTGCCATCTGCGAAAATTCGCGAAACTACTTCGAATAACTCATTCAGTGTTGCCATAAAAAAATGTTTTTTTTTTAACTTATAGCAAAGTCCGCTGCGTGGCATACAACAGTTTAAGCAGATGGTTGAATACTTTACACGTACACCGGGTGTCGAGCGACGACAAAGGCAGGTCTTGGGAAGACGAGATCACCAACCATATTATAACTGATATCACTCCCCCGAAGAAAACTGTAGAACTCACCGTAAGCAAATATTATAAACATATAAATATATGATAAAAATAAGCTAAGCATTTTATACAAATTATAAATCATTTGAAGGCGTCAATTTTTTTTTCTTTCGTTTTTTTTAAGACAACTCCAGCATTAGCAATATGTGTGTCGCGGGGGACTTTACAAACATACACGAACACAAAGAACGCCCAGACTCAGAATAACAACTTGTGGATCACACAAAGTGTCGTCCCATGTGGGGATCGAGCCCACAACACAGCGCAGTAGTAAGCGGCGTGGCGACCGCTTAAATGATTACGCCACCCGTGCAGTTTGATTTAATACTTAATATTTTAATAATATGTAGCGCAACTTGGTTGAATCTTCTAGATGTATCAAGAAGGATAAGGAGTCATTTGGTGATTACGAGATTTTTCAGGCAATTTTTCTGGTAATTTTAATGAGAACGGCCTATCGTATACGGCATATACGTATATGGCATTATCATACGTATATATATACGGCAATCGTAAACAGGCCAGGTGGAGTGACGATTTGCGCAATATAGCTGCCAGGAGCTGGATGTGAGAAGCCCAAAATCGATCTAAGTGATAATGAGAGAGGCATATGTCCAGCAGTGGACTGCGATTGGCTGATGATGATGACAATACGGCAATAGGGTATAGCTTCAGTCTTGTTGTGCAATACGGCGAATAAGAAGTATAGCGATCAATAATTTATTCATTTAATTTAATTATGTCTAACTCCCGTACTACGTGTACGTGTACGTACTACGTGTACGTGTACGTACTACGTGTACGTGTACGTACTACGTACTACGTGTACGTGTACGTACTACGTGTATTTCGGTTATCGCGGTAGAAAAGTGGCCTATGTTACTCGCTGATAGTGTAGCTTGGCAATGGTGAAAAAAAAAATTAAAATCGGTTCTGTATTTTAGGCGTGAAATCGTAACAAACAAACACGCTTTAACCCTATATAACATAAGTATGGATTAAATAGATCAACACTACTTTTCTGTTCCAGATGAGCAACCAGTACACAAAAAATTTAAGTAAAAAAGCACGTAAAAAATTAGCAAACACAATGCTGCAACAGAGCTCCTTAGCAAGTCATACACCAGGCGAAAAAAATAAACTCACTGTGTAAGTAACATTTAATTACATGATCATCCTCTGAGCCTTTTACCAAACTAGGCTGGGGTTGGCTTTACGTCTACTACGAGACGGGTGATCTTCGATTTTTTACGTGAAGCTACTGCCATAAGACCTCTAAAACCCAAGTACCAGACGATATCGAAGTTCTGTTGAAAAACTGTTGTCGGGCTTTCTAGGGCTCCAACTAGCCGCAACGATTGACACAGATGTTCATATAAATTAATAACAATTTATTACAATAAACTCTAATAATAATGGCGGGGGTTCCAACCAAACTGCTTCCACTAACCTTCAACAGTCTTTGGATCTCATCATATATATCATGCAGACCGCTCAACCTGAACAGACTTGACATCCGAATAGTTGTAAGAACCATTATGGTACAGAATTCGCAGCTATTCATCACAAATGCGTCAGACTCGTCGGATGTAACAACTACCTACATTGTTTTGGAGTGGGAGGAAGTGTGTGACGGTCCTACCTAGAAGCCTGATAACGCCCCAAGAGGCTACTATGCTTTTGAAAGGAACCTGTTCTGAACACATAATAGACGGTCTGTGAGTCTCAATGTGATACCAGAGCCTTCTAACAAAACTACTGATAATAATATACATTTATCCTTTTAATATCAGCGCAACTGCTTGATTATAACGTCAGTATTAATAAGCCTGTTCCATATTTAAATCTAAAGGTGTCTCAGTATGAGTGCACTTTTTCATTTTAAAACAAAAACACGTATTTTATGAAAGAGTTGTGATATTTTTATTGGTCTGTAAAGACGAGATGTTCCGATTAAGTATGGAATAAAATATCCGGCAAATGCCCCCCACGGCTCTGATCATCATCATCATTTTTGTAAAGCCCTCCATTTTTATTAATCGGTATAAACATAGGTGACAGCTGTCAATTTTCAGAGTTGCCACTTGCACGAAAACAAATGATTCTAAATTTAAAAAGTGCACTCTTACTGAGACACTCTTTATAACTAAACTAATGATAAAATACTTAATTAAAAATAATATAAATTGTGGTAACCTTTCATGTTTTTAGAATAGAAGAGACCAATGATGAAGTCGCCAATGCGGCTTTAGAATGTTTAGAAACATTCCTAACAGTTTGTGGAATATTTTTGAAACAAACTACTCATAAGGTATGTATATAATGTATTTATGGTTTTGCATATTAGCATTTACAGTTAATGCTAATATTCTCACATGTTTAATAGTTTGAGATGAGTATTATTGAATCTTTTATATATTATATTGTTATTGGTTAGTGACCCTGACTGCTAAGCCAGAGGTCGTGGGTTTGATTCCCACCCAGGGCAAATAATTGTGTGATGAACACGATCGTTGGTTCTGTGTATGTATTTAGAAATATATAAGTATGTTTATCAGCAGTCTGGTTACCATAGCATAGGATCTGCCTAGTTTGGGATCAGATGGCCTTGTGCGAGATGTGTGAAATTATTAAAAGAAGTAATAATACGGAAACACAATCAATTTATAAATAATAACAATAATTTTAGCCTATGCTTCCACATCCAGGCCTTCAAATAAAAACATAAAAATTTCCACCAGACACCAGAAGCAAAATGTAATACATAATTACTTTTGTAGGTATTTCAAGAGCGCCTTGTTCGAGAATGCTACCATTTAGACAGCTACTCAAAAGCACGTTCGGTTCGTTTGCTGCGAGCATTAGATGGTTGCAGGAAGAACACTCCGTCGAACGTACCACCACCCACACAATACTTGCTCCAGTTATACAGCACTTTGATTAATAGTCAATGTGATGAGGTAAGTTAAATTGTATCTTGTTTCCACTCGACTAAGGTCCAATATAATATATCACTGTGGAAGAGTTATGCTTCAGCACAAATGGGGCATCTCGATCGGAGAGATACCACGGCTTCACAGAAAACTGATGTTATTGTTGCTTATCACTGCATGCACATGTTTTTATTTTTTTGCAATTTATCATTTGTTGTGTGTGTTGATATGACTTGTACAGATTTCGTCTGTCAACTCATCCGTTACTCTCTACTTCTCAATCGTACGAGGTCTTGAGGAAGCACATGAACTTTAAATGAATAAAGATAAACCATTCACACTAATATTATAAATGCGAAAGTGTGTCTGTCTGTTACCTCTTCACACTTAAACCGCTGGACTGATTTAGATGAAATTCGGTATAGAGATAGTCCGAGTCCCTTGAAAGGACATAGGGTAGTTTTTATCCAAGAAATTATCCTTTAAGGGGTGGAAGTTTGTATGGGGAATTGATAACTGCTGAAGAGGATGGAGATACGATGATTCTTGCGGCAAGACATAGGCTACTTTTTACCTCGATTACCGACATTTACGTGGGTGGAGCCGCGGGCAAAGGCTAGTAATATAAAACAACAATGTATAGTGTTGGTGCAATCTTGCATAGCTGAATTACAAATTTATTTGCAAGATTGCACCAATACATAGTTAACTTTGGTACAACTCATACTGATATTTGGAAAGCAATTAGTGTCATAAATAGCCCGTGACCACCTGGAGGAGATTATTCTATGATCTTTAAGATCTCAGCAGAAACTGTCATGAATGTGTAAATCCCTGGTGAAGTAGTAAATTAAGAAGGTAGTATCACCAATTAGTATTATTTTCAATTTAATTCTTACTTTTTATTTGTTGTTTTTCGCAGGTTAAAAAATTCTCCTCCCAAGCTATATTGGAGATCAGACTACACTTGCACTGCTCGCCGCCTTCGCTCAACTTTGCCATCGAAGCTCCTGTAGACGAGAATAAAACAAAAGACAAGAGAAAGAGAATATCAGAAAGGAATAGAGCAGCATTAGAGTCGTTACTAGGGAAAGACAGGTACTTTTTAAATTTAAAATTTTTAAGAAGTGGTCATAGGTCAATATTAATCTATACTAATATTATAAAGCTGAAGAGTTTGTTTGTTTGTTTGAACGCGCTAATCTCAGGAACTACTGGTCCGATTTGAAAAATTCTTTCAGTGTTAGATAGCCCATTATTCGAGGAAGGCTATAGGCTATATATCATCACACTAAGACCAATAGGAGCGGAGCACCAATGAAGAATGTTTCAAAAATGGAGAAAATTGATTACTATTGAGAGACGCAGACGAAGTTCCGCGGGTCAGCTAGTTGCTAATATTTGAATTTCTGTGACTTATTGTATAAATATTTAATATGTTTTTCACAGAATGCCACCAGCCAATGATGAGGTGATAACCATTGCTGACGAACCATCTACTAAACGATCGCGTCTAGAGTCCGAAGTCGTCCTGGATAATATTAGTGTCAGCAGTGAATCAGCGAAATCTATTGAAATCAGTGATGATGATGCAGATAACGATGTTGTTCGAGAAGTTGAACTAGAAAGTCAGGAATTACAAGATAAAACAGAAGAAGATTCTAATAAACAAGACACCTTGACTATCTTAGAAGTTCATGATGATGCACAAGCAAGTAATACAATAATTGATATTGACGAAACTGGTGCAAGTACAAGTATCTCACCTCAACAGGAGCTATCTCAATGTGAAATAACACCCGAAACTAATATTTATGAAGCGAAAACCCAAATACCTCTAAATATTTCAGCTGATACTATAGAAGGTGATAATAGCCCAATATCTATGGAAGTAGTTTATGATACGAATGCAGACAAAAACGTAAAGGTTTTAGAAAAAATGGATGATGAAAATCTGCCTAGCACTAACGATACAGATGATGTACAAATCACTTGCGGTCAATGTGTAAAGAGTTCTCAGGAATTAGAAAAGGATCAGGATCCAGAGAAACATAAAGAAGTAGAAAATATTCCTGAAGTGAATGAAACAAACGAAGCTGAACTCGTACTTGAAAATGGTAATGGAAATGAAGTAATTGAAAATATTGAAGTTAAAATTACTACAAAAGAAATTACGGTAGATGACATGTTAGCGGACTTTGTCGACGAAGTAAACGAAGAAACTAGTGCTGAAGCTACTGAAGTTTAGGTGCCAAGTTATTTATAAGTTAATTTTCATCCTAATATTCTTTTTGATAAACCTATAGACATTTTAATAATAATCAAAATAAATTGCTTTCCTAACTAAAAGAAGTATGAAGTTTTAATAGTGTTTTTCCGAAATAATACGTCTCAGGCTTAAATTCCTCTTATACTGACATCGAGCAGCTGACTTCGGCCACGCGTACGAATATACACTACAACACATGACTACTTTACCTTTCCTATCTAAAGTACTCGAACGCCTCATCCATTCTCAACTGAATTCCTTCCCAAAACCTCTTTACTGAACTCCTTTCAATCCGACTTTCGTCCTGGTCACAGCAGGACTTCTGCACTGGTTCACATTACAGATAAGTATCATACTAGGCATCGATAGTGGAAAGATTACTGTACTCACTGTGGATTTTCACATTCTGCTTGGTATACTGCGGTCTCTTAACATATCTCCAAGGACAATTCATTGGTTTCATAGTTAGTTTTACTCTTCGCTGTGTTTATAAACTCCATCTCAAATCAGTTGAGTTCGTTTTACGACCTTTATGCAGATGATTTACAAATATATACAGAAGCTCCGCTTAACTTGTTATCGGAAGCATTCAAAAAAATCAATGCTGATCTATTGCGCATTGGCGAATGGAGTCATAGTTATGGACTCAAAGTTAATCCTGGAAAGACGCAGGTATGTGTAATTGGGAGCCCTGGGATGGTCTCAAGAATTCACTGAACACAGCTACCCTTAATTCAATTCGATGGCATCTCACTTGAGTTCAGTACTAGTGTCAAAAAAAATAGTAATCTTTATAGATAGTACTTTATCTTAGGCTCCACATATACGGTGATGATGATGGATCCCTGCGAAGACGATGATGGTTCCCTGCGAAGACTACGAAATTTTCTTCGGACTGCAACTTAGGCTGCGCTTGCACAAGCACTTCTCCCAATTATCGACTATGCCGATTTTAGCTATCTGAATCTCACTGAAGCACAACTTGATAAGCTTGAGCGACTTCAAAAAACTCTGTATATGAGCTAAGAAAATATGATCACGTTTCTGGATTCCTTCAAAAGCTCAAGAAGCTTTCAAGAAAATGGTTTAAGAATTGTTTAAATTGATTAAATCAGTTACGTATTACGGCATCATAAAAATGTTCGAAGCCCAAAATTGATCTAAGTGGCGTGCAATGGGAGACGCCTATCGCAGTCAGTCTATCGTAGTCCACTGCTGAATATGTTCAGCAGTGGACTACGATAGGCTGACGATGATGAAGAATGTTCCTTTTTTTTCTTCCTTTTATGTGAAATGCTTAATTAGTTATGTCTGTAAATATGTTGTATATTTGTTTTGAAGTATAAATATGTGTTTTATGAGTAAATATTTCTCTAATTTTACCTCTTTTATATTCATTACTAATTAAGCTAACAAAACTCATTGCACCTTCAACTATTACTGACCCTCCAAAACATTTTGATCCATCCTAAGATTGGCTGGAAGAGATTGCTTTTAACAATATGGCCGCAATTTTTTTGTACCTTACAATTTTTTTTAAACGGTGTATAAATAAAGTATTTTCTATCTATTTATCTATTTTATACAGCGATCGGTTTCGCACTGTGGGACTAGACTGATCTTGAATTAATTATTTGCTATGCGTCGTTAATGACTCGCGCTGGATCTATTCGTGAGTGTCGCGTACGTAAGCGCTTGTGCGTGTCACAAACGGACAGAGAAGCGTGTGCGTATCTCAGTAATTATCTAATTAATTTTAATGTATATGCTTAAAAAATTAGGCTTGGTATAAAATTGCCTATACCTAGTTAAAAGTTTTGTTTTTAACTTCAATTTGTTAGTTTGAAAATCATATTTCTGTATAAAAATCAAGAATGTTTATTTATAGCCTAAGTATTAAAAACACTACAAACCTTTTACCCGTAAATGGCAAACATCTATGGAAAATGATGTTTAACATTTTAATTTACAAAAACAATCGGTCACCGGTTCAATTTACCCGACCATCGATCACGTGGAATCTTAAAAGCCCACAATTCAAAAAACACTCAAAAATACAATTTAGTTAAATCAAATACGTCAATTGATTTTGACAAATGTTGGCAAACACTGAGTGATAAAATCTGAACAATCAATACAGAAATATACTATTTAATACAGTAATTGCTTAACAAAATGGTTATAGCCATTGGATTTGAAGGAAGTGCCAATAAGCTTGGGATCGGCATAGTAAAAGATGAAGAAATACTTGCTAATTGCCGAAGGACATATATCACACCACCCGGTGAAGGTTAGGTTTTACAAAATAAAAACAAACTTAAGGAATTATGAATATTTAAAAATGCAAAATGAATTCTAAACTATTAAATCGTTTAAAGAATCATAAAACGGTTTTCTAGGTTTCATGCCTCGGGAAACAGCAAAACATCATTCAGAAAATATCCATGAGCTATTACAAGAAGCTCTAGATCAGTCTGGTATCACTCCTCAAGAGATAGATGTGGTGTGTTACACTAAAGGTCCAGGAATGGGCGCCCCTCTGATGGTTTGCGCTATTGTAGCTAGAACTTGTGCAAAACTTTGGAAGAAACCCATTTATGGAGTCAATCACTGTGTTGGACGTATCCTTTTGTGGCTAACACTCTTAAAGGTTATAATAATACAATAATAAACTTTTTATTTTAGACTAAGGTCCATATTTATAAGAGAAATCTGCCATGAGGGTGGAAAACTTTCATAGTAAAAAAAGGGAAAGATGTTTGACAGTGTACAAATTGTTTTTCTTGTGTGCACCCTCATTACCTACAACAGTAACCATAATGGTGGGACAACAGAGTATGTAATCCACAAATATTTGTTTATAAATATGATTATTCCTTGTTTGAATCTTTATTAAGTCTCCTGATAAATAGGGCCACAGGTTGTTATTCCTTGTGCAGGAGTTGCCTTTAAAAACTAATAATTAGTATAAAATATAAGGGAAACAAAATAAAAGAAATAGACAAACCAGCAATATATATTTTTAATAAACATTTCTATTAGCCTTAGGTAATTTTTGTCTAAAGTGGAAAAGGCTCTAAAATTTTATATACATCTAACTACAACATCATCAACAGCCTTTGATAGTCCACCTCGGGACATAGGCCTCTCTTTAGAAAGGAGGTTTTGGTCTACTAAACCACGCTGGCCAGAACGGTTGGTAACAGGGTGATGACACTCTGTACTCTTAATCCATCACCACACGGTCTATCTACACATAATTATTTCCTCAACCCAGAAATCAGATATAGAAATGGGCAGGCTGATTACCAAAGCTAAAAATCCAACAGTTTTGTATGTGAGTGGTGGTAATACACAGATCATAGCTTATTCACGCAAGAAATACAAGATATTTGGGGAGACCATTGATATAGCTGTTGGTAATTGCTTGGATAGGTAAGACAATCAATTTCACTTAAATATATAATATTTGTAATAATATTATATAATATTAGTTTATTTTCACATTACATCAACAACAGTGCTTACCAGTGAGGCACTGTACAGTGTAGCAGCACATGAGTAGTTAATAGTCCACTGTTGGACATAAGCCTCTCCTTAGAAAGGAGGTTTATTTAGTAGTAGTAGTTTATTTTAATCCAGGTAAATTAAATTCAGATAAAATTATTGTTCAACTGTGCACACATGAGAGAAGTCTTAAAACTTGATCAACTCATCTCGCTTATGTTTTAACATCATTACTCGTTTTTTTCAACAAGGTAGGTTTCTTAACATGACAGATCAGATCAGGTCAAATCAGTTCATTTGCTTTAAAGTACAAATTATCTTGAGAAATAAGGAGAAATACAAATTATCTTGTCTCACATATTTTTGTTTTGATTTGTTTCAGATTTGCTCGAGTACTGAAGTTATCTAATGATCCAAGCCCTGGATACAATATTGAACAAGCTGCAAAGAAGGGAAAGAAATATTTAAACTTGCCTTATTGTGTTAAAGGTCAGCTTTCCTGAACCATTTAATTCTTTATGGAACTTTCTTATTTAGTTTTCTCGTGTATTGTTGACACCACTGGGGTGTTATTAATTTTATTTTGGTAACCATGCCACTGCCAACTAGTGATGTAAAACATGAAATAAAACAACTCATATGTTTTGATTTTTAATGATAATGTTAAATTGACCGATTTCACAAGGGATTCGTAAAACATAAAATCCGGCTCGAAGGACCAAAAAGATGTTGGGGTTATCTCGTCGTTAACGGTACCCCGGTAGTTGGTAGTTGTAGGTAAATAGTTCACACCAAACCAGTAGGTATTAAGTTCAAGACAGAGTTATTTTTATTTTTTGTATGTTCAGTAATCTGAGTCGTACGTTATGTTATGAAATACTGTTACTAGCACGCATGACAGAGTTGTTGTTACGACTGAATAAAATAATCAAGGACTACTGTATAAAAAGAAACTAAAATAGCTGTATGAGCAATATCGGCTCGTACAGTGTCCATTACAAAAAAACTAGATTAATAAAAAAAATTGATTCGATATTCTACAATAACTATAATTTTTTTTGACCATAACTTTGTTTCACTTTATTCGCTATCTTTAACATAACTTCTGAAAAAGCCTTTTTAAAATGTTCACGGTCGTGATCTTACGATTGATAAATAATTGAAATCGATAAATGCGTGTTTTTTAATAGAACTTCATTACGGTTGTTTGGGTACCAAAAAAAATTGGTGAGGTTGACATTACACAAGTTTTCTGCATTGGGTACAATACCTACAGTCTCATTAATCTCTTTCTGTATCCTCATCATTCCCGACTACTAGACAAATTTTAATCTATACAAACATAAATGTGAAAGTGAGTATGTTTGTTACGCTTTCACGCCTAAACCACTTAACCGATTTTGAAAATTCCTTCACCAATGGAACGCTACATTATCAGCGCATAACATAGGCAACCTTTTTACCGCGAAAACCGACGTATACACGGGCGGAGCTGCGAGCAAATTTAATAATGAATATTGAGAAGTTAGGTTAGGTTAGTTAGTAGTAGTTAGTGGAACAAATTTTGTTCCACTAACTACTAACTAACAATGTTAATGTAAATCTAAAAAAAATGTAATGTAAATTAACGCAAAGAATGTAACTTTATTTGTTGAACAAATAAAGTTATATTCTTTGCGTTAATTTGAAAACACCCGTAAATAACAAGTGCATTTATTACAGCCAGGCAATCGAAAGGACAGTCTGAATTAGTTTGTAAAATGGTCCTAATCTCATTACACTTCAACAAAAGTTATATTTTCAATATAACATGCAGCTTTACATAGTAGAGGCCATATTAAAATTAAAATAAAAAAAAAGTCAGTCACACTGCTGCACACAAGACTGCTGACAGAAGTAAAAACTCAAAACAATTGAACTACTCGTCGCTAGTCTGGTGCAATACGTCACGAGCATTTCGAGATCATCCGTGACGCGAAGCCAAAAGTTTTTCCCCTACCAAAAATCGCTCAAGGCGGCTAAAGAAGCTTTCACTTAAAATATAAAATTAACTGATACATCACTGATTAAAAACCTCAATGTATTCCTAATTATTTTTAAGAGTTTGTTTTTAGGAATGGATGTCAGTTTTTCTGGAATACTTTCATACATGGAGGATAAAATTGATGAATTGTTAAAAGAGTATACTCCAGAGGACCTATGTTATTCATTGCAAGAAACTATCTTCGCTATGTTGGTGGAGATCACGGAGAGGGCTATGGCACATTGTGGGTCTGATGAGGTAGCTACTAATCTTAGTAAAAAGCATACAGAATTCATCTCTAACCTTTGAAACATTGGACACAAATTGTCTATTATTGTTGGTAAGCTCTCCACCTGAGCTAAATGCTTGAGTTTGAAGTAGGTTCATGTCGGTAGTGGATTAGTTTAGATTCACCCAGAACCTCGTAGAAAAGAGGGCTTCTTTATGCGATTTAGTTGCGTGATTACATAACACGCATCTGCTACTCTCTGCTGCTTCTGATTCCTGCTTTGCAAACGTGTGATTATATTGTTTTATTATCGCTACAAATGCGTGACTACAATATCGTAGTCGATAGGAACGGTCGATTTTGTCTGATATGCAAATATGGCCTTAACATTTATTGCAGTATTACAGCTCAATGTTTGCTGGACCTATTGTACCGCCGAACAAAATCGCCATGGGTAACATCCCTTCATCCCTAGTTCGCGTCTTTTGCATCCTCTTCTATCAATCTGCAAAGGATCTTAGTATATATAGCCTGCTCAGACAGAGAGCAGACTGGAGTTCGGCGTTATAGTGATCGTCGACCGTCTCGTAACCGTAGAGTGTTCCAAAACACATAGTGGCGTTCAAATTCTTCGTTCCATTTTCGTTCGTGTCTTTGTAAGTTTAATATGTCGCTGAACAGTCCCTCTTCCGAAGAACCTTTGTTTTTGTCGAACCAAAAAGCTTCTAAAAAAAGAAGAAAGTACTAGGAGCACCCAATTAACGCAATACGAAAAGAATATGGTCAATTCAGTAGTATTTTATTATTCAGGTTTTATATTCCATGAATTTTACTAGTCATTTAGTAAACTCCTTTCTTTTTCCTAACCTAAGCAATTCAATATTTTTGTATTCGCATCAGAGATCGCGGTATTCTGTCGGCGGAAAAACTCTAGGACGCGACTTTCCGCTTTGACCGCCACGATCTGACTGCCTGCTGTGTGCGTTGTTGTAAAGAATGCAAAACTCGGAACTAACTTTAAAACCATTTTAACTTTTTGTTCAGGTACTTATAGTAGGAGGTGTTGGCTGTAACGAACGTCTCCAAGAGATGATGGGTGTGATGTGTTCAGAACGCGGCGCCAAGATCTTCGCTACAGACGAACGTTTCTGTATCGACAATGGCGTCATGATCGCATACGCCGGGGCTTTGGCTTTCAAAGCAGGCAGCCGGATGAGCTTCGAAGCATCGACTATTACACAGAGATATAGAACTGATGATGTATGGGTTACTTGGAGGGATGATTAAATAACCTTATTTGTTAATTGGTGTTTAATTTATTTGTTGGTAGGTAATGGTGAAAACTGTAACCTGTAAGAGAACGAAACTTAAATTCTATATATAAATATAAGTTGTTTCATTATATATAAAACAACTTATATATATATATATATATATATAATAAAACAACAGTTAGCATTGCAGTTAGCTAGAAACAACGTCGAGAACGAAAAGAACATAAAAGTTGGGTTGGGAAGCTACGTCGAAGTCTCCTCATCGTCGATCCCACAGTGCCTTAAGACGAGTCTTAAATGAGAGTACGTTTTATCCGTCATGGCATACGGAGCCGAAACGAGGACACGATTTAGGAGAGAGATAACAAAACCTTGCTTTAAATTTCAAGTATCTTGACTCCGTAGCTTGGACTTAAACTTATAGTTTATTATATTTAGGTTGAAGATTAACTAAAGAGATAACAAATATTTAACAACATCATATGTTTTTCTTAAAAATAACAATACAGTACTAATACAGTTCAGTGCTATCATATGGTTTCTAGGTTTCCTAGTTCGAATTATCATGGAAATCATAAAGGGCACTAAGATTTTGCACGCACATTTCGCACAAATTATAAGCTATAAATCTGGTTACTTTAAATCCAGCTTAGTAAACGTGAATTTTGGGGTATGTAGGTATACTTTTAAAGGGGTAACGTTACTCCAGCAGAATCTTATGTTTGTAAATAACTATAAAGCGGTTGGACACACAAATTTAAGAAGTTGGTCACATTTACAGAACATAGGGCTGTAATTATTCGTATCATTCAAACCCTTTAACTACACATTTTGGTGGCGTAACGCACTCTTTGTAGGTAAATTAGACTGTCAGTTAAACATTGTTTCCAGATTTCAACTGCCATCTGCTGGATCACAGGCCCAATCCCAAGTCACTCACTTCAGCGATGTTGGGGTCAACTGAGCAGGATAAATATTACGGTTTCGCGAAATACCTGTGCTGTGTGTAGGCAAAAAAATACAAATTTGGCCAAAACCGTGATGTAAGGCATATCCGAGATAGTTAAATAATACTTTTTTTTATGGTTCAGCGGGGCAAATGAGCAGACGGCTCACTTTTAAGAGACTACCGCCACTGATAAGTACATGCAACAGGTCCTGACCTGAGTCACTTTTTCAGTCCCAAAGAATTATGGGGAAGGTGTGGGTTTTGGGCTCCAGTAACCTTACTCACTCGTTGAAAACTACAAAGGAACTGCTTAACACTGTTTTTCTGTGAGGCTGTGGTATAACTGTAGTCTACTGTTATCGTGAGCATATGTGCTCATGATAACGTGTATTTGTTTTGTATTGATGTGTTAATATCTAACATAATATGTGGTGGGCTCATTTAGCAAATATGTAATATAAAAAAAGTGTGTAAAGTTAAAAAAACTTTAATAAATCAACCATCATATTTGTTCAAAATGAGAGTACCACTGCAACTTATTGGGAGCAAACACGCAACAAACAACATTACAAACTATTATATTCAAATATTGCTTCTTTTTTTATCAATTACAGTTTATAATCATATTGGCTGAACTCTAAGGAGTAATAAAAACTTAACAAGGTGTTTTACTTAAAATAATATTTATACTAACGATATGCAGACAAATTTCGCCTTTATCAACCTTCATATTTTGTATGCTATCACTACACTGCATACAGTAAAACAAGAATTATTTCTATGCATACATTTGTCTGACATAATTATTATTTTGTGTGTTTTATTTTTGTGTACATAATTTAGTGTCTTACAACATTACATTGTAAAATAGTTGAATAATAAATAGTTAACAAGTTCTTACCTAATACATAGAGGATGTATTTTTTTCATTTTATAGTTCATTATAAGTATTATCACTAAACATTGAATAAATATTTTGACTTGTGTATGACAAGATGAAAAGAATAATTTGCATATACAAAAATTTGTTGCATAAATAAAATCTATATGTTGTGTTACTACAAAAAAATATATATATTAGAAGTATTCAGAATAAATTAACAATGATATTAATGCTATTGCATTATTCACAACATGTGTTAAAGTCCAGCTAATGTCAGTGTCCTTTGTATCTTAACTAAAAGTTTTCATGTTCAGTTTTTAAAAGTCACTAATAAGAACAGTACAAAGAGTATAAAAAATTGAATATAGCCCTAATTGGCACTGGCAATTTATTCTCACTATTAAAACTTAAAATTCACACATAATGACTTTGATTATTGAGTCTACAATCTGTAGACAAACTGACAGCTTTTTTAAAGGCGACTGTCAAGGGTTGTTTTTTTTTTTTAAATTGAGAAACAAAAGTGAAATGCTTGAGCCACCTGCATCTGGCTTAAAAGCTAGCTTAAATGAGTTCACTAGGTATATAGTAGAAATTGTATTGAACAGACTTCTGACTCAGTTCACATAATTTGTACTAGGACTTCCTCATGTAACTTGGCTTATACTGATTTAAGGTTGAGGTTCTATTGCCTGTCTCATAAGCTGCTGTCTCCAATGTGTAGTCCTGTATAAATAATTATCCATGTAACCTAGAAGTAAAAAACAAGTCAAAATATTTTGAAATGTATTTGTTTGGTCAGGTTTACTAATTTAAATTTTCTTTATTGTTTAAGCATTGATTACAATAATAATAACACTTTTTTTAAAGGTAATTTACCTTATAAAAGGTGAGTTTATTGCAAGGCTTTATCAAGTTTCATGCATATCACTAATAAAAAAACAATGAGTATAATGGCCTTACCAAAAAACCAGCAAATGAGGTCATAAAGCCTTCTTTCGTTATTTCCCACATACCACCATATTCCTCCTCATCAATATTTTGAAAATTGTTTACATAAATATATATTACTGCAGCATTCACAGCAACGAATCTGAAATAAAAAATATTAATAAAGGTAGATAATTCACTACAACACGCAAATGAAATCTTGATTGCAGAGTTTTACACCTTTATACATGATGTGTAAATGTTCGTTTAAAACTTATTCAGTTAGTAATAAAGTTAATAAATTAATACGTACAGTACTAAACCAAGGAAACCTTTCAAAGGTAGTAAACCCCAAAAAAGTCCCAAAATGATTCCCATGGCCTGACGCATCCAGTATATTACATCTAGGAACTCTTCCTGAAAATTCAGAATATAATTAAATAGGTATTCGAGCACATTTTCATTGACAAATAGTAAGAAAGTCTCGTGATACACTATCTAACCTTGTCCGGCCATTCTGCATTAGCCACGAAAGCCCTCTTCCATGGCGATTCGCCTTTACACTTGCTTCCATCTACCGATTTCGTTTTACTTGACATGTTAGTGATAATTAATGTGTTAGTTCTAATATTTCTTAAGATTTGGAATCGATACCTAAATCATAATAATTATGAAAATGTTACACGTCACGATGACATTATCAGAACTATTCCATTCCATATCCATAGTCTGTGGTCCGCATAGAATTTTAAACTTTTTAATCGATCTACAACAAGGTTTTTTTGCGACATGAATGAGGTTTATTATTGTTCCAAATAATGGCTGATATTTTTTTTGTCTCCAGATATCAAAATAGAAACCATGTCAAAATTTTGAAAGTATCAATCGAGTGAATTATTGTTATGGGAAAATAACTAGCGTCTTGGGGATTGTTTTCTTTTATGGGATAGGGGCCAAACGAGCAGAAATTGTATATTAATTTGTAATTTCATAACTACATAACATATATAAATATCATGCGTTATTCTACTAAAAGATGTACATTTGGCTTTTATTACAACGTACCTCCATACAGTAAATGTGACAGTGGAACTTTTATTTTCACAGGCGATTTTAACGTGTTAGTTAGTTCTTTATATAAACAGCATCGGACATGCTGCAATCAGTCCCCGAGTGTGTGTGTGTGTGTATGTCCCCGATTTCCACAGTAACATTTAAGTCACATAGTTTAAAGTAGGCTTAAAAAGTATTTCTCTACTACGAATACTCATAAGAAACAGTCGAGATATCCATTTTTAATATTGTTTTTTTATGAAAAAACCACAGTCAAATTGTTAATGTGTACGTACTTGACTTAATGCATTTATAATATTAAGTATGAATTGGTCAAGGGGCGGGGCATGATCAGCGGACATTGTGGACAACGATGCGTCACTCTTTTCTTAACGCGAATGGACTATTTCTACAATTTAACATTTAGCAAGACTGGTTTTCATAAACCAATAGTTATTTTTATTCAGTGTTAATACTATGACCTAACAGAAAACCGGTGTTAAGGTTAGACCGGCTGTAGGCGGGGCGACGCTTTTTATTTTACAGCTTCATGCACTTATGTACATCGGCGGACTTAATGGGCATTCTCTACCAGCCAACCTTTATATAGTTTGATCTATACAAATGCTATCTATTCTACCCAACCGACCGAACTTATAAAACGCATTAAAATTTACCACTGAAGGAAAAATGGGAACACATCTGCTCGCCGGCTTATTGACTAAAATAATAAACTAGGGTAATCAATCAACAGCAGGGTGGATCGAATCAAAGTATTCAGGAACATTGTTTCGTTAGCGGCATAGACAAAACACTATAAATCTAAGAGTTAGCGGTTAGCTGAGCTAATAAGCCGCTTTCACTCACTCGAAGTTTTTAGTCTGTTTTACTTCAATAAAAAAAGTTAAGCAAAGTTAACTTAAACTTTTGTTTTTAAAACAGTTTTTGAATATATCGTCATGATCGTAGAATAGTGTCAGATTTAAAAAAAATACGTAATTCAGTTTTTACCATATTTGGATACTACATTGGCTAAATATTACTACATTCAAGAAAAAATTCAAGTAAAATGAAGCATGTGATTTTTCTAGAAAATTGTATTATTATTAGTTATTTTTATTGCATTTAAAAAAAAAAGCCATAATTACAGATGTAGAATTAAAAAGTTTTGTCAAAAAAATAATATCATTATTTGAAATGTCTGCCCTGTGAAGTTCAATAAATGTGAGATGCGACATAATTCTACGACTATGACGATATATGTTTGTCCGAAAAAAAAGAGGTTTCTTTTCTTATTTAGTAGTGTTTTTCAAGTAAATATCAAATGTTTTATAGTCCAGAATAAATGCAGATATTTGTTTAAAAAACTACAAGTAATAAAACAATACAAATAATTTAAAGTAGTAAAAAATATTTTTATTTTTAAAACCGTTTATAGCGTAGTTGAGACCCTATTCTTGATTCTGTGCAGCCTTTCTGCTTCCATACTCTTGGTGATCTCCCAGCAGTCCTTGTTGAGTGTGTCAAAACCTCGGGAAAGGCTCACTAGTCGAGCTAATACCAACAACCTGTGTAAATCGTCTGCGGTAACTGGACTCTCTGTGTTTGATTTACTTCGCATTTCTATGAAATCATCTTCTACAAACTAAAAACAAAACAACAAACATGAAGTCTTAATTCTAATATATCTAGTGGTGATGGTTTTTTGTAATTCCGTGTGGTGACAGATTAAGAGTACAGAGTGTCACCACTCCCATTGATCCTAAGGGTGTCGTGAGAGCCGACTAAGGGAGCAAACTCTGCAGGACAACATCTCTGCAAAGAGAAGGAAAACTTGAAACAAACCCTATCCAACCATCCATCCCTAACCAACCCGTCTGGCCAGCGTGGTATAGTACGCCAAAACCCCCCTTTCTAAGGAGAGGCCTATGTCCAGCAGTGGACTATCAAAGGCTGTTGACTGAATTTTGCGAAAAACAAACGCGAGGTGAAATATCGCTGTGCGGACGGCCAGTAAGATAAAAATAAGAACATACCAATTTATCTTTGGTATTGTACTTCTGATTGCACTTTTGAGAAGCAAGCAAATTGTCAACCTGAATACCTGGACTTGGAGGCACTTGGTACGGCAAAAAGTAGGGACCACCAACGGCCATATTCTATAATAGGCTAGTTGACTGAATTTGAAAACTTGGTTAATTATATACTTCAACAGCTATTTTATCCTAAACCAATATTTATAAAAAAAGCAATATTTACATTACATATTTTGTTTAAAAAAACAACACAAACAATTTAAATTGCCTTCGAAAACGCTGAATAGTGTCATGGCGTCTTGAATGACGTCACAGTCTGCGAAATAAAACTGTTTACATCTGTGTTCAGTGTCAACTGTTTTCAAAAAATGAATAAGGAATAAGGAGTATCCTGCTCTGTTGTATGAAAACGTCAACAACAACAATGATGTTTTGCGTGGCGTGACGTAACACTTTCTGATTGGTGTTCGCTGTCACGTGACTTAATGCCTATTTTATACGAATTTATTTTTAAAAATATTAATAATCTTTAACTTTTATGAGAAATAGACTGATTTTTCCTTATCTATGTCTCTTCATTTATAACTTGAAACTATAAACCAAGCAATTTGTTATTAGTGGACACAAGTCCATTATATAATTGTCAATGGTGTCATAACATGTCGCATATGTATATATTTAAACATAAAGTTAGCTACTGCAGTCACCTACGGACACATGACAGTGGCGATCATCCTAGCCTTCTAATAAACAGACAGCAGTCACCGTAGCTGAAATCGGAAAGGGGAGGTATATTATTATTATTCTTTTTATTATTATTATTATTATAAAGACAGGCAGGCAGTTGAAATAACTGATCTGAACTGATAATCACATTGCTGTCGAAGTCGATTTTTGAATTAGTTCACACTCAGGGTAGATATAACATCATCAGGAAGCTTGTTCCAGGGTCTGAGTACACGATAGCTTGTATATTGCTGGACATTATGACAGATACTAAAGATTAGTTACAGATGGTGAAAATAAAAATCGATATTTCAATATTACCTGTAAATTTTCGTTTATAGTGTATTTGACAAGCTTAAGGCAAGTTAAGTAAGTTCTAATGATGTTCATGATCTCCTCTTTCAAGTAGTAAGTGGCTGCTTCTACTATGGCATCAAATATTTGTAATGAAGATTCTTCGGGCCTTAGTGGAACATGGTAGTCACTCTGAAAGCAAATATTAAACCTTACATAGTTTTGGAACGGAGTTCCTTATTGCGCGTTACTCGCTCTGAGCGAATGGGAGCGAGACCAATAAATGTGTAACAAGACTTTTTGCCGACACTTCTTGTCCCAGATCATTCAGTGTTTCATTTATGATTACTCATTTTATACATAATAAATATATGTTATCATATATTTTTCAATTTAACTCTAAACTTGATATTTTATTATATAAATTATAATGACTGTATAGCAAAAGTCTACATAAAAGCGAAAGGAACTTCGTTCCGACCGGGGCTCCATGGACCCCTCAGGCCTTTTTTTGTTTATTTTTTTATGGTGAAAGGGGCTAACGAGCAGACTGCTTACCTGATAGTAAGTGACTACCGCCGCCCATCGTCACTTACAACATAAGAGACACAAACACATGTGAGTTATCGCCCTTTAAGCCCCTCCCCCCCCCCCAGCAAGTACGTTAGATGTCATAAACTACGTCACACGAATTTCATGTTTTTTTTGACATGACATAGTCATAGAAATTATGAAATGAAAATAGCAGTTCCAAAATTAGTTTTATTACCATTTAAGTTATTTTTAAAATCAAACTATTGCAAAAAAATAACAAAAGGATTAATTGTATTACTGTCAATAATTTAATTTTAATAGTTCGTATTTTAACACTTAGATATATTAAGTTTTGTAATGTTACGTCACAAAACTTAGGACCCTTACAACAATTTACAAACGCGTCCAAATTGAACAAACCTAAAACTGGCGCTTCTAAAAAGTATTTCAAATCAGCGATAATATGGAGTGAAATACTTTTGTGATATGTTAAAGCAATCAGAGATGACACTGAATGGAATGCGCTATGTGATAAATGAAACGTATGCTGGATGGTGACTAATTAACAAATTTTGTCAACCAAATACCTTTGCCGGAAACATCGGCCCGAAAAGTGCGGGACCAAAAACCAAAAGTGAAGACTTAAATTTGCCGATATCTTTTAATAAAAAAATGATTTTTGAAAGTTTGCGCCATTATAAATTTCAACAAAAACGAGCATGCTTTAGACCACGCGACTGAAGTAAAACTTCTCTCTTTCTATCTTCACTTACATCATCACATCACACATCTACCTCTCAACTTCCGTTCGAGCCACCGATCACACTTTTCGTAACGCTCTCATCACGCATTCCCTTGATTTACATGAAAGAACTTTTACTTCCAAATTCAATAATGTAACTTTTGCAGCAAAAATGTAACATTTCAGGGCATGAAACGTAACTTTCTACTCAAGAGCCCTGGCAACACTGATTAAAATCCGTTGCGTCGTTTAAAAGATCTAAGCATACAAGAAAAAAGAGGGACTTCATTTTATAATATGACTTTAACACATACCGGTAATAATGATTTCCCTTCTGACAATATCAGCACAGCGACATCAGAATCAAATTCCATTTTGTAATACTTGAAATCATATTCCACTTTTTGTGTCATAATCATGTTGCCCAACGCAGCTATGTTATTGACACCGGTCGAGTCCAAACGACCCTGTTCCATTTTGGTCTCGTCTAGAACCAGATGAGTGTTTTTACTGAGCTGTAGTATGCCACTTGTGAGCCGGTTGCATTCATAGTCTTTTCTGCAAGGAATGACAAAATTAGTATATGACTCCACGGATGGTGTAGTGGTTTAAGCAGCCAGCTAGAGACTTCCTACTGCAATGAATATTGTGGGTTTGATCCCCACATGAGACAACACTTTGTGTGATCCACAAATTGTTGTTCTGAGTCTGTGTGTTCTTTGTATCTGTTGTGTCATGTATGTTTGTAAAGTCCCCTAATCCTAGTGCGGGAGTTTTCTTTTTAATAATAGGTCAATTTTGTTATTTTTCATGAGGAATCTGCACATGACCTAGTCTTCGTCATAAATTTGTTAATGAGAAGAGACTGGAGAAAGATTTTATTATGGAGATTTTAAAGGAAAGTTCATGAGCCTGGAACTGCTATCCAGTTTGGACACATTTTAGTTCTGCTATGTAGGGAGTAAACAATTGACAAAAATAGCGAACAATACGAATGAATATTATATATATTGTTGTTTATTGTTATTATTATAATTTTATAAAAATGTTGAACTGGTTTGTGTACGCTTCAAAAACTCATAAATTTCTGCACTTATTGAGCTTAAATTTTGACACGATACTTCTTCAAAGTTTGTTTTTATTAAACCCCGACGCAAAAACGACGTAGTGTGAAAAGTTTGACGTGCCTCTGTGTTTGTGTCTGTCTGTGGCATCGTAGCTCCCAAACGGATGAACGATTTTGATTTTGTTTATTATGTTTGAAAGGTGAATTAGTCGAGAGTGTTCTTAGCTATGTTTGATGAAAATCGGTCCATGATGGCCGCCGCCACAAAATGGCGGAATATTTATTTTTTCAACACAACTCCCTCAATATGGGTATCAAATGAAAGGGCTTGACTAGTAGAATTCTATACACTATGGCAAATTTCAAATCCATAATGACTCGGGGCTTTTTTTTTAATTTTATTTTATTAGCTTCCGAGGTCAGTTTTCCTAATTTCTCATTATTGAAACCACAATGTGCCACAGCGAAGCTTGGCAGGGTACAGTTATCTGATTTATATAAAAGGTGTATTTTTCATGTATAAATCGTTGTATTGATCTAATAATATTTAAACTTACTTGGGTAACAAACTGAATGTATTCATGTTGTTAATGGTGAGTGGTAGATAATAACTCTTGGTGACAAATTGTTTAATGATGTCATACAATTGTTTGGCGTAAGCAGGATACTTTTGTATCGGCAGGTTTGAGAGGTTCAGGCAAAACTGACCAAGGGTGAGAGTCTCTTGGCGTAGGTAACTAAAAAGTAAAAATTTAAAATTAATTTCTTTAAAGCATTTAAAAATGTTTCTTATATATCTTATATATATAAAGTAAAAAAAAAACAGTGGCACTCCGGGAGTGCCGACAGACGTAAAAACTTGTTTTTTAGGGTTCCGTACCTTAAAAGGTAAAAAAGGAACCCTTATTAGATCACTTTCTTGTCCGTCTGATTTCCGATTTTCTTAGGAACGGGTAGACCTAGGAAGTTGAAATTTATACCAGATAATGAGGTCTATGGTCCCTATTAGGTGTATAAAAATCAAGGTCCTAAGTCAACACGATAAAAAGATATGAGCAAATTTAGATTTTACCAAAATTTATCTTAATTTTCAACTTTTTTATTTTTTGGAATTGTGTTGTCTTGTGCTTTAAGACGTTTCTTTTCGCAATTTCGTGACGTTTCTTTTTTAAAATTTTCGCAAAAAATCTACGTAAAATCTGGGTAGGTAAGGAACCCTCGGCCTGCGTAAGCGCCAGGAACCACTCAGCTCATATCTCCGCGTTGGTGACGCTGAAGTCCAGGTACATGAAGTACATGAAGTACTTAGGCCTCATCCTGGACAGTCAATGGCGCTTCGAAGAGCATTTCGAGCGATTAGTCCCCTGAGTGCGAGGGTTAGCGGGTGCACTGCAATACTTTTTCAATTGGTTCAATTGGTGCATACGTGTGTACGAATTAGATTAGATTAGATAAATTAACAGAACTATTAAAGACGTAAAAACCACGACAAAGTTTTTTTTAATGTAATCTAGTTAAGTTCTATAGTTCTATATTTTAAGTCACACATCACATCAACAGCCTTTAATAGTCCACTGCTGGACATAGTCCTTAGAAAGAAGGTTTTGGCCTATTATACCACGCTGGCCAGGCGGGTTGGTATAGGGTTTGGGGTGCTAGTTTGGCCAGCCGCGAGGGGGCGGCGTCCGCGTGTGCCGGACGTCGCCTATAAAGAGAGGAAAAACATCGAGACGGAGCCCGCACCTGGAGCGGGCTGGCGCTAGGAGGGGTCCGGATGTCTTAACAACAGCTGTTCCCGGATCCCTCCTGTTACAGGCGCAGAGTGGCACACCGTGTGGTTTTAGTCGGTCCGAGTCCGACACACCACCCCGCCGCAAACCCCGGAGGGGTGACGGTCCGAGGGGATTTCCACACGTTAAAAAAAAAAAAAAAAAAAAAAAAGGGTTTGGGGTGCTGGCTAGAAAACCTCCTCGTGGTGCACCCTGAAAACTCTGGCGATGGTACTGTTTTCTCCTTGTCCTCTTGGAGGAGAGGATTATCGCCAGCGGCCAATATTCTAGCAGAAGAGGTAGCCGTTCATCGGCTCTCGGGCAAGGCCTGGTCCAGCAGGGTGGGCGTGTCTGCCGGTTGCCCTGCTGGCTCTTCGCTCTTCGGAGCATGGAGGAGGAAACCTCGGTAAAAAACCTGATGGCGGGGCCCTGTAGGGGCCACAGTTTCTCCGCTGACAGCGGTGGAGAAAGGAGGACGGGCTCGGCGTGTACTCACACTACCACCGAGCAGGCAGGGGGACGTAGTCTCCCTGTCAACCGTCGGCATATCGTAATCCCGAGAAGAGCGCTGTGGTTAAGTCTCGCGGCTCTGATCGGGGGCGAGGGTCTTGGCTTAACCGCCCGGACCGCGAGGAAGATAACCTCTCTAAAAAATTCCCCGAATCCCGTGTTCTGGTGCGTGGCCAGGGGATGCATGGCTGATGGGAAGTTCAGTCGCGAGCGCACTCCAAGCCGAGGTACCTGCGGACCCCTCGGTTGGGTTAAAAACTTACGCTTGCCCGGGTAATGGGGGATCTCTGCCCGGGTGGACCTTTAGTTCTCCCCCACTCGTGGGATCAATTATGCAATCTTCAAAAATCACTAAAAAAAGATCGGAAACAAACACTCAACAGACAAAGGCAAGCAAAACGGACACTGCAACGAAATGTGCAAGGGAGAAGAGGAACAGTGGAGTCGATGGGTCGTCCACTGAGGGTGAGGTGGCGTCGGGAACGCCCATCTCGGTGGGGCTCCCAGAAGTCAGTCTGACTCTGATCTCTGGGAGCCGAAGAGCATCGGATCGGCTGCGTTCCGGATCCGCCGCCTCGTCGGATGGCGCGGAGGCCATGGAAGCGGAACATCGCAGCGACAGCCGAAAACGCGGACGCTCAGGGGACGTGGAAACCGACACGTCCCAGGAAATGATGCCACCAAAGGTGGCAAGCAGCCGCCGAGGGAGGGCACGCAAAACGGCCCCGGTCTCGACCCCGTCAGGCTCCGCGTTCTCAAACGCGGAGTCGTACAGGAGTGTACGAGTGGACGGCGAGGCCGTAGCGGAGGAGGAGATCGCGGATCTCCTGCTCAAGGTTCGGGAGCCGGTGGGGGGAAATGCCCCCCAGACTCCCGTGTCCGTGCAGGAGAGGGCGAAAGCGGCGGTGGCCGTCATCCACAAGGTGGCCACCAAGTCCGTGAACCTTAAGGGCTCGTTTGTGAGGGCCCTTAAGGACTCCTCCTCCGCTTTATCGGAGGTCGTGGAGGGCCTAGCGGGCGACGTCTCGCGCCTACAGGTGGCCAACGAGAGGCTGACGGAGCGGGTGAACGAGCTGAGCGCTCAGTTCGCCCGCTTCCAGGCGGACCTCCCCGAGCGGGAAGCCCCGTCCGCGTCCCAGCCTGCCCCTACCACCAACTCAGGGGCATTTGACTCCCAACTGCGAGAAATCCTCATCGCAGTTGGGAATATGCTGGACGGACGCCTGGCTGGCCTGGAGGCGAGACTGCCCCCTGCGCCGATTGTGCGCCCCCCGCTCGCGTCGGCACAGCGGCCTAAGGCCGAGGCTCCGACCTTACGCGGCAGCGGCGTCTGCCCCTACTCCATCGGCTCCCCAACAGCCGAGGAGGGGGGCCAAGGCACCGGCCCAGGCGCCGGCCAAGACGAGGCCCAAAACAGCGCCGAGGAGCGGAGTGGCATTCCCTCCGCTCCCCACTCCGACACCCCTGCCGGGCCCCTCCGCACCTGCCCCCTCCAACGAGGGTTGGCAGGAGGCGAGGGGCTCCAAGAAGTCCCGAAGGCGGGCCAGAAGGGCTGCCCAAAAAGCAGCCCAAGCCCAGCCTTCGCCACTGGTGGCAACGGCCTCTGCAAAGAGGCCGCGGAAGCTGCAGCCGCCCAAAACCGCGGCTGTAGTTGTGACCGTGTCCCCGGAGGCGGCTGACGGCGGGCTGTCCTATGCGGCCGTCTTCAAAAAGGCCCGGGACAGCCTCGCCAACGAGTTTGGGACGGTGGGGGTCAGGATGCGCCTCGCCCAGACGGGAGCTCGAGTTCTCGAGTTCCCTGGGGCTGAAGGCGCAAAGACGGCGGACTCCTTCGCTGAGAAGCTGCGGGGAATATTTGCAGCCACAGATGGTGTCAGGGTCGCCAGGCCTACCAAGTGCGCGGAACTGCGCATTTCGGGCCTGGACGACTCAGTGACGGCCGAAGATGTCCGCGCTGTAATCCGGGAGAAGACGGGGTGCAGCGCGGACAACGTCAGGGTCGGCACCATCCGCCCCGGTCCAGGAGGGCTTGGCGCCGTGTGGGTCAGCTGTCCCGTAGCCGACGCCGGCAGGCTGCTCATCGGTTTCGTGAGCGCCAGGATCACAGTCCTGGCGGCGAGACCGATGAGGTGCTACAAATGCCTAGCATCGGGACACACGCGCGTCAAGTGCGACAGCTGTTTCGACTGCGGCGGACTGTGTTTCCGCTGCGGTCAACCGGGGCATAAGGCGGCAGAATGCTCTGCCGCCCCTCACTGCCCAGCGTGTGCGGCGGGCAATAAGCCCGCCAATCACCAGATGGGGCAGAGAGGCTGCAAGCCTCCCCGCAGTTCTCGGCAGACGTCAGGGGCTAGCCAGTCGACCCAGGCTGCCTCTGATGTAGTACGTGCGTCGTCGTCGTCGCCCATGGAGGAGGTTGTAGAGACGATCCAGTAATGGATCAAGTCTCCAACCTCCTGGTCCAGACGAACCTGAACCACTGTGCCGCGGCGCAGGATCTCTTCCTGCAAACCATGGCACAGTGGTCGATAGGTGTTGCCGTAGTCGCGGAGCCCTATTCTGTCCCTTCCCGTCCAAACTGGATGGGTGACTGGGACGGCTCCGTGGCAGTCGTCGGTTCCACGACGGCTCATTCCCCGCCCTTGTCGCTAAGAGACAAGGGCACTGGATATGTTGCCGTCGAGTGGGGGGGGATCACCATATATGGTGTTTATTTCTCCCCAACCGGAGTTTGAACGACTTCGAGGTTTTCCTAACCAGCTTGGAGACCTCGATACGGCGACTAGCGTCTGGGCACGTCCTTGTGCTGGGGGACTTCAACGCAAAGTCCATTGCGTGGGGTTCCCCCAGGACGGACGCAAGGGGCGAGGCCGTAGAGGAGTGGGCGGCCTCGGTGGGCCTCTGTCTTCTAAACAGAGGCTCCACCAACACGTGCGTGCGACAGCAGGGGGGGTCGATAGTGGACCTCTCGTTCGCTACCCCTGCCCTCGCCGCACGAGTAAGGAACTGGCGTGTCCTGGAAGAGGTTGAGACGCTCTCGGATCACCTGTATATCCAATTTGAGCTCTCCCGGACCCAGGACTCCAGTAGGGGTCACGTGGCGCGGCGTTTATCCCGCTTTCCGCGGTGGGCTGTTGCCAGACTGAACCGGGACCTACTAGAGGAGGCAGCCATAATTCACTCGTGGCTGTCTCCGCAGGCTCCGACCGAGGAGGTTGACGTGGGGGCTGGTCGCTTTCGCGATGCGATTACGCATATCTGCGATGCGGCCATGCCCCGCATTCGAGGTCGTCGGCCTCCAAGGAAGGAGGTCTACTGGTGGTCCCAGGAGCTGGCGGACCTCCGTGCGGCCTGTACACGTGCCCGGAGGTCCTACACACGCAGTCGGCGGCGTCACCGTGGAGACGGTGAGGAGGACCGGCTTCATGAGGAGTACCGACGGGCCCGGAAAACTCTGAAGCTGGCCATTAGCCGCGCCAAAGAGGAAAAGAGACAGGAGATGCTGGAGGGTCTTAATCGTGACCCCTGGGGTCGCCCTTACCGCGCGGTGCGACAAAAGCTCCGCGCGTCGGGCCCCCCCCTTACGGAGACTCTCCAGCCCAGCTTCCTGCGAGAAGTGGTTGAGGGCCTTTTCCCACAACGAGCGGAACACACTCCCCCGTCGATGGCCTCCCTGGCCGGAGACGACGGGGAGCACGGGGAGGACAATGTTCCGCCCGTCCGGGATTCGGAGGTAGGGGCGGCTGTTCTACGGATCCGTTCCAAGAACACCGCCCCTGGGCCAGACGGGGTACCGGCCCGAGTGCTGGCCCTGGCCCTCAACCACATGGCAGACCGCCTCGGGGAGGTGTTCGACGCTAGCTTGGCGTCGGGACGCTTCCCTGAGTGCTGGAAGAGCGGGAAGCTGGTCCTATTGAGGAAGCCGGGACGGCCTGCCGATTCGGTCGCGGCCTATAGGCCCATCGTGCTGCTGGACGAGGCGGGCAAATTGTTTGAGAGGGTTCTTTCTGCCCGCATCGTCCGGCACCTCTGCGAGGTGGGCCCCGATCTGTCGGACGCCCAATTTGGTTTTCGGGCGGGGCGTTCGACAGTCGACGCCGTGTTGCGCCTGAGGGCCTTGACCGAAGAGGCCGTGAGCTGTGGCGGCGTGCTGTTGGCGGTGTCATTAGACATCGCCAACGCATTCAATAGTCTGCCATTCAGCTGCATCAGGGAAGCACTCCACTATCATGGGGTGCCAAAGTACCTGAGGCGGCTGGTGGCAGACTATTTAGAGGAGCGTACCGTCGTGTACGAGGACCGAGAAGGTAATTTGAGGAGTCGGCCCATGTCGTGCGGTGTTCCACAGGGGTCTGTTCTTGGACCCCTCTTGTGGAACATAGGATACGACTGGGCCCTCCGCGCCGATTTCCCTCCCGGGCTGGGTGTAATCTGTTACGCAGATGATACCCTGGTGACAGCCCGGGGGGCAAACTTCCAAGAGGCGGCGCGCCTGGCCACAGGGGGAGTCTCCCTGGTGGTCGGGCGCATTGAGGCGCTGGGCTTACGGGTGGCCCTAGATAAGACGGAGGCCCTGTTATTTCATGGGCCCCGTCGTGGTCCACCCCCTGGCGCCTCAATCGTGGTCAACTCGGTCCTCGTACCGGTTCGGGCCCAGATGAAATATCTGGGCCTGATCCTCGACGGGAGGTGGCTCTTCGACGAGCACTTCCGACAGCTTGCTCCAAAGCTGGTCGGCGCTGCGTCTGCCCTAGGGCGACTCTTGCCCAATATGGGTGGACCCAGCGTCGCGACAAGACGGCTGTACACGGGGGTTGTCCGGTCAATGGCACTGTACGGTGCACCGGTGTGGGCGGCGGCTCTGACCGCCCAGAATAGGGCACGCCTCTGGCGCCCTCAGAGGGTAATGGCGGTCAGAGCCATACGCGGTTACCGCACCGTTTCAACGGAGGTGGCGTGCGCGTTGGCCGGAACTCCCCCGTGGGATTTGGAGGCGGAAGTGCTCGCCGAAGTTTATCGGCGAGTGGCTGACTCCCGGGCGGAGAGCGGATTTCGCCCTCCGCCCGAAGACCTGCGCGAGTGGCGCGAAGCCGCTCGCCGAGCCACGATGGCTCGTTGGTCGTTCCGGCTGGAGACTCCACGCGCTGGCTTCGCCGCCGTGGAGGCTCTCCAGCCGGTCATCGCCGAGTGGGCAGGGCGGCAGCACGGGACCCTTTCCTTCCGGCTGACGCAGGTGCTTTCCGGGCACGGTTGCTTCGGAAAGTACCTGCACACGGTCGCTAGGAGGGAACTGAGTCCCGCCTGCCACCACTGCGACTGCAGTGAGGACTCGGCCCAGCACACGCTGGCGGTCTGCCCCGCATGGGCGGCGCAGCGCCGGGCCCTCACTGCAGTCATCGGAGTGGATCTCTCGCTACCGGCCGTAGTACGCTCCATGGCCGGTAGCGACAGTTGTTTTACCGCGGTCGCAACCTTCTGCGAGGTAGTAATCTCGCGGAAGGAGGCGGCGGAGAGGGCCCGGGAGGACGACCTCCACTCGGACCCGATCCGCCGCCGGCGAACCGGGCGGCGGAGGCCCGCCTATCACAGCCTCATGCCGCCCTGAGTGTGGCCGCGGGTGGACGGGGTGGGTTTCCCCTCCACCCGCATTAGTTGTCCGCGTGTGCCGGACGTCGCCTAAAGAGAGGAACATCTACATTGAGACGGAGCCCGCACCAGGAGCGGGCTGGCGCTAGGAGGGGTCCGGATGTCTTAACAACAGCTGTTCCCGGATCCCTCCTGTTACAGGCGTAGAGTGGCACACCGTGTGGTTTTAGTCGGTCCGAGTCCGACACACCACCCCGCCACAAACCCCGGAGGGGTGACGGTCCGAGGGGATTTCCACACGTTAAAAAAAAAAAAAAAAAAAGGGTTTGTGTCAAGTTTTCCTTCTCTCTGCAGTGCCGTTGTTCTGCGTAGTTTACTCTCTTGGTCGGCTCTTACGACACCCACGGGATGAATTGGGGTAGTGACATTCCGTATTCTTAATCCGGCACTACACGGACAGATTATATTTTAAGATAATTTCGGAAGTGGATTTGTACTTACACACAAGCTATTAGATGACATATCAGATATTCGGCTGCTAACTTGTCTCCCAGCAACAGCTCTGTAAGCGCTTTCAGCAAATGTTCTCTAGCTGAGTTAGCTTCTTTTAATACCTTTTCTAAAAATGCCAAGAGCATAAAAAAAATGTTTCAATTATATTTTTATAACTTAAAACAAATAAAAGTATACTATTGTGGGAGAGAAATGCTTCGCCACGGACTGTCTCGAACAGAGCGATACCTCACAGTCAAGCAATTCTTTCTTTGCCTATTACTGAATGAGTTTGGCTCAATGTGAGTGTGGCTCAGGAGAGAAGTTCAACCCCTCCCTTCATTCCGTGGGCCTCCCTAATTCTTAAATGGCGGCAACGTATTTGAGTCTCTTGCGTTGCAGGTGTCCAAAGTCGGTTGTAGTCACTTACCATCAGGTGACTTGTCTGTCTGCTTGACCCTAACACCATAAAAGAAACAAATTGGTACTTGTTCCTATAAGCCAGATTTTTATGGCCAGATGAATGCCTGACAGCAACTTCGTGGAAATACTATAATTTTCAGAGGGGACAAAGGCATTTGTTAAGGTAAGGGGAAAGATACTTCAGGTCTCGGAATGGAAGCTGGATTAAGCCTGAAGTAGGCCATGATCACATACCTATATAAATGCTACCTATAAAGTTAATATACCTTGATCAAAACTGGTCACCAAAGGGTTACAATGTGCCAGTTTTTTCACATAAACAGCATGCAGTCTTGGCACTAAGCTTGGTGGGGGGTTGTGCGTTATAGTCTCAACATCATTTTCTGTCTCCGGTTCCAATAAAGGGTCCTTATCAGGTTGGAACTCTCCAGACAAAGCTGGATCCACTGATAAGAAGCCCACTACTTCTATAATTTCATTCAGCTTAAGGTTATCACTTTCATCATATACCTGCAATGCAAAAAAAACTTGGTGTTATGATACCACAATAAAAGAATAGACGAACGCAGATCAAAGCATGATCAGAAAAATGCCAAAGGCTTGCAAAAGGATGGCTTTGAAATAGTACCTTTGAATGGCATAATATGTCGTCCACAGCTATACCTGGTACTTAAAATGTAAAGTCATCTAAATACATTATATTTATTGGTATATTTGTCTTTTTATTTTTAGATTTTTTTTTTACTTAAGAAATAGCCTGTGCTAATTAATCCCAAGCATTTTTGTCTTCTATGTAATCCACAATTGATTAATAGGCTATCTAACACAATCCACGTTTTATTGTGGATGAAAATTTTATACCTATCACTAGTACTACTTCTACTACTTTGGAAAACATTTTAAAATAAATTATATTAATCTTAAATGTAAATCACTACCTATCTAACGTAAAACTCTTGAATCTTGACTTACCTTAACAATACAAGACTTGCTAGGCATATCAGGCAGTGGAAAATTTAATAAATGCTCCCTGGATACAACCGTTGCTGTATTATTATATATCTCGGTTTTTTTAGACTCTTTAATTGTAGAAGTTTCATCAACAACTTCCATAGCATCGGAATCTTCTTCTGCCTCTTCATATGTCCGTTTTAACTTCATGCTTTCATGGTTGAGACGTTTTGATGTGTTAGGTTGCTGTTCTAGGTGTTTTAAATGGTTGTCCTTTTCTTCTATGTTTTGTGCCCAATCATTGTAACCTGGCAGAGATATCATTACCATGGTTTGACGCTGTGCGCTTTTAAGATTTTGCGCATAGTTTATTTTCTCATTTTCCTGTACAGAATACAATAAAATATGAATTATGTCATGAAAGCAATATTTATGAGGGGTATTGTAAAGAAAGTTCGTTATCTACATGTGTTTTGATTTACAGAATAAAAATTTAACATGATCCTCCAAGGTGAGGACACTATTTGAAAAAACTTAAATTAAATTGAAGATACTCCCCATAATATAATTTTAAAATGAAAAGTTTTAAAGTAAAAAAGAAATTTGATGAAAATTAAAGTTTAAAAAAAGAGGAAAAAAAATTCTAAAGAGAGGCCTGTGCCCAGCAGGGGACTATTAAATACTATATTAAAGGCTGTTTATGATGTTGATGAAAGTTTAAGAGAAAAGAGAAGGAAACATATTTTCAAAATAACTGAGCCTAAAAATAAACTACAGATCTTCTCGTCTTCATCTTTAATTACAGATCACTTCAAAAATGTACAAAGTGTTTGATGTAGTGATGCTTCTGTTCATTAAAAATGTATGTCTGCTGATAAAGATAATGGTATATTTTTTTTTAATAATAGTTGTACTTTAAATAATTCTCAATTCCTCTGAATTTTTTTGTTTCCTCAGATCTCTGTCAGTTATGAAAAAATTTGAAAAACTCTGTTTTTATTTGATATTGTATATACAATCCATTTGGTCTCACTAAAATTCTAAAGAAAAATTCTACTCCTAAGGGGAAAAGTGGTCAGGATATAAAAACATATTTATAAACCAAACAGCCCCAATCTCCTAACATTTTAAAAGCCAATTCAGCCATTACAGTTGCAAAAAAGTACTCACCAAAATATTAGCAGTATCTCTGTACTTGCCTGTTTTGTTTTTAACTTCATTTGTAACAGAATTGTATACTTCAAACTGTTCAAAATAAAACTCAGGGTTGTGCATATCCTGAATCATACCTCGAAAACGGGCAAGTGTACCATCAGGCAGGTGGTGGGACGCATTGCAATTAATCAAAGGAATCTAAAATACAGAGGTTATGTGGAGGTCAAACTATTTAAGAAATTAAGTGTTTACTATAAGTAACTTTTACTTATAACTTACTTGGTGCCAGTTCGGCAGTTTTAAAAGCTTGGCCTTCCATGCTTCTTCGTTTGCCAACCATATATCAGGGGTAACAGTCTCAAAATCAGTCATTAGGTCATGCATTTTGCTAACAATTGAATCTATTTTGGAATTAATGGTTGAAACACTTATGTTTTGCAAAATTATAGGCCACTGAAGTAATTTATTGATAGAACAAATCGCACTTATTGTTCTGTAGTTAGATTTTTATATAATTAATAAAATAAAATAATTATATTGGTTTAGTTTGACATCAACTTGACAGCGCGCGAAAGTCATTTAATTATGCATAAACAACGATGACTAATGTCAAGAGCAAGTTGATCCGAAAAGCCAAAATATTTCCGGTAATTTAGGTAGGTAACTACACTTTTAAGGAGGTAGATATATTCTATGAACACGCCTTCCACATATACCACACAAATCAATCCATAAACTTATTGCGCACCTGCGCTAGTATACTATGTCCATGTATGCATGAATATGAAATAGAGGGAAATAATTAAACAGAATAAGAAGTTATAGTGATACAACCTTAAACGTAAACGCAAACGAAATGGTCAAAAACCTGGTCAGTACAACAAAGTACTTGTTATTTTAATGAACTATATAAGTTACGAATGTGAAAATATTTCCTAACTAAAAAATCTGTTGGGCCATTTTTTTTCATTTTACTTTATCAACAGCCTTAAATAGTTCACGGCTGGACTTAGGCCTCTTCTTAGAAAGGAGGTTCTGGTCGACTATATTACGCTGGCCAGACGGGATGGTGTAGGGTTTGTTTCAAGTTTTTCTTCTCTTTGCAGTGCTGTTGTCCTGCGTAGTTTGCTCCCTTACTCGACTCTTACTTACGACTTACGACACCCATGGGATGAATGGGTGACACTGGTGACACTGTTTTCTTAATCCAGCCGTCACCACACAAACAATTTTACTTTAAAGTGAGTGTGAAGAGAGTGTAACACAAATACAACACAACTATTAAATTCAAAGTCTATTGGGTTATGGAAATAATTAAAGCTTAAGATATGTCTTTAATAAATAAAAATATTAAATAACTTTCTATATACATATGTTCAAAGGTATTTTCCATTTTCCAGCAGTTTTTGCCGTCGCATCAGCCGTCACCGTTCACACATCTAATGTCTACTGCACAGATTAGTATAATGTAGCAAGCTAGTCTACTGTCTAGTGACACAGGCAACACTGGTGACGCCGGCGTTGTATATATATCTCTATTGTCTATACCTACGCTGATACCCGCACGCTGCTGTATGTTGTGCTTGGTTTGGTTGGGGTGTGAATTTAGTTTTAATTTGTGCGGCGTTATAAGTCAGAGTAATTTAATAATTATAGATTTGTCACTGTAGTACAAAGATAAATGCACTAGTCCATTTAGTCTTTACATTTTGAATTCCTAAAAGGGTATCGTAGATAGGTTAGACTTATTTCAGTTTCCACAAACGCTTTCAAAATGAGTAAGTTGATTTTGTAATTAGTATACATTTGTTATTTTTTTGTAATTATTGATCAGCATCAGCATTAACTTTAAATGATATTATGGTTGCATTGCCATTTGGTTTAATTATGAATAAAAATCATAACCTCAATAGTCGTAAAATGTCTTTAAAAAATAACCGCTATAAAGTACCCAGTCTATTTCTTAACTTTTATTATTTATTTTTTAGCGATGGATATTCGTCCCAATCATACTATATACATAAACAACTTAAATGAAAAAATTAAAAAAGAAGAACTAAAGAAATCTCTTTACGCTATATTTTCACAATTTGGTCAGATCTTAGATATTGTAGCTTTGAAAACGTTAAAGATGAGAGGACAGGCATTTGTTATATTCAAGGAGATCTCAAGTGCTACTGTCGCATTGAGAAGCATGCAAGGATTCCCATTTTATGACAAACCTATGGTAAGTTTAATGTTTTTGATACTATGATGGACACATGAGCAGATTCTAACATGGCAGAGCCAAGCTTCGGCACACGCATGGACAACTCCAACTCTGGGGTTGGGACTCACAAGTAACAGTTTTTGTGGCCATTGAGATTTAGATGTCCATAGGTGCCAGAAGTCACTTACTATCAGGTGACCTATTAGCTTGTTTGCCCCCAATTCATAATACTGAATAAATAAAGAAAATAGTATGAGCACATTTAGCATACTCTTGGTATTGCCAGTAGAATTAAACTTATAGCTTCTTTGCAGAGGATCCAATATGCTAAATTAGACAGTGATGTCATAGCCAAGGTGAAGGGTACATTTCAAGAAAGGCCTAAGAGGCCCAAAATGCCAAAGGGTCTGGATGATGCTAGGAAAAAGAAGAATAAGGATGCTAATCGTCCAGGCATACATGCTGGCCAAGCAGGCATACTAAACAATGTTAATGCTGAACAACCTCCTAACCAGATCCTATTCTTGACCAATCTACCAGATGAGACTTCCGAGATGATGTTGTCTATGTTGTTTAATCAGTAAGTATTGTGAATTCAGGTCTTTTTTATTTCCTGGTTATCAAGCTGCGCCTGAGTGTTGTGGGTTCAATCCCCACATGGGACAAATGATCCACAAATTGTTGTTCTGAGTCTGGATGTTTTTTGTGTCCGTTTCATGTATGTTTGTTAAGTCCCCTGTGACACAGAATATATTCCTAGTACAGTTGTCTTTAAAAAAAAACTTTGCATGCATTTATTTCTATGTATTTAGGTGCATTATAGCACAAGGTCCTCTGTCATCTACAACAGGTCCATCTCAGCTACCTTCTTCAAGTTGTCAGATTATCTGTATGCTTTCGTTTTTCATCACTCTAGGACTGTTTTACAACATGCTAATTCTTTGAGTTGTGTTGCTTAACTTGAGTTCTTTGTCAGATGTCATAAATGTTAATTTCAACCTTTAATAATACTCCAATACTTAATAGCTCATGACTTAAAGTATGTATTTCCTATTTACAGATTCCCTGGCTTCAAAGAAGTGCGTCTTGTACCAAACAGGCATGATATTGCTTTTGTTGAATTTGCTAATGAAATGCAGTCAGCTGCAGCCAAAGAAGCACTCCAAGGGTTCAAGATCACACCAACTCACGCTATGAAAATTACTTTTGCAAAGAAATAATGTTATGTTACTTTTAAGATTGTACTAATTGTATCAATAAAGTTTAAGTATATGAGAACTGTTTTGAGCATTGCACTGGGCCTTAACAGCTCTCCAGCTGTGATATTAATTAAGTTAAACAGCATAGTCTTTTACTTCTATCAGTTGTCATTTTAAACAATATGTGAAATAAAGCTAGAAAATTTGTAAAAACGGTAACATCAGATCAATTATTATTATTATCATGCAGGTCTTTTGGCCTGTCATGGTACTTAATTACTGTGCTTCATTAACTCTGGTCAATGAAATACATTCAAAATGGCTGAAATTCGATCGCGACGATCTCATTAGAAAGTAAACGTATCACTGACACTGGCTTGGCCAACATCATGCATTTTAATTTTGATAACACAAAGGAGGTGGGTTGATAAGGACCATTTTTCGCCCATCACACGAAAAAAAATTACCGATTTCAGAATAGTTATAGACACCTTTGTATAGTGATCCGAACGCTATTTGTTTTTCGCCATGTTTTACAACAATCACACTGGCTTCCAGGCATTATTATCAAAGTTTTTCAAGAACACACGTATATATCTTCAACTATACAAAGGTGTTTAAAACTATTCTGAAATCGGTAAAAATGGTCCTTATCAACCCACCTCCTATAATAGCTAAGTAGTCGAAATTGTCGCCAAATATCATAATTTGTCGGTCACTGGTCAAAAGTGATAAGTTCCGATGTGAGTGCAGTGTATAGGGTCTGGGTTGGCCTTTTGAAGAAAGGATCATAGTTTTGAGCCGGCCTGTCCATACAGACGGCATAGGGGCCCCAGTCATCGTGGACCATAACCAATATAGTCAGGATCAACAACCCGGCAGGACAATTGAGTAGGCCGTGGAAACACTCAAAACCACCAGAAAGTTATATATATGACCTAACATGACTAATTCAATTTAAACGAAAAAATAGTGTGCGTTACCCCAGCAAAATAATGTCGAAAATGGTCATTTAAACGTTATAGATAATTAGTTGCTCCCCTTCTGTAATTGTTAAGCACATTTCTAAATTTGTTTCACTTAAACTTTTTTAGTTATTTCAAAAAAACATTTCCTGCTGGGGTAACGTTTGAAACGTTACCGCAGTCAGACATTTTCTTTTTTAATTGTAATATTGAAATAAATTTTAGCTAAATAATTAGTTATCTGGACTAGGTAAATGTTACAACTTATTTGGTATTCGTATTTTCTTCGGCTGCGAAGTTATTCGAAATCCTGCTGGAGTAACGTTTGTGGGTTTGCTGGATCTCTGAAACGGGTAAGCGGATTGTAACCATCTTTTGTACATAACTTCTTAAGGATTAGTTTTAATTTGTTCGACAATAAAATAACAAAAATAATGGACCGTTTAAAAATTATTTAGGTAAGTATGAAAACACTTCAATACGTCCTAACACTTTAAATAAGACCTCTAAAGACTTACTTGAAACATTATTCTATTGCTTGTATACGAATTTTCGTAGGAATACTGTAAGTGACTAAAAAGTTATGATGAAATGTAGCTCTCCACGTTCACGATCACAATGTGTGCGGCCTTTTTTGGCCACCGATAAACCTGTGTGTGGATATATAAATTGAATGTTATGCCAATAATTAGTTGTTTAGTTCAGTTGTCTACCTGTAGAATTTCAGCGTCGTACATATAATAATTTACGAGATAATTAAATAAAAGTCATTAGAAGGTGCAAGACCGTGGTAATCCGACCATGTTTAGGTGGTTACAAAAACGCGATCACCCAGTACATTGCGCTGTCTTTTAAAATGTTTAGTGTAATACACCTTACGATTTCGGTACAGTTGCGTACAGTGTTAAATACATTCAATATTTATTCATTATTATTACCTATTAATTATTTTGTTTTTTCCCTAATTGATCTTAAGCACTAGTTTCTTTACTTAAAATTTATTTAGTCTTTTTTACTACCGGAGCTACAATCAACAGAAAATCTGCACTGGTCCGCTAAAATTATAAATATGTAGATATATGTATGAACGATTCACCTGACTGCAATAAAACGAAAATTTAAACCAATAAGAAATCGTTTCATTTCTTTGTTTTTTTTTTGTAAAGAAATAACACCAAAGTAATTGTATTTTATTTTGGGGTGTATAGAGCTTAGACTTGAATGCATCAAAATATTTAAAGCAACAAGTCATCTACAATAAGTTAAAATAGACCGAATAGTAGAAGAATACAGTTGTAAATTAGAATGCATCAACATTGCATCGCCCAACAGTCGTATACCTCGTAAGAGTAGGTAATATTGTTCTGTGGTCTATACCTAGAACCGAGAATTATCTATACCTATGTACCTACCGTTAAGCGTTGAGTCCGTTACTGTTGATTTCTGTTAAAAACGAACAGTTGTTGAATGATATTTTGATATAATAACGGTAATTTAATTTATCGAGTGAAAGTGATACATTTTTATAGATAAAATTATTGGTAAGATAATATTTGTCAATCAAGAATCGCTGATAATACATCCTTCGCTAGAACGCGGGAGGGGAGGGGCAAAGGGATACTTAATTGTTTGCAATTTGCATCTAGTGCACTAAACTTGACCCTTAGGCAGATAATATACGTGTTGTAAAGTACGTGTGCGCTTCCGCTTTCTATTTTTGCAAATATTTATCGTATTCTTGAGAGTTCTTCAATATGTGTGTACCTAATTACTAATAATAGGCATTAATGCTAATTCGATTCACTTTAAGTAATTGTCAATTCTTGTCTTAGGATATTAATTACTAATGCTAATATTGAAATTTCGTTCAGGGTGAACAAATTAAAAACGATCATAACTTTTAGGTAGGTATATCACTTATTACTAATTTTACATAAATAATTTATTTTATTATAATTTAACTCACCGCGATTTTGTGATCAAATATTTTATTTTCTCCAACAATATTACAGAAATAATGCAATACAGAGTTTGTTCGCGATATGCTAGCCTAAGTCGATTCATCACTTAAAAAAATCCCCATCTATTCACAAAATACCTATTTACAACGCATACGTTACACTCTTCAAAACTTATCATTTCATTTCATATTTCTTAAATTACCTATACCTACCCTAAAATTAAACTTCAATTAACAAATACTACGCAGGTACCAATTCTATGAACAACTATAAACAATTCACCTAAACATTACGAGAAAACAAAAGCATTCAAAACAATACCTAATCTCCCGGCTGATTACTAATTATGCAATAAACAATCCTAAATAAAAAATATTTAAAAAACATGTAGGTTTTTGTAACACTTATGTACATATCCGTAGTAAACTTGCAAATAATATCCTACATATTTTAAAAGCCAGCACAATGTACTGGGTGATCGCTTTTTTGTAACCACCTAAACATGGTCGGGTTACCACGGTCTTGCACCTTCTAATGACTTTTATTTAATTATCTCGTAAATTATTATATGTACTACGCTGAAATTTTACAGGTAGACAACTGAACTAAACAACTAATTATTGGCATAACATTCAGTTTATATATCCACACACAGGTTTATCGGTGGCCAAAAAAGGCCGCACACATTGTGATCGTGAAGGTGGAGAGCTACATTTCATCATAACTTTTTAGTCACTTACAGTATTCCTACGAAAATTCGTATACATTTGAAGGTAGTTACAAGCAATAGAATAACGTTTCAAGTAAGTCTTTAGAGGTCTTATTTAAAGTGTTAGGACGTATTGAAGTGTTTCCATACTTACCTAAATAATTTTTAAACGGTCCATTATTTTTGTTATTTTATTATCGAACAAATTAAAACTAATCCTTAAGAAGTTATGTACAAAAGATGGTTACAATCCGCTTACCCGTTTCAGAGATCCAGCAAACCCACAAACGTTACTCCAGCAGGATTTCGAATAACTTCGCAACCGAAGAAAATACAAATACCAAATAAGTTGTAACATTTACCTAGTCCAGATAACTAATTATTTAGCTAAAATTTATTTCAATATTACAATTAAAAAAGGAAATTTCTGGCTGCGGTAACGTTTCAAACGTTACTCCAGCAGGAAATGTTTTTTTGAAATAACTAAAAACGTTTAAGTGAAACAAATTTAAAAATGTGCTTAACAATTACAGAAGGGGAGCAACTAATTATCTATAAAGTTTAAATGACCATTTTCGACATTATTTTGCTGGGGTAACGCACACAAAAAATAAACAAATTAAAAACACGAAATACGAATTAAAACAAGAAAATAAATTCGCAAAGTCATCTAAATAATCTGTAACCGTGTAGTAAGCATTTTCACAAAGTTTTTCTTTTACTAAGGACTTAAATTTGTTAATACTTAGTTAATGAAATTTTATTGTAGAATCGCACACGAGTTTATCTTTTTTTCTAGTGTTTAAATTATGAATGTCGCTAAACTTTGTGAATAAATGAATATTTTTCTAAAGTAGTAGTACTAGTAAAGTTATGTGTTTCTACGTGGCTGACCTAAGAAGAAGATGCCGTGCCGATGTACGAAACCATATCGCGACTCAAAAATATGGTAGATATTTTTGAGTCGCGATATGGTTTCGTTACTCATGCAGGTTTATTACGGCACTCTTATAACTTCATGTAAACTGTGGTTTTCCTTCATAACGTAGGTATAAATCTTTCGCCTTTTACTAAAGATTTCCGTGGAGGGGAACACTTAATTGAGTCTTCTTTATTTATGGTACTCTGCTTTCTAATAAGCAATAATAATATATGATATCAATTAGAGGTCATATTTAAGTCAATTTATTTTTTACGTCAGGAAGTATGAAATACTGAGGGAAATGACTAGGATGACACAACATGATGTCATCCTAACGTAAACTTTACGTAAATGTGTTTACTGGTTAGAGATATAGCCTAGAGGGAACAAAAGCCTTGCAATCTTGCAATATAGGCAACGTGAGAGATGGATAATAGTTAGTCCCCTCTATCACTTTCTAGCCGAGCTCTGTTGGTGGCTGTAGAATATGAGAGGTTAATAAGTAGCCAATTGCAGCTTAGCTAAACAGAGACAGAGAAATATCGGACATCCATCTCTCTCGTTGCCTGTATCGCTTCCACTTAAAGGCAGCTGTAACCCGTCTTCTCTCTATGGTTATGTCTCTACGTAGGTATTAGTAACTACTGGAACTAATACGTTAATGTAATGTTATGCAGTCATTCTCGTTCCGATGCAGCCATATTCAACGTTTTGCACATTGAGGTCTCCTGTGCAGCACTAATGATGACTGAAAAATAGAAGCCGAATATACATAATGCATGCTGGCAAAAATTACAGTAAAGTAAAGGTCTCGACAGTTTTTAGAGATAGGAGAGGATAGGGAGAGAGAATAGTTTTAGAACAGTAATTGACATCGGTGCACAAGTGACGCTTACAGAATACATCGGAACAGAAATTTAACAATCGAATGGAACTTTCTCCTTTTTGAAGTACCTAGGTTTATTAGTAATACTTCCACAACGAGTACGAAAGTACCGGACAGGCGGCCGAAATACCTCTATTATAAAATAAATACCATTACTACTGACAGGGCTGAATAAAATACATTCACTGTTAGTGCACAATTACAATTGCTTTCCAAAGTAGTGAACCCGTTATGATTTTTCACCAATTTCAGAAAAGGAGGTTATTTATACTTTTTATAACAAACCGTCCCGTATATTATATATGTGTGGTGACTCCCACATACGAAGAAACAGAACATACTACAGCGCCATCTAACGAAGACACACAGAACTACGGAGTAACTACTGAATGAGAATTGCTAATCCTGTATCGATATGAAGAATTCTCTCGCCGATTTAGGATTATATACAACTTAACTATAACATATATACAACTTCTCAACATCAAACGTTGGGCCTCGGCCCGCCAGGCATCATCGCCTGGTCGGAGAATCCTTCCTTTGTGTTGGAAGGACATGACACCCATTCCTCCACATATGAATAGGACACTGTAGAGAATATTCCCAATATCATAACAGGAAGCAAGAATATTCTCGTCAACCGAGCTCTATACTAATTAAATTGGAAATTGAGAGTAGATTAAAGGAAAGGCAGATAGGGGGAAAGCTAATGAATGGAAAGGGATATTGCTTTTACGGATGGATTGGGAATGTAAGCTCGAGTAGGTCCAAATTGCCTATTTGTAATTCGAATTGGCTATTGCTGGAATGACCGAGCCGTCTAACCTAACAGCCATACATTATAACACAAAAAATAAATCATTTAAAAGATGAGAAATTATGTAAGTTATCCACAAATGGGTATTTAATAAGATATATCTATACAAATAAAATTATTTTCTCTGACTGACTAATTCATGAACGCTGAGCTTAAACCGCTGGGGCTACAAACTTGAAATATTGGCAGCTGATGTTTTTCATGTTGTGAGTACCAACTAAAAAAAGATTTTTTGAATTTTTTTACCTAAGGAGATCTGCGCGAAATTGCGCAAGAACGGTTGTGTGGAAGTTCATCATTTTAAAGTTATAAACACGAAACAAGAAATAATCACGCGAGCGAATCCGCGGAGTAAGTTTAAAGTTCATTAATAGGTATTTGCTGCAGTGTTGACATTGTGATAAGGCAGTGCCCGCCAGTGGTCTCGCGTAATTGAACAACATAGCAGCGTTAAGTTGTAAAAGGAGCAGAATGCAGCTTGTGTTTTTTCCAAGTGGATTCGATTTGATATGAGGCAACCTATACGAAGTCCTGCTTTCTGAATGATTACACAACAATTCGATGTAATTGGACCGCTTATCAGCAGCGCTACCTTTTCCTGATCAAGATGAAGAAACAATAAAATAGTTTAGAACAATATTTTTTCTATTGCGAACCTTGCGAAACTTGTTAATACAAGTAAGTGAATTTTGTATTATTTAAAATCTAAAAACTGACTTTTCGAGGACTTCAGGCTCCAAGGAATCCAATGAATTTTCTGGATTAAATCCTAACACAGTAGACTTAATAATTGTTTGTGTGACTTTAGGGATATTAGCTTTGAGCCTTGGTGCACTATTTGGTTCCTTAATTGTATGTTTTTTAATACTTAAATAAGTGATTAGTTACTGAATTCCAAGGGAAGTCAAAATTACCTCATTTATAAATATCTCGTGTTTGTGGTCGCACTCCTCTGATTCACTAAATTTTCCTCTTTGTATTTAGAGTCTAAATCAAATCAAATCAAATCATTTATTTGTGATACATAGTGTAGTGATTATCGTAAAATAGTACTTTATTGATTAACTTTGACTGCATAGATGGCGCAAATGTTAAAACAGGTCCTGAGGTTTCGATTTCTACAGGGTACCAATATTTGTGTGATCCAGAAATTATTTTCTAATGTCTGGGTGTTTTGTGTGTATAATTTGAATATTTTGAAAGTCTCCCCATGACAGAGGAGTTGTCCAATTTCGTAGCACTGGAGTTACTTAGTGCTTTATTATTATCTATACTAATATTATAAAGCTGAAGAGTTTGTTTGTTTGTTTGTTTGTTTGTTTGTTTGTTTGAACGCGCTAATCTCAGGAACTACTGGTCCGATTTGAAAAATTATTTCAGTGTTAGATAGCCCATTTATCGAGGAAGGCTATAGGCTATATATCATCACGCTAAGATCAATAGGAGCGGAGCACCAATGAAGAATGTTTCAAAAACGGAGAAAATTTATTACTATTGAGAGACGCAGACGAAGTTGCGCGGGTCAGCTAGTGTATTATATAGTGGCAGTCGTCGCAGTGTTCTTTGTCTCCCTCTCCACATACTATTTTGTGATACAATAAGGCAGATTTACGAGTATATCATAATTTTATTTATTCTTTAATGCACGTATGCATTTGTATTGAATGATCCAATTTGGATTTGATAACGTGTTCTTATCGTTATCAGCGTTATAAAGCATAGGAAACAGCTCGAGTCTTTTGTTTTACGGTTATCTTTTTCAGGATTCTGACTTCCAGTCATGAGTCATAACTGATGAATCAATTAGCTCAGGCTAGTTATCTATTAGACACATAAGCTGTTAGTGGTTTTACGTGGTGTTTGTTATAAATCAAGTTATTGCCGTAAGTAATAACTTTATATATTTAAAATTGTTTAGTAGTTCTAGTCTTTTACCTCACGGACAGTTTCTATGGATTGTCATGAAAAATTTATATTAATACGAGTACTATATATAAAACTCCCAATTTAATTACTATACTTTAATGTCTTTATATATCAATGCTATCAACGATCATCAGATATTATGGTTGGTAAAGATAACGTAATGAATTCATTAAAAGGAAAGATCAAAATATGATAAGAATTTTGTGGTGAACGACTGCGTTCGTGGTGCAGTGGTAGCGTATGCGACTTCTGTGCTGGTGTCATGGGTTCGATTCAAGGGTCGGACTGAATGATTGTGTGATCTGCAAATATTTGTTTCGGAGTTTGGGTGTTTTTATGTATAATATGTACTGCTATATTTAGAAAAAAGAAGTATATACCTAACTATTCTATCAGTCAATCTAGATTATATAGTACAATCTATGGTTCTTTTGAAACTAGATGGCGTTGTGTGTCAGATGTCCGAAAATATTATTATTATATAAGGTCTTTCCCTATGAAGTTAGAGATTTTAAAACCAGCTTTTTCAGATTTAATTATCTGTAGATCAACGCGCAATTAGAAATTCAAAACTTTTTTATTCAAAAGCCTTGTTTTTTTAATTTATAATTCAGTCATTTGTTTTAGATAGTGTTTTTGTGAAATTGTGGTAGTTTTTGGCGCCAGTAAAATTCGTACTCAATTCGTATTCGTACTACAATCGAACCATTTAATCCTATGACCCAACATTATTAACAATATCCCTTGTCATTTTACTAACGTTAATTCTCACAATTATTGTTTCAGCACTTCCGAACACATCATTTATATCATCATAATAAAAAACGAGGCAACATGAAACAAATGCAGATCGAAAATTACTTTACAAAAAAAAGAAAAAATATTATTAATGAAAGCAATCACAAAAAACGTTGTTTGAGCGACCAACAGCGATTAGGTGAAGATAGTAGTGATCTATTCTGTAGTAGCAGTGACTCTTCATCAAACTCGGGTACGATAGCTAATGAACATTTCGATAGGTTATTTGATAATTCCCGAAAATCAGAAGAAAAGGAAATCGACACCCTCGGACAGACGGACGTCTATACAGATCCAGAGTCTGTTATAGTATGCGATGTAAACCCAAATATCGTAAACGAAATACAATCCGAACCATTACAATTTAAAAAAAAAGGGGATAAAAAAAGTTTAAGCCCATTAAAAAACAGATTGGGTGACGGTCCTTTATTTATTTATGATACAATTGACCAATATGATAAACACCTGAAGACATCTGAAACATTCAAAGGTATACTGACAGATGAATCACTGGCTTTACTATCAACTTTAGGTGAGGAGTCAGAGGGTAATAAACAGTTAATGAGCTATTTGTTCTGTGTTGACCAATATGCACCTGAAGGAATAACCGAAATAGACTTTCCAACTAAAAAGGATAAAAAACAAGCCATTATTTTTGATTATATGTCATTATATGAGGGAGGGTTTATAACTTTTACTAATAAAGATGCAGACAAATTGCCCGTAGACCAGTGTAAAACACTATTAACAAAAATTATGAACACAACCCATATGAAACAGAAGACGAAGGGAGAGATTATGACCAATTGTCTTACACGAGATATAAGAGAGTGTTTGAATCACGATGAGAAATCAAAAGAGTGTTCTGGCATTTCCAATGATCAAGTCTTAAAGAAATTGAGATCAAAAGTTAAAAAATGGAAGTTAACAGACTTGGCCCGTGAAACGATAACTGAACTAACTGTTTTAATGCATCTGGATAGTATTTTTAAAATGGGCTTTTCAATCGACTTTACACGGGTGTATAATGGCAGGCCCATGCTAAACTTTAAACCCTCTGGAAAAAAAAAAACAGTCCCCTGTGGATAAAGAGATGATTATGGATAATGCAACGATTATTTTTCGGAATAGGAAGGATTTTTGTGCGTATCTGAATGCTCTTGCGTTAGTCGAGAAATATAAAGAAGCAAAAGATAAAGGTGAATTTGTATTAAGTGTAAAAAACTTATATAGAGATGAAGAAAATATGTCTCATCATAGAGCATTGCCGCTATGGCTACGCAAGTTTACACCTATATATATTTATTTAAATATATTATCAAATGGTGTAGACTATTTGAAGAAATCAAAAGAGTACGACGAAGCACTGGAGATACTGGACTTACTCATCGCACAAACCGCGTTTCATCAGGATACCAAAGCTCAGTGGTATAACAAGAAGGTACTTCTGCTATATTCTTTGAAATCTCACGAAGAGGCCGCAGATACATTGTATGAGGCGTTTAACGCTGGTTTGCCGGGTGAAACTGTTATGACTTTGCAACGTCGGGCTAAAGAGATTGCGCGTAAAACCAGAAGTCAAATAGACCAAGAAGTTCATAACGTATTGCGGGTTAATGGTGAACGCGAAATATCAGAAGGTAGTATACCTGACCCACGCTATTACTACCAAGAGCCTGTAGAGAAATCCAATTCAAAAGATAAGCCTAAATACAAATGGAATAACGAACTCGTATCTGCCGAGACTTTGTGCTGCAATTTTTACAAGGAAACACTATTATTTACACTAGTGGAGCACTGGGAGGGCGATCTTATTAATACGATATACTTCATATTGTTCTGGGACATTATATATACAAAACCATTGGCCATTGGGGGCATATTTTTGAGCCACTACCAACAGTACCCATTAGATATGTTGTGCGAAAACTTTTATATAAATAGAAAAGCGATAATTGACGAGTTCCTTACAATAATACAGAATAGCACTGAAAACCAGATAATGAAAATGATTAAAGATTGGTATGATAAATTTGATATAAATGATATGCCAGTAAAGAGACGCAAAATGGTTAATTATAATAATATTGAGATAGTGGTACGTTGCCTCCGCCCGCGAGCGCTTGCCGCCATCTGTCGCAGACTGGCGCAAAACTATAAATACATGCGTTGTGGTTTTCCAGATTTGACATTGTGCAACACTGAAAAATACACCATAGAGTTCAGGGAAGTGAAGACAAACGAAAAGGTTCAAGATAACCAGTTGCAATGGTTGCATTATTTAAATGAACACAAGATAAAGGCTGGCTTCTGCTATTTAATAAATAAGAAAGAACAACATATCGCGCATGGAGCAGCATATAAATACTCTATTGACAGTAGCTATCCGCCAGACACTAATAATGGATACCCGCAACCCGGGCCTAGTACTAGTTTAACTGGACTGGACTTGGCAATGTAACAATTATTTGATTTATTATTTATGTTAATTTAACTTATTAAGGTATTTAATTCCGTTTTGGGGTTCCTTATTACATTATTTCTTAATATATATGTCGGCGCGAAACCATTTCCTTGTAAGTTTGAGCATTTCAATGAAACATAACTGTTGATAATAAAGTCAATAATAAAATTAGCTATCAATTTATCTTCTCATATAGAATGATTACGACTATGTTCATTTCACTGTAAAAAGAATTACTTGAGTAAGTTGTTTAATTAAGTCATTTCTAACTGGAATACTGTATTACTGTTAATTACAACTTAAAGATTTTTACTACCGCAAAAATCTTATAATAAAACATAGAATTAAATGATAACTGTTAGTGAGCAAAGTAATGTCTTAGTAATTGTTTTCAAATAATTGTAATTATGAGTCTAACCTATAAACATCCGCTTAACACAGTTGAATTACAATTATGTATGGGTAATTATGATAATTCTCATTATTTATTTAGACATTTACTAAGTTGTAAAATAAGGTGTATCACATCTAATTGTTTTGTAAAGTTTATACAAAACCAACGACATCCGAAATTTCACATTCGTTGGTTTTGTATAGGCTAAAGAAATGCAATCACTTTTGCTCGAGCATTGGACGAGGAAGGACAAGCTTCACATAAGATAAGTGTCTAGGCATTCTATTATTGTAACCAATAAGTTCTATTGTTTCATATTGTGTAGATAAATTGATGCATGTGATAAAGTGTAAAATAGTTCATAAATTGATTGACTGTTAGTTTTCTTACTTTCAATCATGAGTGATACGAATGAGATAAGGGGTGACGTCAGCGAGGCTGACGTCACACTTTCCAAAAATAATTCCGCGCCTCCAGCGCCGTTATATATTTAAATGAACTTTTATAGATTTTTTTGTGTATTCAAGTAGTTATAAGTGCTAAATAACTAATATTGTATTTTTAATAAATAATTTAAAGTGAGAAGAGTTTGTCATTTGAGAATAATCTGGCAACAACGCGGTCAGATGAGAACGATTAAAGTATTCTCTTTGAAAATATCTTTGAAAATATTGAACTGAAAAAAAACTTAATAGTGGCGCCCCTCTCTCCAGCGTTTGAGATATATGAGGGTTTTCGATACTTTTTCTGCCACCAGACGGCGCTTCGTTTGCGTTAGGTCCAAACAGCTGTCAGATAGCACAGATTCTCACTGAACGTATAATTTTTAGTGATATTCTATGCATTTGGAAGTGTTATTTAGTTTATTATGGATTACGACCAGAGAAAGGTTGCCGAACTGAAGATTGAGCTCAAAAAGTAAGGCGCAAAAGTTTTATTTGCACACAGAGGCACTGCACAACACTGTGGCATTTTTAGAAAACAATATTTCTTTTGTAACGTTTTTAAGAATGAATAAACCAAAAAAATGATCGAAAAATACAAATCATGTATGTGTTTTGACAGGTGGTTGAACCTGACGGTACAGTGCCGCCATCTCACGTGGAACATTTCAGAAAACCCTCATTACTAAAAAAACTCACAAATATTGAGTTGGCGATTGGCTCCGTTCGCCTGTCGTCGAATCCTATCGGATTCTTGCGGCTGTCGTCGCGTGCGTGTTTTTATCACAAATCATCAATCCAGATTTCTCTTTTCGTCTTCTGTTTTATGACTTTTTTTTATTCTAATGCAATAGCCAACAGTACTACGTCAACTTCAACTTCAACATTTGTTTTTACAGTACGAGGGCGGGTCAATAAGTCCGTGACTTTTTGAATTTCTGACCTCTTTACTGAAAAAGCAACACTACTCCTGTCAACAGGCCTCTGTCAGTTGACTCCTGTCAAAATTTGAACTTGCTGCGTCAGTTAGTTTGTGTTTGACAGCTATCGTTATCAGACTACCCAGTAATTTGAGGAAAAAATGGAAAAAAGTGAATTTCGTGTGCTTAAGCATTATTTTTTGCGAAAAAAAACCATTACCGAGACCAAGGCTAAGTTTGATAAATACTATGGGGACTCTGCACCATCGATTTCAATGGTAAAAAAGTGGTTTACTGAATTTCGTTGTGGCCGTACAAGCACTGAAGATGCCGAACGTCCTGGACGCCCAGTTGAGGTCTCTTCACCCGAAACAATCGAAAAAATTCACGATATGGTGTTGGCCGACCGAAGATTGAAAGTGCAAGAGCTTGTGGAAGCCGTAGGGATCTCGCATGGCTCAGTGGTTTCAATTTTGAATGATCACTTGGGCATGAGAAAGCTTTCCGCAAGATGGGTGCCGCGATTGCTCACAGTCGACCACAAACGCAATCGTGTAACAACTTCACAGGAAGGTTTGGCGTTGTTTAATCGCAATATGGAGGAGTTTTTGCGCCGTTTTGTAACCGTGGACGAAACATAGATCCATCACATCACAACACACCAGAGACCAAACAACAGTCAAAACAGTGGGTTTCTAAGGGTGAATCGGCGCCAAAGAAGGCCAAGGTGGGTTTGTCAGCCAATAAAGTTATGGCGACTCCATCAATTGGGCTATGAATTGCTCCCTCATCCGCCCTATTCTCCAGATTTGGCTCCGAGTGACTACTTCTTGTTCCCAAACCTGAAGAAATGGCTTAGTGGAAAAAGATTTGACTCCAATGATGAAGTCATCTCGCAAACAAAGGCCTATTTTGAGGACCTCGACAAATCATATTTTTTGGAAGGGATAAAAAAATTGGAGAAGCGTTGGACAAAGTGTATAGAGCTCAAGGGAAACTACGTTGAAAAATAAAATGATTTATTTATCAAAAAATCTGTGTTTTATTCCAAAAGTCACGGACTTATTGACCCGCCCTCGTTATATATATCATATTGTCATCGCCCGTCATAATTTCGTTATTTTCTTTGCAATTATTTTTCTTAATAAAACAGGCCACTATTGCTGTTGAGGAAGACTGATTCCGTCCTGGGTTTTTTGCTGAGACACTTTTCTATATTCTCACATTTTCAGATACCCTATAAATTTACATACTTATAAATCTATGCCTAATATTCACATCTATAAGAGTCATTATTTCTTGAAGTTTTTCATAAAAAACTTAAACCAATTTAAACCTATCCCTTGTCTACGCAACGGTACAAAATTACTATATACTATACTATAAATTTTAGAATATTACCTAAATGTACTGCACGCTCGCTTTTTATTAGCCATCCGAACTCGGTCGGGTTATATACCAATTGCGGCAATATAGTATTTTAATTGTATTTCGTTAATTATTTTACATGTACAGTAAAGAAATTAAATTTTACATTTGCATAGTTGAATTAATGCACTAATTATTGGAATAGGTTTTATAACGCATTACCTTTAGAATCTCGTGCAATAAGTCTGCATCTGAAACAGTGGTCCAGTCATGGTAAATTATCCCATAGGTCATTAATTGCTAAGAGTACATCAATGATACTTGGTAAGACGTTGTAGATGCTTACAAGGCATGCATAAACGTTATAAACTAGACCCTAGTGCATAAGCACTAAGTACTAGGACCTAATAACCTTATTTTACGTTTATATTTATATCTTCTGAATGGTATGGTTTTTCTTAAATCCGTTTATACAAACAGTATAAACAAATTCAAAACAACGTATGAAAAATCGACAGCTCTCTAGAAAAGCGTTTTATATGAAATCTAGCAAATGGCCAAACGTTGTCGCAGCGGAAACCTGTTCGCAGTTTATTGACGTACAAATTTCATTAAAACATACACAAGTACCTCACGTCATACATTAGTTTTTGATTCCATTATTTTTCTTCTACGTCCATAGGTAAAAAAAAGTGAAGCTGGGACAACGTTGTCCCAGCGGAAACAGTTTTTCGTGAATAACTCCGCAATGGTTGAATGCACAAATTTTTACATCATCATCATCAGCCTATCGCAGTCCACTGCTGGACATAGGCCTCTCCTTGCACGCCACTTAGATCGATTTATGGCTTCTTATTTTGGATTTTTTATTTATTTATTTATTTATCTTTATGCACTTTTGTACATCGGCGGACTTAATGCCCAGGGCATTCTCGTCCAGTCAACCTTTGGGTGATGTAGAAATCTTGTAAGGTAGGTGCACAGAGGTTACATCATAATATCTAATGTACAATGAAAATAAATACGGTTCACTACATTTTTTACTTACCATACACAATTACACGACGTCATACACAAAATATCTGTTAAACTCAAACAATGAAATTCGAACTTTTTCCGCTGGGGCAACGCACACCATTGGGGCAGTGAGTTTACTTGGCCTATTCATCTATACTAATATTATTTAATTTTTACTCGTAGTGCTCTTTGTTAGTATTTTTTGAAGTCGGTTCAACTTTTTTTTTAAAAGAGCCATTGCTAGGGCGAAACCGGACCACATAAGCCAAATCGGTGAGAGACTGGTGAGACTTCCTTCTGGAACTCGTGCATTCTGGTCTATTGCCAAGGCTGTCCAGGGGAATTTCTGTAGCCAATCCTTTCCCCCCCTGCAGATTGGAGATAATTCGTTGGCCTATGATACCAAGCAGAAAGCCGATCTCCTAGGCAAACTCTTTGCATCCAACTCGACTTTGGATGACGGGGGAAACGTACCGCCAACCATACCACGGTGCCAGAGCTATATGCCGGATATCCGGTTCACACAAAAATCATTCATAGACATAGACATTCATAAGTCTTGTGGGCCCGATGGAATCTCTTCTATCGTGTTGAAGACATGTGCTCCGGAATGGGCACCGGTTTTAAGGCGCCTATTTCGACTCTCCTACTCCCAAGCCGCCGTCGCGAACTCCTGGAAGGTAGCGTTAGTGCACCTGAGTTGGAGACGTTCATGGGCGGCGATGGTCGCTTTCCATCAGGTGACCTGTCTGCTCGTCTGTCCCCTCTAACATAAAAAAAGGCTTTATTCTATGAGCCAACTAGGCTTCCGTATGCAAGGCGCTTGGTGGAGCAAGTTTTTTATTTTTAATCATACTATATTATGATTTTGGCATTCCTGAAACGGCGGCCTGCCCTTGTTGGCCTTCCCTCCCCACCCTTGGGGCTGGTTGGTTTTTCACGCCCCTTGCAAATATGGAGGCTAGTGCAACCACTTGTGTCACTGACACTGGCTTGGCCACCATCATGGATTTTAAATTTGATAACACTCAAATTTTGTCGCTAATTATTTGAAAATTCTTTCCAGCTTGGCCACGTTTGTATCTCAAAAACTAAGGCACCTAGCGAAGATCAGTTTTCACCACGAACCGCTTCTCTACCCGCCACTCTTGGCCCGACGCTTTAACTTTCTTTTTAAATAACAATTCTCGGATTCAGACTTATAATGCACTACAATTTCTTGACCAGGTTTCAACAAAAAATATACATCTGTATTACATAAAATATATATGAAGTGTCTGTTTGATATATCAAAATAATAGGTTTTCTTTCATGCTCGCACGGTTATTCTCACCTATGATATCTATGCCTAAAAACCAGTTTAACCCTTAAACGCATAGTGTCCCAAAATTGAATCACCAAATTAAACCACCAATATCCGTCCATAAAAATATTATGGACGGATATTGGTGGTTTAATTTGGTGATTCAATTGTGTGTTTCAAGTGTTTGATACATTAGGCTGTATGAAATGTTTCTTTTGCTCCTTCTCTAACCATAGAATAACTCAACTAGTGACATTTTGTGTTGTTATCTGTGGCTGATTGACATTTCACTTTTCACTTTTTGGCGCGCGTTTCTCAAATAGGTTTGAGTTGAGTGCACTTTGGCGACATATATCACGAAGTTATTTGCTGATTTTGGAGAAAAAAAAATTGTTTTCTAAAGGTAATGACTATTATTTATACAATAACTTATCCTTTTTTCAATTTACCATAATTGTTATATGAACAGGAAGCTTTTTTGTTTTGATGCAAAAATGGGACAGCATGCACTATTGGTAAAAATTACTACTGCTATTTGAAGCTATACATTTTGTGATTTTATTTATTTTGCTTTGGTGAGGTATGCATGTGGTTGGTTATTTTGTTTTAGAAATGGCAGAAAATAATAGGAGAGATGGTGACATTGAGTTTTGGTTGCGCCAGCTAGAAGATGGCGCCATTTCTGAAGACGATTTCGAATCGGACGGTGACGAACTTGATTTTTATCCTACCCAACAAGATTTACTAGATGTTTTAGAAAATGATGATGACGACGGTGAGGCTAGGTCTAATGATAATAACGAAGAAATTATACCCGATCCTCCTATTGTAATAGCGGATGCTGTTCCTTCAAATAATAATGATGCACCGGTACATTCTTTAGACATTCAGAGGTTGATATGGAAAAACCAACCTCTGCCATTCAACGAAAATGCCATAAAATTTAATGGAACTGAAGAATACCCTGAAAGTTTGATGAACCTTCAGACACCTTTCCAATTTTTTTCCTACTTTTTTACTGAAGAATTTCTTTCACAAATTGTTACTGAAACAAATAATTATGCTGTACAAAATAAACCTGATAGACTTGACGTCATAACATTAGGAGAACTGCGAAAATATCTGGGAATCTTGATTTATATGAGTGTCTACCACTATCCAAGTGTACGTGGTTATTGGGCTAACAAGCACGGGTTTGAGGCAATTATAAAAGCGATGCCTGTCAATAAATTTGAAAAAATAAGAAGAGTACTTCACTTCAACGATAGCAATAAACACCTACCAATAGATCATCCCCAGCATGACCGACTTCACAAGCTACGCCCTGTAATTGAACATCTCAATACCAAGTTCTCCAGCATTCCAATCAGTCAGCGCTTATCCATCGATGAGCAAATGTGTGCCACCAAGATGGGCCATTTTTTAAAACAATACTTGCCTAATAAACCCCATAAATGGGGTTTTAAATTATTTGTATTGTGTTCTCTGACAGGTTTTGCTTATCGCTTTATAATTTACGCTGGCAAAGAAAAAGATGATCGTTTGCCTAACGAGCCTGATATAGGGGTTGTATCACAAACAGTGATAAAACTTGCTAGAATAATTCCCAGACATGCTAATCACATTATATACCATGATAATTTCTATACCACATTGCCCTTGATGTATTATTTTGCTAAAGAAGGAATACAATGTGTAGGAACTGTTCAAAGAAACCGCCTAGGTAAGAAATGTAAATTACCCTCAAAGCAGGATGTAATGAAAAAACAAGTGCCAAGAGGGTCGTATGTGGAATATATTACACATATTGATGGGGTCGACATGTCTTCAGTGAGCTGGAAAGATAACAAACAAGTAGTTCTGCTCTCGACCTACGTAGGAGCTGAACCAATACAGTCCATTGAACGGTATGACAAAACAGAAAAGAAAAAAATAATTATAGGCTGCCCAAAAATAGTCAAAGAATACAACGCCCATATGGGGGGCGTTGATCTCATGGATTCATTTTTGGGCAGATATAGAATAAAAGTCAAGACCAGGAAATGGTATATGAGGATTTTTTACCACCTTTTAGATTTAAATATTATAAACTCTTGGGTTCTATACAAAACTGTAGAGACAAGAAAAGGAGCAGATCCAAAGAAGCTGAAAAATCTGTCAGAATTCAGGTCAGAGCTGGCTGATGTCTTATGTACCTATGGTACTACGACCCAGCCAACAAGAGGACGTCCTAGCAACAGCAGCATCACTGAAACCATAAAGGCAAAAAGAAAGAAAGGGTGCCAGGTTCTTCCACCGTCTGACGTTCGGTTAGACAATCTTGGTCATAGCCAAATTAAAACCGACCAACGCATGAGGTGCAAGAGACCTGGCTGTAAGCTACAGAGCTTTGTAAAATGCACAAAGTGCAATGTATTCCTTTGTGCAAAGAAAGGAAACGATTGTTTCAACTTATTCCACAGTTAATTAATAAAAGCATTTTTTAAGACTATTTTGCATAATGTCCCAAAAATGCATCATCAACTTGATTTTTTTATTAAAAACCTATAAAATTTTAATTGTTTTTTTTTTTTTTTTTCCCCTTTTTCACAGCTTCTAAAGAATTGAAACCATTTTTTTCAGTACAATTTATTAATTCATGCATTTAAGGGTTAATATTTTTTGTCTGTCTGTTTGTCACGGGTAATCTTCTAAATGGCTGAACCGCTTTTGATAATATTTTACTACCAGGTAGCTGTTTATATAAGGAGTAACTTAGGCTTTTCTCTTCAGAAAAACCCCATACAATTTTATCCAGTCCGGAAATCGAACCAATTAAGGCAGCGCTTTTCAAAATCCGAACGAACGAAGTCGCGGGTACCAGCTAGTATATAAATAAAACGAGACCATTTGTTTACCCAATCGTTAGTATATTACACAACTTTATGAAAGTTGTAATGTTACATTTATACTTAAACGGTTACATTTGTCATCGGCCCTAACTTTTGGCCGCGTTATAAGGCACATCTATTACAATACAGCATTAAGACAAGTGTTATACACAGAACTGGCTTGTTTTACGTATACATTAATCTCAAACAAACATTACACAAAATTAAGAGATTCTAATAGACAAAATCTGTGCGTAACAAACGAGATTTAATCTTTTTTTGTTGAACACTCATCTACATTTAATATGAATCACAAAAGTCCAGTTTAAAAACTGATAATTGATCCAGTACAAAAATCTTCACTCAAATAAAACTTCTTTTAAATAATAAGAATCATAGCTTTCGATAAATTTTCTATTAAATCTATTCCATAGCTCTGTCGTACATAAAATGCACATTAGCACCGACAAATACAAGCAACTTTACTTTGACATACAAGTTTTAGTATTTTTTTTTTAAATCAAAATTAGAATACAACCTAATTATTAAACAACACTTAAAATACTGGCAGTTAAAATTATTAATTTATATTTGCATATGAGATTTAATTTATATTTGCAAGTAAAACCAAAAGGAGTCCAAAATATAAACTAACTAGAAAAGCCGATTAGACATGAAAAAAATATTTAAATAAAATTTGTTTCAACCATATAATGTGTAATATTGTATAACAGTCTTTTTACACGTTATTTCCTTTTTCCTCTCCTATAACAAATTGATGATTATGGTGATGATTACAAAATTAAATCTGTCCGTTATGAGACTGAACTGTTTAATATTGTATTTTATATAAATTTATTTATTATACATTCATGGAAAGAAGTAGCAAAACTGTACTAACCAATGGCACAAATAATTTTATTATAACATTAGGATTACTTTAAAAGTAATTTAAATACTAGCAACATTTGCAAACTTAAATAAAATTGTAATTAAGCAAGCCATATGCCATGGCTGTCACAACCGCTCACTGAGTAAGAACTCCATATACAAGTAACAACTGGTATTTGGTACTATATTGGTAAGTAAAGAGGTCAGACGGGAACTTAACGAGGAGAAAGCTTTTACTTGCAATGATTCTACAAGTTGAAAAGTAGAAGAAGGGTGAATCTAGTAGAACATAGTCCGATAAAGTAATGTTCTGAAGAAAGTTCAGATCAGAAGTACTCAATGTTCAAAGGTAAGGATTAAAATAATGACAGTAGACAAAGGTTTTGAGAGATTGAAATCAGTATTGTGGTGGTTTTTTGGTAATTATTAACTTGTACTTAAATCATCATATTAATGTGAATGCATTCTAATTTCATATTGTAAAGATGTCTTTACAAATTTCAATTTAAGATAAGTTATTGACAGACAAATAAATATTAGAAAAATGTAATTTAACTCAGCGTTTCATTTTCTCGAGTATGGGTATTATCATCTCGAAGGTGGGTCGTTTGCCGGGGTCTTCGTTCATGCAGATCTTGATCAGTTTGGCGATGTGGGGCGAGATGCCCGGCGGGATCGTCACGCGGAGACCTTCCAGGGCTATTTTCATACCGCACTCCATGGGAGATAAGTCCGCGAATGGCACCTAGAAAGGATCTTTTTACTTTAAAGGGACACAAATAATGTGTGGTCTTAAGAACTAATATGCGTAAAGTTTTGAGCATAGATTTTTTAGATCTAGATTACGTGTGGAAGAAAGAACGTGGATTAAATGAGCTATATAGCTGTATATACAACATATACCTATATACAGGAGTTATCCACCTTTTGGATGGACATTGGTTTTTTATTCCGAACAAAATCCATTATGGCTCAAATAAAACTAATATATAGCAGCTAAAATTAGGAATTGGGAATTAGTAAGATAACAATTTTTAAATCCTGCACTTAAGAGAAAAAATAAAAGGTATTTCATGTTAGTAGATATTTTTGTTGGCGGATGGCAATACTAAACATACTATTGTTTATTGCGTATAAATCAATAGTAGTATTTATATTTATGGATATCTTACAATTATTTATGGCAAACTCAAAGTAAACATAAAAATATGGAAAGTAGAGGCAACGAGAACTATCTCTGTGTCCGTAAAAACGAGTCCAATGTGGGTGGCGCTGCGGTGGCCTAGGATAAATTTATATTGACTTACATAATGATTAGACATTGTGTACTAAACTGCGAAAATAGTCAATGAGTTTTACCGACAATAAATAAATGTGCAATAACTTTCAGACAATAAAAGTATTGTAATATTTTAACTCAGCATACCACTCCGTCCACAACAGCTATATTCATATCGTAGGTTCCCGTACGCCAGCGACCTCTATTTTTATTATACAGCTGGACACTTTTTCAACTTACCCATATATATGAGATGGGTCTTTTTGCCTCTACACTTCATGATAAAAACATAAACTGTCAACAAGTGTATAAACAGAAGCGTCATCCGTCTGTCATGCGTGACGCGTCAGAGACAATCGTAAAACTTGTCATTATATTTTTTGTCTGGTAGCAAAAGTTTTGTTCGTATTCGGCCTAAAAATTTGCCAAGATAAAAAGGATATTTTCTCAAGATTGCAATAATTTAAAATTATATTTTATAACATATATTATTCGTTCTCGGGAAGTCTATCTAAAGTATTCATAGCTACTGGAATTTTTAAAGAAAAATAACCATTATCGGATAACTCCTTCCATAATTTTCCTACGGGTTAGACGGTCACCCTCAAAAAGAAGTATAGGCGAACAAAATTTTATTATTTGTGTAAACGCATTTTGCCAAGTCACTGACAAGATAATGACTGAAAATAGTATTTGCTGTAGCCTTTGTAGTAACGTTTTATAGTGGAGGTTTAGTGGGAACGATAAGAAGGTGTGACGCACCTCTCTGGTGGCGAGCTCCCACAGCAGGATGGCGAAGCTCCACATGTCGGCGGCCTCCAGGTTGCGCTGCGCCGGCGCCTTGAGCAGCGCCTCGGGCGCGAGCCAGGCCGGCGCGTACAGCCGCCCGCGCGACTGGAACGAGAACCTCGCGTCCGCCATGTTCACGCGCGCCGTCAGGTCCTCGTCGATCTGACCGATCGCTCATATCATCATTGTGGAACGATTCTCTCGCGAGGTTTAGTACACTTTTAGATCAAAACGTGAGTTATTCGAGGTTAAAATTATATTCGAACGCGTCGACCGACTTCGGAAGTGATGTATTTTTAAAGATACCTCTTAAGAACGACATATTTTTAAAGGAGAGCGACCACTTTCGAAGGAGCCCCGGTGCCGATTCAAGTTTTTTGTATGAATATAAAATTTATGCCATTTGAAACCTTATATAGTAGCATAGCATAGCATAGCTACTCTAAATACAAATATACACAGCATTCATATATATACACCATAATAAATATAAAAATTTGACTACATAAATAACTATAAACATATGCACTTTACGAGATCAGCAGGCTAGATTATATTATTATTTTGTACTATAATATTTAAAATTTTATTATGTACCGATGTGGTCGATCACCTTTCTTAATAGGAACCTTTGTTTAAAAAAAAGAGACATAATTATTTATAACATTATTTAATATTCCAGTATTAAACCATTTACGTACTTTATTAAATTTATCACTCACCATAATATGCTTGCTATTCAAATTGTAGGTGGGCAATATCTTGTCTTTCTGCAGACTGTGGAGGTACCTCATAGCCAAGGCTACATCGTGCGCCAGCCTTATCGCGGCGTGAGCGTCCAGCACCAGGGACCCTCCTGCCCCTCCCGCTCCCCCACCGTGCAAGAGGGAGTGGAGGGAGCCCCACGACATGTACTGTGATATCACCACCAGAGATGGTGGAGAAACGCAGCAACCAACCTATGGAGTAAGATAGTGTATATAGACAGAGTATATGTCATGGATGCAAAAGTTTATATAACGACATTTCAAGTTATACTGGTTAAATATATAAAACCAAAACAAAAAAATATATATATTCTAAAAAACACCACGTTACCTCTGATTTTTTATTAAAATGAATAACACTTAAAAAAGATTTTATTCTCATAATATTTAAAATAGAATACACTGGCAACACTGACGTTGACGTAATCTTTCATAGTTGCAGTCGCACAGTTGTCTAGATCAGTCAAGATCTTCTGTTAGGTGGAATCATTCCCCAAACGAATCTCTACAGTCCCTTAATGGTTTGTCTGTCTGGCTGTGACCTAATTAAAGAATGTATTGACAATAGATAAGATACAGATAATAAAATTAAACTTACAACAGGTAGAATGTTAGGGTGAGAAAATATCCTGAGTTTGGGAAACTCCTCATTGAAGTCGCGCTGTATACGCGGGGTGCATTCACGAACTGCCAGGATCTTCGCGACAATATCGTTTTTCTGCCAACGACCACGCCAGGTTTCACCTGTAATGTTACATTGTCACTACTTTATCATTTTAACTATTATTATTATATTAATCTGCTTAGCGATAGTTCATTTCATGATGTTATGATTTTTATTTTGGAGAAAGGTGCATTATGTGTGTGTTGGAGGGATCCAACACACAGGGGGGTCAAACGACCAAGCGAAGAGATCATGCCTGCATGCATGAGATGGGAACTTTTATTGCGCGATGCAGAATTCGTAGTTACTCTGTAATTGAATATGTCTTCGATAAATCTATACTAATATTATAAAGCTGAAGAGTTTGTTTGTTTGTTTGTTTGTTTGAACGCGCTAATCTCAGGAACTACTGGTCCGATTTGAAAAATTCTTTCAGTGTTAGATAGCCCATTTATCGAGGAAGGCTATAGGCTATATATCATCACGCTAAGACGAATAGGAGCGGAGCACCAATGAAGAATGTTTCAAAAACGGAGAAAATTTATTACTTTTGAGAGACGCAGACGAAGTTGCGCGGGTCAGCTAGTTAAGTATATATATATATTTGAACAAATATACTTCAGTCTACAGTGGATGTGATGTATTTTACATTAGAAATAATAATCGACGTTTTTAGTGAAAAGCTTTTGGTCAGTATTTTTTTGCCAATTGAATAAAAATTACTTATTTTTTACATATAGCAACAAAATATTTTATAATCTTTATCGTACTTTAGTAAATAACCTGATAACTACATTAGACACAAAGAACATACACCAATCAGTGTCATTGGTGTTAATGGATTGAACATGACTTTTTAATGTACCTAGAAACTAGATTTTGCCCGCGGCTCCGTCCGCGTTTATGTCAGTTATCGCAGTTTAAAACGTACTCTATAGTATATAATACATATAGGGATAATTACCTTTCTCTAAGTAAAATATTTTTTAAATCGAATCAGTATTACCGGAGATTACCCCGAACATACAAACTCACAAACTTTACCTCGATATAATTTTAGTACAGATAAACCATTATAAATTATTGTGCCCATTAGAGAAGAGAGGGGAGCGGATTTACGGATCGTTATTTGGAATAAATACCTTGTAACATGAATGAAGAAACTTCAGAAGTAAGTTTTCATCCTTATGAGAACTTTTGTTTCTAAGAATCGAGAGATAACAACAAAACAACTTCGAGCGACAGTCCATTTCCGATCTTATGAGTATAGTAATAAAGATGCGTCGTACCGTCCTGCGTTATTATTACAAGTTTCGCGGTATTGCGCGGATAATGAAATCTTCTTGTAAGTTATAAGTTCGTGACAATAATTTACAAGACCCTTGTGAGTGGGATCCGTGTGGTGACGGATTAAGAATACGGAGTGTCACCATTACACCCTATTCATCCCGTGGGTGTCGTAATGGTGGCAAAGAGAAGGCAAATTTGACACAAACCCTATACCAACCCGTCTGGCCAGTGTCGTATAGTAGGTCCAAAACCTCGTTTCTAAGGAAAGGCCTATGTCGAGCAGTGGACTAATAAAGACTGTTGATGATGATGATGATTTTAAGTGACCAGATAGCAATATACTAACAAAGAGCCTCGTTAAAAGCACTTGTAACCCTTGAGCATGTATGTATGTCAGAATCTATAGAATTTCCCTATATGGTCTTTCTTTCTGAGATTGCTACAACGTGTGAGCTATTTTTACGCTCGATGAGCATTTCTGCTCTTTGAACGTAACATATACAAAAACAATTTTTTTTTTAAAGACAACTCCCTCATTAGGAATATATACCAAATGAGGGAGTTGTCTATGGTCCCCCTGTGTCGCGGGGGACTTTACAAACATACATATAACGGACACAAAGATCACCCAGACTCAGAACGACAATTTCTGGCTCACACAAAGTGTCGTCCCATGTGGGGATCGGACCCACAACACTCAGAGCGTAGTAGTAAGTGGCGATCGCTTAAACCACTACGCCATCCGTGCAGTCTCTTAGTATGTTGTTAGGTTCTAGAACCCATAGTACAATATTTATTGAGTTAAGGTGAAACATTTTAAATCTGTACTTCCCTACATTTTTTACAGGTTATGAAATATTTAACAGTTACTACATTTACCTGAAGGTGTCACAGCAATCCTAGTGTGTAGAGATAGCTCATTGATGTTGATGCCTTTGTGTCTGGACAGAGTAGCATCTCTGCTTCGCGTCTTCAAACCTAACCAAGACTGGTCTTTAAACTGAATCTTCTTCAGGTCTTGACCTTGCTGCGTCGCAATTTCATGTAGTCTATAAACACACAAGTAATAATAATAACTACAGTAATAATTTCACATATCTCACACACGGCCGTCTAGTCCCAAACTAGGCAGAGCCTGTACTATGGTAACCAGACTGCTGATAAACATTCTTATTTATTTCTAAATACATACATATTATAGATTAATTACACCCACACACAAAGCAACTTATCATGCTCATCACACAATTATTTGTCCTGGGTGGGAATCGAACCCACGACCCCCGGCTTGGCAGTCAGGGTCTACCACTAGACCAACATGTCAGTTGCTACAGTATAAAAGTATTTATCAACAAATATACATATTTTATTGTATAAACATCATGTGGTGACAGATTAAGATCATCTCGTGGTATCTTAAGAGCAAACTACGCAGGACAACAGCACTACAAAAGAAGGAAAGCTTGACACAAACCCTAAACCAACCCGTCTGACCAGCATGGTATAGTAGGCCACAACCTCCTTTCTAAGGAAAGGCCTATGACCAGCAGTAGACTATTAAAGGCTGTTGATTTTATTGTATAGGAGGCAAACTAGCAGATGGGAAATCTGATGGTACATGACTACGGGAACCCATGGTAACTTGAAACTCAAGCGACACTAGTGCCGCACCCCTCAAATGACTATTTTAGGCTTCCGGTAACTTCACTCTTCGGTGAAAAGAAGATCAAAATCTGTTCGATTCAATTCCATTCTTTAACCCCATGTTTGATGTAAATCGGTACAGGATGGCCGCCGCCACAAAATGGCGGATTACATATTTTTTCACAACGACCTCAATATGGGTATCAAAGGAAAGGTATTGACTAGTAGATCTATAAACCAAGATGTGTGCCGGGAGTTTTTTAAATTTTAAATTTATTATTATTTAATATTACCTCTGCACTAACTGTCCTCTAGTCTTATCAAGTGGAGTATCGCCATCTTTGTTGGCAAGTGACACAAGTGCTCCGGCCAACAGCAGGTCTTCAGCAATGGCGCTGTAACCCCAGAAACAGGCGTAGTGGAGGGGCGAGTTACCATGCTCGTTTGTGAAGTTCACATCAACGCGGTTTTGTAGCAGCTGCAAATAAAATTAATGGAATTGTTTAAGATGTTGAAAAAAGAAATTGTTTAAGATGTTTAAATGTGAAAAATAAAAGTGGCTAAGTGGTAATCGAGTAGGTTAACACATTGCAAAGTTAAGCAATCCTTGTTAGTCGACAGCTGGGTGACCACTTTTAACATATTGAGACCCCTCCATACCTTGGAGAGCACGTTAAGCCGTCGGTTCCGGTGGTCATAGGAACATCTGTAGCAAACATTACAGGTAGTAAATGTCCAACAATGTCCAACAACAGTCTTTCTACAGAACTTCGATACCGGCTAGTACTTGGGTTGTGGAGGTCTTGTGTCAGTTGCTCCGCGGACAAATTCAAAGTTAAGAAGTATCGTAGTAGACTTAAAGCGAACCCCAACTTAGTTTGGGAAAAGACTAGGTTTTTTTTTTTAAAATAAATAACTCCTTATCGAACTAAAATTATAATATTGGAACAACGCAGGCATAGGGGCGATCTAATTAAAACAGTTAAAATATTAACTGGACACTATAATGTGAAAAACATCAGTATGCATTTGAATACCCAATTGACAGGACACTCATTGAAGCTTACCAGGTCTTAGTCTCTTAGCAACCTGAGAAGATACTTCCTACCAAACCCCGTAGTGTATTCCCCCTGTACTTCCATTTGGAATACTTTACCCGAAAGTGTAATTAGTGCTGGCTCTCAGTACTCACGCATTTTTAGAAACAGATTATACGAATAATATATACTAACTATTAGATGGTACAATTAGTATCAAAGAGCTTATAAATGTTAGATGTAGCGAAAAAGGTGCTATTGCATATGGTTGGTTGAAAGAGAAAGAAGATAGTTTTGGTCCTGCATCTCTCCCTGCTCTTGTTGCTGATTGGCTATTTTAAATGCCCTCTTCAGTATCAGCCATTCAGTGCAGAGAGCAAAGAGAGATGAAAGACCAAAACAGTTTTCTTTCTCTATCTACCGACCATATACCTACAGAGCAATCAATCGCTTCCTCTATTTATTTTATCTCTATGAATGGTATGCACTAGAGTACATTTACTTTTAATGTACTTGTTTACAATCTTAATAATAAAAACCTTCAGAAAACAGTTCTTTAAAGAGTACAAGCATAAATTGATTTTCTTACCAACTGAACAATAGGTCTGTGGCCATGTGCTGCTGCCAAATGTAGTGGGGTATCATCCCCCATATTCGTCACATTAATCCTGGCCCCGCGGCGAATAAGCATCTCCACAATCTTGAGGTGACCTTCCTTACATGCCCAGTGGAGAGGACTAAAGCCATGATCATCACTGAAAGTAAAGTGTTTGTATAATTAGACATTTAACAGATAACAAACATTCATTCACTGGTAAGTTGCTTCAGTAGTTAGTGATCTTGACTGTTAAACAAAAGGTTGTGGGTTAGATTTCCAACCAGGACAAATAATTGGAGCTTAATGTTTTTTTCTGTTTCCAGGTGTAATTTACATACTCTGCAGAGGTTGAGATCAGTCAGCCATGTGTAAGATGTGTGTTTTGTGTGATTATTATTCAATGTTTTGCCACACTATTGCCTTAGTTCTTTTTATTATATGTATAGATATAAAGAGCTTGTCCATTATTAAGACTTAACAACCTATCAAGGTAATTAATACATACCTCTACAATACATTAAATTCCTGTGAAACCTTAGCTCACAATGAACATTAAAAATGATTTTTCCTTAACTAGCTCCTATAATGAAATAGGTATGATCTTCTACTGGTATTTATGACTAATATTGAGGTAAATTACAATAAAACCTTAGAACAACAGGGAAGACCTACCAAAATTGAGACTGTACTTTTTGTAAACGTGTATGTATTTAGTAAATTATAGGTTTATTTATGAGCAGCCTGGTTACCATAACATTGACTCTGCCTACCAGATCAGATGGCTGTGTGTGAGGTTTTTATTATAATCTTTAAAAACATTTTAATATACCGATTTATAACTTCTACTACTCTGAAAACTTTTTAGCAATATGTTGAAAAGAAATGAAGTGACTGGTTGAAGTTTTTATCATTTATTTGTTTCATAGAGTTCCAATTAGATCTATTCATTTTATTCAAAATGTCCAATAAGTTTAGCAATTACTCCTACTATCGGTTTTTCTAAATATTCTTTACATAAAAAAAACTTGCAGAACTAAGTCACAATTTCTTGTCACAGACAAAATCTTAGTTCCACTTTTTTTTAGTTTTAGTTTTTTAAAGACAAGTTTCAGTTAGACATTGTGTAATATTAACTTAATAGGTCGAACGTGTTGTTTACAACAACTGACGAGTTATTATTCTCGTACACATCTGACGCATAATACTAGGCCATGACAACATAGTGGGCGTGTTCTCTCAATGCCATGTAGGAAGGAACTAAGCTTCCCATATGGACATAAATAACAAAAATTTATAATGAATATACCAAACTCACCCCTGATTCATGTCATGTTCGGTGTCGTCCAGCCAAACTCGCACCTGTAGTGCATTTCCTTCTCTACACCACTGAAATATATCTTCCATGTCTGCACCGAGAGCAAAATCACTTACAGTAAAACGGTTATTTTAAACAAGTAAAATAAATAATAAATTTATCTTAACTTGTACACAAATAAAAAATAAATAAAATAAAAGAAATGAAGTAGTCCAGTATAGTAAATGAAATCATTCATTTCAATACATTTGACAGTTTCGCAATCACCGAAAATAATACATAAGGCGACCCTTTTTGGAATATTGTGAACTACATGCTGTCTCTATCATTTAATAACGATAACTCGTATTTGTATCTCTTTTTTTAAGTCAAAATATGACATCCTTGAATTAGTCGCTTAATTTATGGTGTTGCTAGAAACAATATTTCATGGGATGTTGTTACAATATTTTTTTTTAAATGTAAGTTCTGATAAAAACTACCACATAGTGACAAAAATAGTTTTTTACATACACGATTTGACTCACTTGTTTGTAATGTTTATATACTCTATAAACCAGAAAGTCACAGAGAAGAGAATCAAGAGAATGACTGACATTGCTGTACTGACTGAATGACATGTCACATAAACAACAAGAGATTTATTTTATTAGAATATTTAGAATTTAAAACGAATATAGAATTATAGAGCACAAATTAATATAGAATAACAGAGCACAGATTATGTAACATAGAATAGAAGAATATACCTTTGTCGAAATGTAAACAATTGTTGCTGCTGTTCGATTGTTTTTCAGGCTGTGTGCGTAATATTTTCATCGACGTAAATTAAACTTTTCTTTTTTAATAAGTAAACAGTGTAATCATGGAGTTGAACATGGGTGTAGATGTCAATGTTTTACCTAAGATTACAGACGTAGAGTGGAAACTTGAAGTTTTGACTAACACTCCAGGGGTTGGTTCAGATAACTTACTGTATACAGTAGTCCTGAAAACTGATGAGAAGGATATCCAGTTCACATGCGGAAGCCAACAATTACAAGATTTGGTATACAAGCTGAAGGACTTGGTTCGACATTGTGAAAAAGTGAAAAGTGAGATAGCTTGAGCGACTGATGAAATGTGTACTATGTAACATTTAAAATAAGCAATTGCAAATAATTTTTACAATAAACTTGTAGGTAGACATATATATGGCTTTTCATTGAATCAGTACAATTGTTAATGCAGTTTGTTGCGCAGCTCACTTGATATTGTGCCTTTTAAAATCTTATAAGACATATATTCATTATTTAAATAATTGCCAAGTAACAAAACTAATAATGGAATCTAATTCTAAAATGATTGTGTAAATCTCTCTGTGACAAGGATTAGGTTTTCCACTATGCTCCATAGTTATTGGTGCTTAGAGGATTCTACATAAACTACAGATCAACAAATATTTTACTGATATGATATTGATCAGTCAGACTAAGAGATAGCTAAGCAATCTAAGCATTAACCTCTGTAAAGCCGCTACACTGTACAGTGCCTTACCAGTGAAAGGCACTGTTTCAAATTTTCACTAGTTTTAATGCTGAACATGCTCGCTGTTGAGTGTTGATGAGAAATTTTGCACTAGGCCCGCATATTATGTAAATATTGAGATAGAGCTCGGCCTGTAAATAACTAAGACCACTATAAAAATGGCTAAAAATAAAAAAGTTGATTTGATGATTCATAAAGTTCAGTTATTTTACCAATAACCTTCTTAAGGATGGTAATACTGTTGCTAGATAAGTAAAAATCAAACAAAAAGATCTTATTCAAAATACCTTTATTTAAAAACTCCATACAAAGTATCATATAATTATTAATGAGAACAAAAACCAGAAAAACAATTCCATTGCATAAAACTAATCACAGATTAACTAAAACTGACTTAAGTGCATAGATAGGTATATTTTTACAGTCATCTACATGAGCGTAACGGGTTTTCTTGAGACTATTAAATGGTTATCATAATTATAAAAAAAAAATCTTAAAATATCACAATTTCAACAACTACACTACTACAAACACAAACATGATACTGTCATACTGTATTTATGGGAGTTTTGACAAATTTTATGGATTACAATGCATTTAACTTTGTTATTTTTAAGATATTTAATAAAAACAAAAAACGCAGAAATTACTGAACTTAATTAGTCACACAATTAAGTGCATATTTTACTCTGGTATTCTTATATTATAATTCAATAAAGAAGTATAGAAGTTTATTTGCTTTTCATTATTTTATTTGTTTATTAAGAAATATGTATTTATCCCATAAAATACAGTTTAGAACAGAAACATCTCACTTCAGACTTAGTATATAATTTTGCATTAAGATTCAAAAGTAATCACAGGCAGCTTAAAGTATTTTGACGGATATTTGATTTTCTTGAAATAGGCCTAAGTAGTGCTACAACAGCTTCATAACATACTTGAATCACCTTAAACAATATAATTATTATAACTAGGTGGATCTCATGAATGGTATTGTAAGAAAATATTTTTTCTTTTTTTAGCTGCATTTTAAGGTTTTAATTGTGTACTACTTAATATTAACTTTTAGGATTGCAATACTGAATCTGATTATATAATATAAATATCCATACATTTTTAGTTTTTTTTTTTAAATGTTCATATTACAATTTGAATCTAAGTGAAGTCAAATAATTGGGAAAGTTAAGTAAATTGTTATTTCCCAAATTATTTAGTGTCACAATCGTAATTTGAAAGACGAAATCAAAGGAATGCGTAAAACATTTTCAAATAAATTGTCATAATAGCGAATGGTTTTCGATTAAAACAAAAAAGTATTTCGAATAGATATATAGAATAGATCGATAGAATAGATACAGTCACCATCTCAATGTGTGCTAAGTAAATGCAAAAACTATTATAAAAGCAAAAATAGTCATGATAATATACTCACATGCTAGTAAAATTAAAATATACTTACAATTGAAATTAAAAGGAACTAATACATTTGTGTTAAAATAATTACATTTAATTTATTTTTTAATAACCAAGTCTCTTCTAGTAAAAATTAAATAGAATTCTGTTTTCAAAATCTAGATAAAAATTAAGCAACTGACATACTGATTCGTATTACGAAAGAAACAACGCTAAGGAAATGGAAGAAAGTTGACAGGAGTACTAGTCCTCTCTTTTATCAATGCAGGACATGCCATTAAAATTAGAAGGATTTTTTAAACGAAGTTAGTAGAACTAGGTAAAAATGTGTAATTAATTATATGTGAATGAAAATGATGAACTTCACTTTCGGTTTTTTTTATTACTTTTTTATGAGTAAATTAGGAGACTACTACTTAAGAATAATATTTAGATTTTATAATTTGTGTGACTTGGTTACATAGATTTAGGTAATTTTTTTAGGAATAATTAATTTAAATTGTTAACTTAAGTATAAACCATTTAAACATAACAAAACAACACACAGGGATAAATATTGATTACAACACACTTAAATTGATTTACATTTTGGAAGTATCACATAAGATTTTTTTTTTTAATTTTTAAAGCTTTATTTAATAAGCATTAAGTGCGTGCGTGCGCAAATAAAAATGGACGAAAATATTAATTTCCTAAGTCAACGTTATATTCCAGAACATGCAGTGTTTATAGTTATATTCACTAGTAGCATTGCATTATTTCTATAGTAAATCGGAAATCATATAAATGTAACAAAAATGTAGTCCGAAGTATTATTATTGAATCGGCAACACTATTCAATGGCGGAAGATTATAATCTACAAAAAAAGATGCCCTACATCACTACTTGTAAATTTTTTCTACTTTAGTTATCAATACTAGTAGAAAATAGCTACAATCGAACACATTTTTTTTAGCCATAGTATACAAACCATTTTTATATTTTAAATTTATGAAAATATTTCACTTAAGCCATATAGTAACGAATTCCTTATTTTTAACTTGCCCGTTTTTGTTGGGTTATCCTTAGTTTTAATACATTTTCTATCACGTGAAAGTACTGATGTACTAATACATAGAAATAGGTCGATTTACCTGAGATCTTAGTCAGTCGGTAATATGTTACTCTCTTTGATATTTACCTATTCTGTTTTCAAAAATGTTAGATAGAAAGCACCAACGGAATATGAATTGCACTTAAAGTAGTTTTTTAATATTAAAAAAAATTACTCTGTATATCCGAAGATTCGAACATTTTTTTTAAATTTATTTCTTAATACCTATTTAGTAGTCTATTCGATATAGCTGTCGGTTATAATATCGATTAACTTTAATCGCATGTCAATATGTGTTAAAATCATTTGATGCCACATAAATCTAAATAATAATATTGCATGCAGTGTGAATCAAGAATCCTTGATTCACACTGCATGCAATGAAGAGGCAGCGTAGATGAAACAACCACAGGTCAAAATACAACCTCCAGCCAAAGACAATTACATTAATTGTTCTCGTCAATGTAGTGTTATGCTTAGATAATTTCATATGTCTAGATAGACTCTTAAAGCTATGAAAGCGCCGATAAAAAAAAGTGTCCACCTATTGCCCACTAATTTTTTTTAAGTAAAGCTCTATCTAGACATAAATGAACTAATCGTATACACATATCATATTGACACTGTCATTATAAACCGTTTCAAAACCCGTTCTCAGTTAACATTTTAGTAGACATCTAAATAAGTCTAGACATACAGTCAGACAGACAGTCTAGACATCTAAATAAGTTTTATTTAATGTAATAGTTAATTTAAGTGGTTTATTATTGTAATCTACGTGTCAGACGTCTACTTTGACAACTGACAGTTTAATGTTTTTTTTTTCGACAAGGTTACAATGACATTTGTCACAGGTGGTCACATCTACCATATTCATGCCCGCTGTATTTGAATATGGAACACTCAAGTTCAAAAGTTTTTTTTCCTGATGCAGCTGAAGTTCAAAACTCGAATCTTTAGACTCTATAGGCCAAACTTATTTCTTTTTGTGACAGAACTGAACGACTCATTACTGCTGACGTTATCAAAGTTGTCTCTCTTTGGTTAGGTGGTAAGATTTAAAAGCACGACTCCGACAACGTACTGCAGTACTACTTCTAAAATATACTTAAGATGTAAATAATGCATTCTCTTACTCTCTTAATCTCATTTTAAATATAAGTATCGTTCGATTAATTTAAAAAATCTGGATGTGAATGTTGCGATTTGAATTACACAGTACAGTATGTTTTATTTCACTTTACCTTCTTGAATAGATCTACACGCATATGCGAGAAAGGTCTACTACACAACGCATAGATCCTCCTTGAACTCTGAATGTGTTTAGCTTTATCTAATATGTTTTTAATAGGTAAAAGAACACATTTTTTCATTGCTTTTTTTTGCCTACGAAGGAAGAGATAACCTCAGAATTCAAAACCTCTTTACTTCTATAAGTCAATATTAGGCGCTACAGTCGCGAAGATACACAAAATCGTAGTCTCGTTGAAGGGCGGTACTTGGTAATTTGGTCCTCGATATTACAGAGAGAAGAACTTCAGGAAGGCCGCAGGTGGCACGGGATGCGGGGGAAGGGGACCGCCTGCTTCTTTCAGTCGCTCGCGGTATTCCGGACACTGAATATAAAATTGAATAAAAAAGTATTAAAATTTGATTGATTGCACTTATGGCGTAGTAGTTTAAGCAGGAACCTCGCCGCTTTCTACAACACTTTGTGTGAACCACAAATTGTTTTTCTGAATCTGAGTGTTCTTTGTGTCCGTTTCATGTATGTCTGTAAAGTCCCCCACAATACAGGATATATTGCTAGTACGGGAGTTGTCTATAAAAAACAGGCAACCATAAGAAGGACTTTGTGTATTTGTCTCTACACAGCTCTACATATTACTATATTAGCAAAAAAGTTTGCGCCACAAAACCATAAATCAAAAGTCACAAAATTAATCAAAAGAGCTTTGTATTTATCACATCACACCAACAGCCTTTAATAGTCCGCTTCTGGACAAAAGCCTCTCCTTAGAAAGGAGGTTTTGGCGTACTATCGTATATAATATGGCGTATTGTATTTATCAATTTCATTGAAATTTTGTGTCACCTATTACCACTTATCTATGAACTGAATTCAAATTTGCAATTCAAAGACTTTGTTGTTTGTTTGGGCAATTTAATATGTATATAAATAGATCTTACCTGGTCAGCTATACAGGGGTGTCCGAGCGAGCGCCAGAACAGGCACTTGCAGTGGCGACACAGTGACAACGTCTCCGCGTACTGAGTGTCTTCACGTAAACCATACATCCTGAAATAGAAAACACAGTATTAACAACCTAAACTTTATTTTTAAGTCTATATCCACTAAATCATAGTAATCAGGTAAGTCTGGGGATAAACAATCATGAACCTCGAACCAAAACATCGTTATAGATGTAAAATCACAAATAATCTCTTCTGAACATAATTCGCAATCCCATACCATATCAGAGAAACAAGAACTTACTTCCTAAGCTGATGGAATAGTTTTTTGAAATCCACTTCTTTGTCTTGAGAGTCATCGTCTTTCTGCTTGGCGAGTGCGGTGTCAGCCTGCTGCTGCGTGAAGTGGAACGAGACGAGCTCGCGCCAGATGCGTTGCTCCGAGCACAGCGCCGACATCGTCGTCCACGCCGAAGACGCAGCCTACAACCGTTTTAAAAAGATTGCGTTCTTAATTTAAAGAAAACAGTAACATCTAAGCAAAACTTTTCCGGATGTCATTTTTGTTCAAATATTTCGTCAAACGTTTGTTTTACACACACGCTACAGTTTTAAATTTAGAATACGACAGATAACCTATGCAATACATATACATACATCCGTGTTGTATGAAATTGTAAAAAGCAGCAAGGAGTCCCTTAGATAGGACAGTACGTAGTTACTTAAATTTAGTAGTACGTAATGTTTAGTTCCTAATTACAAATAATAGAATGTTTCTAGACAATTTTTATTGACGGGATCTTATTTCATGACCTCGATATAGATATCGCTGCTATGGTAAGATTAACATCTAATTTGTACCTTTTCATTCCTATGAAATAATATCGACATCCTAGTGAAGCATAATAAAGGACATGGAAGAAGTAACTCTTCCGTTGATATAGACTTTCCGCTTTTATCAGATAAGTATAAGTACATAATTTAAATCCTGGCGACGTTTTCCACATTGTACAATAGTTGATAGTTCCAATAGCATATTATTACCTCTGAAAAACGTTAAGTGTTCGCATTACAGTAAAAAAAAATCATTAACTCACATCTAAATCCCTGTGATCCGATATTCTGAGCAATATTTCTCTGATACACTCTTCAGGCAAGTCGTGAAGTTTAGGCACTACCTCTGGTCCCGGCTAAAAATAGAAGTATATTCAATTCAATTAAAAGCAGATGAACTTGTTGATGTTGGTGATTTCAGATACAGAGTACAGATACCTTTAGAGTAGTCACACTATCAAAATTTTGTGCACATACTCGTATAATGGATGGAATTTGTGTCTGCTGAGTAATTCCGATAATGGAATGTTGAGTGTTACTATTAAAAACTTTATGTGATATTTATGTATCTAGTAAATATAAAAAAATGTGGCTTTTGTATTTAAAATTTGAACATATTGAATTTCAGTTAGGACACGGCCTTTTAAGGCTGCGGTTTAACTTTTTAATAGTTGGATCGCTATAGATAATGACTAGACTAGATAATGATAGATGGCAGGACTGAGTAATCAGACCAGACACACTATATAGTACCTACCTCTTGTATTCTAATACTGTTGGCGATTCTATTAATTCTGGCAATAGCATGGTCGTGATGTCCCCAAAGTGCGCGAGAACCGAGCGGACGGCCCCAACAAGAGCGGCGCTCTGACTCGCGCGCAGTCGATACAGACATCACCAAGGCGCGGAGAGCATTTAAGTTCTGTTTGGAAGTTGCCACTGCAAAAAAAAGATATATAAATAAGTAGTCCGAACAAGGAGTTCTTATAGTTTCGCCATGTCCTTTTACAATGATGACTCATCACTAGTCATCTCTTTATTGAACATGAAAAAAGAATTCCTAAAGAAAAAAAACAATTGATAACGGACATGTTTTTTGATTAATTACTGGAGTAACATCACAAAGGTTTCCACCTCACCTTGATCAGCTAGTTGCTCTAACATAGACAACAGCAGCTTCTGTGCGGCACCCGGTAGATGCGTCAATCTCTGACCGCCTACCAACAGCTCTAATAACGCGCAGATGTAGTTGAACCTGCGGACATCACGGACTGCCGAGGAGAAGTCTAAACGCCGGACTGCTTCTGAAAGACCGTTGAACCCTGCAATCTAAATAAATAAAGAAATTAGTGCCTTCGATGTCGTCATGTTTTAGTGATGAAGATAAGAAGCCTGTGCAATTTTGTTTATGTGATACTTGCTGGAACTACTACTAATAACAACTTGACAAATCTCAAACAGGTCGATTTCTAAGTACCTACATACATATCCATTCTAACATTATAAATGCGAAAGTATGTCTGTCTATCTGTCTGTTACCTCTTCACGCTTAAACCGCTGAACCGTTTCAGATGAAATGAGATATTTTGTGTCCTCGGAAAGGACATAGGATAGTTTTTATCCCAGAAATCATGCACCAGGGACTTCCTTTCTAGGGTATACCTGGTTCCCCGGCTATTAGTACCCGAGACGGCGTGCGGTTTTAGTCGGTTCGAGTCCGACATGCCACCGATGGTGGTATCCGAGGGGATTTCCGCACGGAAAAAAAGGGGGGTGAAAGTTTGTGTAGGGAATCAATAACCGCTGAACCGATTCAGATGAAATTTGGTATGGAGATAGTTTGATTCTTGATAAAGGACATGGTTATCTTAACCGCCGCGCTTTTATAGCCGACGAACACGCAGGCGGAGCGGAGATAAATAAATTACACTCAAACACAAAGAAATGATCGTGCTGAGCACACCTGTGGCTTAGTCAGGATCCCAAGACAAACAGACCAGTCAACTGATATTTAAATAAAGTTCCACCAACCCAATTTCAATTTAAGCATTTATTATTTTAAGCATTGAGTTTCTCTTGATAAGTAAATAATTATGCATTTCTTACCTCTCTCGTACACTTGATCGTAATATGACAATGTGGAGGTATCCTATTCACCGAGTCATTTGTGTTCTTCTCACTCTCTTCGCCTTCTGAGGTCCTGGTAACAAATGTATTTCACATAAGACTTTGTTTTTAACACTTACATCAATGACAAAAAAAAACAAAAGTCACAAGAACATTTAAAAAGTTTCAAAGAAATGGGAAATTCTACGTCTGAAATCTACCGCTGTGACGTGGTTTAGAACTTGGCGTACAACATATAAGTATAATAAAATGTATAAGTCCTTTGCCAGTTATTCATTTCTTTACAGAAACACATAAGCACGTAAATCGTATCATATAAAATGGCCGCTAAGAAACTGACTTGATGGAAAATTCATATGTCCATTTCACAGACACTTTAAGGAAGATATGAATATGTAATATTTATTTTTACGGGCACTGAAGCTTGTTAAACGTACTCTTAATATAAGAGATACTACGATGTTACACAATAGAGGAGTAACAGATCAATACTGCACTGACGACTGCACGGATGGCGTAGTGGTTTAAGCGGTCTACGCTGAGTGTTGTGGGTCCGATCCCCCAATGGGACGACACTATGTGTGAACCACAAATTGTTTTTCTGAGTCTGGGTATTCTTTCTGTCCGTTTCATGTATATTTGTAAAGTCCCGCGCGACACAGGATATACTCCCAATGCGGAAGTTGTCTTTAAAAAAAAAACAAATACGTACTAATATATCTCAAAGTAACTTTGTATTTGCTATGTAAATGTTTTACATTGACCACAATTTATTTAAAAGAAGGGTTAATTTGTGGAGGCCTATGTCTAACAGTCGATGTCTTTCGGCTGAGAAGAAGAGTTCATTTAATTTCAGTTTTTTTATTTATTTCTCGCATAACCATTGCACTGAACAAGTTTTTAAGAACCCTTTTATATAAGCTGTGTACAAATAAGGTTATAAACACGAAGTTCCTTAAGCAACATCGACTAAAAAAATAAAAAATACCCTATTATTTTGTAAAAAAATTGATCTCTAGCATACATAATACCAACGTACTATTACTAAACGTGAAATTTTATCTACCCCTTTAGAAACATGATAAATTTAGCGTTAGGGGACAGGCAGAAATAGCTCACGGCAATATCCGAAATATTGTCCAACTAATATACATCACTGGTTGTGCGTTAAGCATGACCTATATATCACTAACCAGCCATTTGGACTGCTACGCGTAAAGATATAGTTTTAATGCTGGGGTCTCGTTAAAATGGGCAATATGTGTTCGGTTTTATTTGTTCACTGAACTAGTTTACGTTTGAAAGCAGCATATATGAGAAATTTGTATTGATAAACACATTGATTCGTTGTGATGATTTTGTAAATAAGTCACATACTAGTCTAGTCTTTATTTATCCGGTCACTGAGAATAGATTTCCTTTTCAATCCGTTACTGATAAAAAAACCATAGGATCAGTGTTGAAGTTTTTAAACGATTTTAGAAAAGCAAGAGGATCTCAGTTAGATTTTATTCGTTTCAGGTATGATTCCCGATTATCCCCTTGAAGGTAGCTGCATCGATTGACTTATAATTCGAACGTTTACGTTACGAACGTTAGTTATCGATTAATTTATTTAAAAATGTATAGTTTCCAGTTGGTTCTACTGTTATTAAGACAGGATCTGACCTAATGACGATGAGAGAAACAGATTCATCACAAGATGGAAACCGCAACTAAACACTGTACTGGAAATATTCATAAATATTTACGAACTGCGTTTAGATTACTTTAAAATGGTGGCAAAGCAATTCATGTTCATCACAATGCAATCTTTAACAACTAAGGAACGTTTTTACCAAAAAATTAGTTTATCGTAAGAGGCGATGAGCAGATACTGCTGAAGTATCACGATGTCACCTCGTTCTTCGTCGTTTTGTTAAATTTTATGTAAGAAGCCTCTGGTACTGCTAAAAATCCTTACTGTCGGTTTCATGCTACAGGGATATTTCCGTGTACATCATATGATTTACATAAAAAAAACCGTATCGATCTGAACATAAAATTAGATGCGCCAACGCATTAGACAATCTCGTTTCCATTTCGCGTGGTACTGCAGCAGTTTTTATGATTATAAATAACTGCCATGAAGCCTTTATTGCAAATAATGGTTCGTCACATTTTTATGCTGGTCATTAGAAAGTTCTTTTATGTAAGAAAGACGACCATTTTATCTACTATTCCGCGTTTTACTTAGCTCATGAGTTATGTAAGATAAGGTTGCCTTAATGATTAGTCGGGTCACGGTAAATATATAAGTATAAATATATCTATACCGTATTAAAGTATTATCTAAGAATATTAATTTCCTTTCACTGAAGCTTTTTGGCTGACTTTGCACTCAGAGTTTCTGCATAAAATATGCACAGAATATAATGATTTTGCACTGTGCAGAGTAATCTTCACGAGAAATTCATAGTATTTGGTGTCTTTGATGGCATGAATACATAGGGGAACTAGAGCCTCTCAGCTAGAGGACGCATCTTTATTGTATGGCATAGGGGCAAAAGAACAGATGGGTCACCTGACTTTAAGTCATCATTATTAACAGCCTCTCACAGTCCACTGCTGGACGTAGGCCCCTCATTAGAAAGGAGGTTTTGGCCTACTATACCACGCTGGCCTGACGGGTTGGTACAGTGTTTGTTTCAAGTTGTCCTTCTCTTTACAGTGCTGTTGTCTTGCGTAGTTTGTTCCCTTAGTCGGCTCTCGACACCCACGAGATGAATAGGGGTGGTGACACTTGTGTTCTTAATCCGTCACCACACGGTTACGGTAAGTGACTACCTGCAAGTCAACAGTCATGAGATCGTTGTTAGCCCTTCAATTGCTTAGCATCAGCTTAGCTCTTCCCATAGTTCTCCCATGGTTAAAATCTTCTTTCTATATGTACTTTCACGAATTATATTTACGAAGTTATGTATATCGCGATAGGTGATAGCGGAATAGTAATAAATAACGTATTTCGTGACTATTATAAGAAATAATTGTTCGATATAAAAATTAATAGAAATTTAAAAAGTTTAACATAGATTGCGCATTAACACGCCGCTACAAAATATGTTTTTCACTTGGTTGCATCTGTAGCTTACTATGTGCCTTATGGTTATTTGTGTATTACCAACCTTATCCACTCTTAAATAGAGCTCTGTAGTCTTATGCAGAAAAACAATACCTCGTTAGGTTGGTAGACAAGATCTGTCTGCAGGGTGCTGCCTGGAAGGTCTGGGTATATGAAAAGCTGCAATTTATGGTTTTGTATTGTTCTACGGCGTTCATTAATTAACATAACTATTCGACGTATACAAGTTCCCTACGTCACAGCAGACGTGCACGTATGACCCTACTGCAGCGTAAGTTTTATTTTATACATCTTTCACACAGTGGTCTGATCCCCAACAATGTTGAGCCCATTTAGGTATCGACGGCCGTGATCCCTCTGGTAACCAGACTGCTGATAAACATACTATAGATAAACTACATCCAAACACAGAACAAATTAACGTGCTCATTACACAATATTTGTCCTGGGTGGGAATAGGGATTTGGGCGCCGGTGATCTCACTCACTCAGTGAAAAGAGAAAATGGCTTAACAGCAGTTTTATGAGCGGCAATCCATCATGGCTCTCTCAAAGAAATAGTAAAAGTATAAAGCAACTTTGTCCACTGACGCCACATCGAACTCCACATCGATAGGCAAGTGATATACACATACTTACACTATATGGATTTATATGCATACTATTACTTCAATAATTATTTAATAGTTTGTGTGAGTAAGTACCATGTCGATCCATCCATGCGTTCGTAGATTGCAATGTTTGTTGCTGTAGGCATTGCATCAATAATTACAGAACTTCAGCAGTTGTAAAATGTCAAGGAACTTTACTGAATGTCAGCGTACATTCGACCATTTTATTCTGAACTATTCTAATTTCAATTCTTAATAAGTTTTATGTTGATCGAATAAAACAGCAAGTTTCGGCTGCTAGTCTAGTAATCTTGAGCAGGATTTGAAGGGAAGGAAGATGGTTTGTCCTCTGTTCCCTTCTTACACACTCTGTTTGTCAAAGAATTGCTTGAAACAGGCAATTAAGAGAGCCAATATCTGGCAGTCGACGTCTTATGGCAGAAAAGATGGTTATAAGTTATAGTTATATTACAATAATATTTAAAAATACTATTTCTATTCAACAATTCTCTGCACGTCTCGTGCTCGAAATCTCGCGTAGTATTTTAGTTATGCACGCTAGAAATGAAAATTCTACCATCACGAACTAACGAAATTGAAGTGATTGTAGTAAACCTACATTCTGTTTTGGTGAAAATGTATTAAATAACAATTGGAAAAACACACAAGTTTTTTTATAAGCATTTTCTTTCTTTAATTTCTCAAAGTTTTCATGAGTCGAATCATATCGACAAAGTGGTAAAATAAAATCGTGAATAACATTTTTATAGAGTACCCATAAAGTGGGGATATCATATAGTAGGTACAGGTGGTACAAACCTTGAGGGGGTGTGACGACTCTTTGATTCACTGATCCGTATCCGCAAAATAGAGAAAGTGCTAATTTTAGTTGGAGTCAAGAGTGCCCACCTCATTACATGCTAAAAAAATATGATAAAATAATTATGATAGTATAGATTAGAGTTAATAAACAGATTTGGGAACTGTGATCTCTATTTTGCTATCCGTAATCGAACTTCCATTTCTGCTATATATAATTAATTCTCAGGTGTGTACAATAGGCTCATTGGGATACGATATAACAAGAAACGACTATAGACGAAGAATAATAGTAGGAAACCTTAAAACATTGCTAGTATAAAAGTGAATACTCTGATCCCAAGTCAACGACCTACGCGACACTTCCATTTAAGACTGGCTATGATACCAAGACCTCTACCGCCACTCTCACGCTTCTGTTTTCATTCCTCCGAGACGTAAATGAAAGGTTTTAGATGGGTCTTGATAGACTAGTTTTAATGTCACTTACACGAACGTAGTAAGTCGTGAAATGCGAAGTCAT